ACATGCACACAATCCCCTACTGGGTATACAGTGCACTATTTGGGTGTAGAAGGCACGACATTACTTATATAGTGCACTATATAGGGAGTAGGGAACCATTTGAGATTCAGCCCTGGAAAAGTTCTGGAAAATGACTTTCTAAGAAGTGCGGGAGCCCCAGACATGTTAGTTCCATTTAGGATGTATCCATTCTTGAAATGTCAGCACTATAGGACGACACTAAACTACGCCCGTGGGACCCTGATGTGGCTGAGAAACAGTGTGAAACAAATGATCTCCTTTAACCCGCCGCTCTCTTGGTGGTCTTTAACCAGCTTTTACACTGAGACCTGTAATCAAGACAACCACTGGATGTCCACACATCCCACAGAACAACTGTGCCTCAAAGGCTGGTGACGGAGGTTAAGAGGGACAGAAGGAATCAGTCAAGACTGTTTTCTGCTACGTAAGTGGAACAAATGCTAATAGTTTATTGTGGTAATTTTGTCAGGGACCATGCACAAAAAAGAGAAAAAAGATAGAAAAATGTGCTTTGTGCCAGTTAGCCGCTGGCTAATTCCCTCTGTAAAGGGATCAATTCTAATAATTTCCAGAATTAAAAGGGTTCCTTGCTAAGGCATGCCCTGGATTGTTGAATTTACATCCAAAGTAAAGTACGCTCACTGCATTTCAATGTTTTTTTCTTCTCCTTTTAGGACACCCCAACCCCCTCCTATCTGGCTCTGCTCAGAATGTTGGCTTGGACATGGCTTATGTCATATCTTTGGTTCTCTTAGTGGAGGAAAGGGAACGGGTCTGGAGCTTTCTACTTACATACAGGGAAACCAGTTTTAGAGCTGAATCTTGCTTGTAAAGCAAGTTTTCTATTTAATAAGGGGTTCTGTTTAGAATGGGCCTGCATACTTCATACTGGGATTCAGAAATTGTGCAACTATTGGTGAACACAATTGTTTCTACCACTTTTTTTTACCTTCCTTTTTCTGTAAAAGTGGGAGTTTAAATCTAGCTTTTAAGCATAGTTAAAAGAGTAGTCATCCTTCCAGAATAAGGACATTCCAAGATGGTGGATTGTGTGCCGTGGAGGAGTGGGAGAACATGGTCATGGCAAAAGAAATCAGCCAGAAATGCTCTGAATTAACCCTTTAAAAACCCAAGTTTACTTCAGTCTAAGGATTGTTATTTAGTCACTTAATAGACTACAATGTAAACTGGCTTATTGAGCTGAGTTATTCTTGGGGTTTTGGTCATTTGAGGGTTTAAAAATTAGCTAAATGTTCAGTTTACATCAGCAGATGGCACTTCCAACTCAGAGAAGGACTCTCATTTCTCTTTTTAACTCACTCACTCAGTTACACACCCACATTTTGCAGCTGTAAGCCATTGAATATACAGAACATCCTGTGAAAGGGCTTGGGGTGAGCTCATCTAATTAAATCTTTTGCATTAGAGAGCCCCCTAGTGAACTCTATATGTATTGCGATATGAGAGTATACAATTTCACTCTAGTTTTTCGAATAAAGGAATATGAACAATAAGATATAAGTTTGGAATCACTCATCATATTAAAAGTTATTGTTATATCATATTAACAACTGTACATTGGAATAGTGCAATACACTATACTATATATATTATATATAATGTGTTGTATATATTTAAGTACCATGAGAGGGCTATGCACCTAAGATTTTCACTCACCTTCACACCTTTTTAAATGTGATGTGACAATGCACTTGATTTGACTTTATCATATACAACATTGATTTTAATAATATCGATGCCAAAAAGTTTTTCAGATGTTTTATTCAGTTGTATTCAATTATTTGAACAGTAATTTTTAAATGATAAATAATACACTATAATAGTCTATTTACAACATTTTGCCAAAGATTTGAGACTTTATATGTGAGACATTTTGGATGTTAGTCTAGTTAATGTTTCTTCTCCATTCATTATTCAGCTTTGTTGCTTATTTTAGAACCTTCTACAGCTGTTTATCATTCTCGAAACACCTTTTTTTTTGTTTGTTTCACATTATTGAAAACATTGATCCCAAACTTTTGGTAGTGTAATTTTACATTTTCAGCTTAACCATGAAGTGTACATAAAATTACCACTTGATGCTTTAGCAAATTCCAGGAATGATGGAAATAACATTTAATAAATAAAAGTTTTGCACAAGACCATGACTATATATATGTATGACTAAAAGACTGTGTGCATTTCCAGAAAATGCTTTGCAAAAGTACAAAGTTTTATTCATATTTATACAATTGTAACTATTGGGAATTATTTAAAAGTTGCATTCTCTATCAATCTGTAGAACCATTTAACGATGCAAACAACCATTTAATCATGCAAAGGGTTCTTTGAGTGTTCATGGTTCTATATACAACCATTTTCTTCATTTAAGAACCCTTGAGGAACCATCATTTTTAAGAGTGTAGCAAGTGTGAAACTTCCAATTTACACTATATGAAAGAAAACAATTGATACTCTGTATTATAAACAGTTACTATGTGCCACTGTGTCATCAAGTCACAATTGTGATCGTGAACATAATATAGATGCGGTGGTACGATCTTATTAAGATATCAATAATATCAATAATACACGCTGAAAAAATTGTATGTAGCAAATATGGCAGCTGTAACCTTATTATTACAAGTTTTACTGCTTTATGAGAAACTTGTTTCTTTAGCTTCATATACCAAACCTGAAGTACTAAACCTGGGTGTGATCTTAGACTCTGAGCTCTGTTTTGTCTGCATGTAAACACAGTCACTAAAGTAGCTTTTTATCATCTGAGAAATATCACTAAAGTTCAGCCTTTTCTGTCTCAGAGCGATGCAGAGAAACTTGTTCATGCATTTGTTACAGCAGAGTTGATCACTGTAATGACCTTCTTACTGGACTCCCTAAGAAAACTATACATCCTTTACAACTTTAACAAAATACAGCAGCATCCTAACAAAAACAACACAGAGAGATCAGATCAGTCCCATTTAAAAAGAACTGCACTGGCTGTCTGTATTGTTCAGGATAGATTTTAAAGTTCTGCTACTAGTTTTAAGGCTCTAAATGATCTGAGATCTGCAGATACTGACCTAGCGAGCTAGCTACCAAGACATCAGTAAACTACTAGCGTTTTTTATGCTTGTTATAAAAAATACGACCACTGAAACAACATTAAGCTAAGATAATAAAGTGGTTATAGAAATTTTTAACAGAGAAAATTCTCACATTTGTGGTTTCTTTGGTTGATTGTGCAGCCATCCTGCTGTTTTTTCTTTTTTTCTTAACTCTCTATTTGCACTGTGCCTCAAAGGCAGAGGGCCCCCGCGAGGGAGTCCTCAGTGAATGGGAGTGAATAGCGCTCAATGGTTAAAAACAAAAAATTAAAATAGTTTCTAATCACTCACCCAGAACTTTACTTTAATTTTAGAGAGTAGAAGGATGAATTTAATTGCAAAAGCAAATAAAACTCACCTGTATGTTTCCTTTTTTCTACAGCAAACAGGTTTCGGGCAGCAGAACACTGGCATTGCTGCTAGTGAGTGCTGATTGGTTGGTGAGCGGAGCAGCTCATTGGCTGTCCGCGTTCACAGACGTCAATGACGTACATAAGGCTCCGTTTTAAACTCCTATAACAAGTTCAAAAGCGTTTAAAAATATAACAGCAGTGTTAAAAATGTTTTATGCTGTTCTGTGTTCAGGAAATTAATGAATTACTTTATATTAAAAATGTTTAAGCATTTATAAACTATGATTTTGCTCAAATGCTCCATATCAACCCATTCATTTTGGACTCACTCAGGAGCGCCCTCTAGTGTTCGAGAAACCCAGAAGACATTGCAGAGTGGTAATTCTCCACTCTACAAGTTCTCTCACCCTACCCCTAGACGTGAACACGCAAAACGGAGGGGTAAGTCTCCGTCACTCTGCAGATTCTGTTGCATCTGTATATTTATTTTTCTTTACCTGCGTTCTCACGGCTGGGGCCTGTAAGCCATGGAAGTAGCCAATCACAGGTTGATTCCGCTCCCCCTCTCCCTTCCCTCACCCGCATCACATCCAGTAGAGAGCCGATTTGCGTTTCGTTAGGTGCCCTAATACAATTGCCTGATTATAAAATACATAAGTAGATGGAGAGATAACGTATATAAATAGATCTTCAAAACTAAATTAAAGAGCCTATTTGGAAATGTAGTGAGTAAAAAGTACAATTTTTTCTTTTGAAATGTAGTGAGTCAAAGTGAGTAAAAATTATTTAAGTGACAGAAATACTCAAAGAACAGATACCTAAAAATTACTTCAGTACAGTAACAAAGTAACCATTTTCATTTGCAGCAGAGATGTGTAGGGGCTTGTACAAAAATATGAATCTAGCTCAAATACTTTAAAAATTATCTACCAAAAAACAAAATGTGTTTTCTGTAGTCTAGTGTTCAGTGTTCAAAAAAAATTATTAAATGTCATTCCTTCAATATGTTGAAGACCCTTCCAGGACAACCACTACTGTCCTTTAAATGAGAATTACACTCACTTTTTCTTTCTTCTCTGCATAATTCAATCTTGGAAATGTAGTCATTCATGATGGTTTGATGTGAAATTGTTCACTGTAAAGAAACTTAGAGTCAGATTTGATGATTGTTGGTGGTGATAGGAACCAGGGGTCCCAATATCTACAATACAAATATAACCATTTTATTTACTATCCAAAACCACCATGAACAGATATTAAAAAAAACAAAATTTCTCAAGATTATCATAAAACAGTGTCTCAGACATCAGGCAGCACATTCAAAGCCATTTCATGTTATAACTTTCTGTGAGGGAGCTTTAGAGGTGGACGTCTGTTTCCCATCACCACCGCTGTGTACAATTCAAACCACTCTGAATGACTTTGTTCATCTTAACCATTGAATTATGCAGAATTTCGGAAAAATCCCTTTTAGCATAAACGAGTGTATATAAGTGTATTCAACTGCACAACACAATTAATTATCAAAAATCATGTTTATTTAAATTGATATGGCCTTAGGGATGTTTTATCAAACTCCTGCTCTTCAGTCCAACGCACCAACTGCATAATAAAATGTCTGTGAGGTAGTGCAGGTTCTAGTGGCAGCTACAGCTCATCATGCTCGTAGACATTATACTCCTTTACTGACAAAGTCCCGTCTTCGTCTTTGTCGTTCCTACGGAACACATCGGTGACGACGTCTTGAAAGTAGGACTCTTCTTTCTGCACCTTTAACTTCGCCGCTTCCATCTTCAAGTGCTGATACACCTACAAGTCAACAACAAGAGGGCACAGGCGTTATGCACAGCGAGGCCGCGAAAGGGTGATGAATAATGGTTTGATATGACCTTTCATATACGATCTAAATTACCTCTTCTTTCGTCAGACTACGGTCATTGTTGATGTCCATTTCTTTAAAAGCTTCAATGCTGCGTGGTCCTCGTCTTACATGCAGAAGCTCCACCTCAAAGATCACAGTTGCATTGGGTGGCACAGGATCTGTGACATTAGATAAAAACAGATGTGATGAGTCAACATTTGGAGTTTAAAAAGTGTAATGAGGGAAAAATCATTCGTTATCAGCAAGTTTACTGAAATAAAGATTTACGTATTTCTCATTTTCACCAGACATTGATTAAAAGGGGAATTCTTTGCATGCTTAAGTTGTTAAGATACAGTTCTTTTGAATGTTACAAATAAATCTAGGTCTCTATGCAGCCTAGGCAGCTTCATCACAATCAATAATGCTTTGTTTATTGAAGTCAGTAAATCTATTTATTTTTCTTATACAGAGATGTTGCTACTGTTAAAGAGAGCTGCACTGACTTTTCAAATTTAGAGTGGTTTGATGTGAAATGCTCCATTCAGGACAAACTTGCAGAGTCAGAACTGTTCACAGTGGTGGTGATATGAATAAGACAATGTTATTACATTAATTGGTTATGAATACATTATCTGATGCCTGAGACATAGTTTTGAGAAGGTTTTGGCCTAAAATATTTTTTAAATCCATTAAAGGCAGATTAACGCAGTGTCATACAACAAAATATTTTTTTCTGCATTTTCCACTATTTTCCCATTACCAACATTACATATGTTCAACCATCTTTTCCACACTTTTCCTCCTGGGAGGCGCTATAGATCCATAAAAACCAAGACAACCCGCTTTAAGAAAAGCTTTTTTCCTACTGCTGTAAGGTTACTAAACTCTGAGTAGTGTAAATATAAATCTGACTGTAAGATTTCCAGCCTTTGTAAGAATGCACACATTACTGTGTAATTTTTCATGATTCTCCTATGTCACATCTTGTATACCATGTATTATATTGTATATTGTTTACTGTACATGTACTATATTGTGTGTTTGTGTGTATTGTGCTACAACAGAGTTGAATTACATCTTATTGCACCGGATACAGTTACCACCGACATGTTGTGAGGCAATAAAACGAGTCAAGTCATATAAAAACTCAGAAGACACGTGTAAGTTCACTGGTGGTTTTGGATAGTAAATAGTGTTATATTTGTGTTGTAGAAATTGAGACCCCTGGTTCCTATCAGCACCACTGTAAAGAAATCAGTCTGTAAGTTTCTTTACAATTAACATTGTTGATTCACTTCAAACCACTCTAAATGACTTCGTTTACATTCTCAACTACTGACTCAAGCACAGAATTTTGAAAAACTGGTGAAATTATTTATTAAATCATGCCTGGATTGAATGAATTAGTCACAGAGAAACAAGCACAAACAGCTCCCACTTTTGATTAAGAGACAGCAGTCCAGTTTAATTCGGGCTGGTGTGTAGGCTAATTATAGGGTATGAAAGAGATAGTTACATGCACAATTTTGGATTTGAAAGAAAGTATTTTTCACAAAAGTCTGAGCATTAAAGGCAAAGCAAGGCAAGTTTATTTATATAGCACGTTTCATAAACAGGTCAATCAAAGTGCTTTACAAATGAGAAAATACAGTCATTTCAAAAGTAAAGGAGAACAGAAATTTAAAACATGATTAAAACAGTTTTTAAAAGTGAAAATAACAACATTAAAAATCTAAATAAAAATTAAATTAGAATAATTACAAATCTAATAGAAAATTAAATTAAGATTAAGTGCCATAGTGTTGTAGAGCTGAAATCTGCTTAAATGGAAACATTTTGAAAGTATTTAGATTTTAAAAGTATTTAGCTTTGGGGCTCTTCTAACACTGTCTGTCAACTGGTTACATTTAAGAGCAGCATAGCAGCTAAACGCTGCTTCTCCATGTTTAATCTTCACCTTCAGCAGGACTAACTGAGTAGTTCCTAATGATCTGAGAGTTCTGCTCGACTCACATCGCTGCAGCAGATCAGATAAATATGCTGCTCCTGCACCATTGAGTGATTTACAGACCAGTAATAGTGCCTTAAAGTCTATTCTGTAACAGACTGGTAGCCAGTGTAAGGATTTGGGGGTGATGTGTTCCCTTCTTTTACTCCTGGTGAGACTCTGGCTGCTGCATTCTGAAATTTTTCAGTTTTTGATATAATTTGAAAATGCCTGTTGCCCATTGTGTGTAAAGGTCATGAAGAATGGACCAAAGGAAAAATTACTTGGAAAAAAGTCTGGTTCCATTGATTTGCATTAAAAGTAAAGTATGTTTTTTCCCTCTCCTGTAAAATTACCATTTTGGAGATATGAGGTTTTGTTCAGACAGCAGCGATATTCTGCGGCCATAACTGAATGTAGCAATAACAGGCAGCAGAGCAGTGCTGTTAAAATCCACTATACTGTAAAGTAAAAGTTCCTACTGCTGCTACTCAAATCATGGCTTATGTTACTTACGTTTCCCCTGTTCTCCAAAGGCAAGCGAGGGTGGAACTGTGATTTTTCGCTTCTCGCCAGGACACATGTCTTTCAGCCCCAAGTCCAGACCTTTTATCACATCCCCAACACCCAGAACAAACCAGTGGGGGTCACCACTTTTAGCAGAACGACTGGAAAGGAGAGGGGAGAGGTGGGTTGTGGAAAAAAGGAAAAAAAAAAGTGACATAAAACAACTTTTAAACAAAAAAGAGACAAAGACCAGAGGCCTCATTTATAAAAGGCTATCGAATTTCATTCTAAATCTTCTTTTTATGTTACTATTTAAGCAAAAGCCTTTCTGACAGTACCATTTTCAAAAAGGTTCTATAGGTAGAACCATTACTACACATTCTCCATCAGTCTAAAGAACCACTGCACCATGCAAAGAACCATTTCTTTGAGTGCTCATGGTTCATTGTCTTTACTAAAGAACCCTTGGAGATCTTTTTAAAGAGTGTATATAAACTTTTATAACTTTTTAACCTATAATCAAATCTAATCGAATGCTTTTCAAATGAGGCCCATGTGTTTAACTCAGTGGTGTCTGAAAGATTTCATCAGTAATGGCTGAACTACACTAAATACACTCACATCCATTCACAGACCCACTGATTATGATCAGTACGTTAATGTGCTGTTGGGCGTTTGCAGACTTTACCTGCAGTAGAACTGAGAGCCGTCCTTGGCGAGGTACCCATCGTAGTGCGCGTTCAGCAGGTCGCCCTTTCTGGCTTTTTGAGTGCAGTTTTCTGGCAAATATAGCACCTCGATTTTCACCTCATCGTTTGATTCACTTGCGTCAACGAAATCGAGGAAGAAGCTGGAGATCTGAAGGTACAGAATGAAGCAAATGATGGACCGCTCAGACATCTTTGCGCGACTGTCTGCGTGGCACAAACTCTCCGAGCTGGCTGACACCGCCTTCTTCCGGAACACCCCAAGAGTTTCTCCCACCCAGCGATGGACCGAGTCGTGAAGCGGTTCGTATGAATCGATTCTTTCCCCGATTGGACTCGCAAGTCCCAGCCAGGGGTAGGCCTACTGTAGTTTTAAAACATTCATTCGTTTTTATTTTTGCTTAGTTTTATTTTGTTTTTTTTACTACAGTAGTTTCAGTTATTTTTAAGGACATGTTAACAGATTCAGTTGTGTTTTTATTTCCTTGAAAGTAATAGTTATAGTTTAGTTTTTATTTAAAATTTTAAATTAAGAAAATGATTAATTGTTTTATTTTATTTTATTTTTGCCTGGAACCAAATTCCTTGTGTGTCAACACACTTGGCCAAGAAATCTGATTTTGATTCTGATTGTGATTATTTTCTGTTTTAATTTTAGTGTTTCGTATTATGATGAATGCTGTGATAGCAGGTAATTGATAAGTATAGAATAAAATTAATACAGTAGTAGACTGAGCTCGGCTCGGCTCCAGCTTTTCTTAAAGACCAAACACAGAAACACACTTCTGAACTCTTATTCACGCACTGAAAAAACAAAAAACTAAGAATTTATTCTCAGTAATTCTCTTGTGTTTTAGTTGGTTTTGCAGTGGAACTACAACTGAATCAAGTTTGTAGAAGTGTTTAGATGTATAAACTATCAAAAAGTCAAATTACATATTTCACAATTTAAACCTCATTTAACATTGCAGCATAAAACATCACATTGTAAAATATCTTTGGCTGAGCTTGGGTAGTTATTCAAAAAAGTGGTCTATTACAAATGAATAGTCAATTCTCACAACATTAATTATAATTTATGATTTAATTATAAATGTATCTTAATTTCTTAGTTACATGAGGGAAAAAGCAACATTTCAGTTATTGAAAGATAATTTGAAAGGAAGGAAGGTGTGTCCATTGTGTCCAACAGCTTCATCACATTGTGGCTAGACTGGCTGCTATGATGGTAATATTAGTGTTTTCGCTTTTTAAGATCCTCAAACTTGGTGGAATCATTTGAAAACCTGGTCTAGTCTATGTTTTTAATATTATTTATTATTGTTGAAAATTTCACTCAGTAAACATACATTAGTATGTTAGTCAATGTGATTCAACTGTGAGGTAACGTGAATGACTGACTCTGAGCCAGCCTGCTAATCTGAGGTAACATTAATGGGTGATCCTGAGCTAGCCATTCACTGCTAACCCCAGCCATTCACTGTGAGCTAATGTGAAGTAACCAGAGAACTTGTAGAGAGGAGAGTTATCACTCTGCAATGTCTCCCGGTTTTCTCAACGCTAGAGGGCGCTCTCGAGTGAGTCCAAAATGAATGGGTTGATATGGAGCATTTGAGTAAAATCATAGTTTATAAATGCTTAAACATTTTTTATGTAAAATAATACATTCATTTCCCAAACACAGAACAGCGTAAAACATTTTAACACCACTGTTATATTTTTAAGAGCTTTTAAACTCGATTTATAGGAGTTTAAAACGGCGCCTCATGTATGTTTATAACGTCTGTGAGCGCAAACAGCCAATGAGCTGCTCCGCTCGCCAACCAGTCAGCACTCTGTAGCAGTAATGTCAGCGTCCTGCTGCCCAAAACCCGTTTGCTGTAGAAAAAAAAGGAAACATACAGGTAAGATTTCTTTGCTTTTTTAGTGAAATACATCCTTCTACTTTCTAAAATTAAAGTAAAGTTCTGGGCGAGAGATTAGAAACTATTTTAACTTTTCATTTTTAGCCGTTGAGCTCCATTTACTCCCATTCATTGAGGACTCACTCGCAGACGCCCTCTGCTGTTTAGCCGTCCCGAGCTAACCTGCTAAACTCAGCCATTCACCGTGAGGTAGTGTGAGGTAGCATCAATGACTGATACCGAGCTAGCCAACCTGCTAACCTCAGCCATTCACCGTGAGGTAGTGTGAGGTAGCATTAATGACTGATACCGAGCTAGCCAGCCTGCTAACCTCAGCCATTCACCGTGAGGTAGTGTGAGGTAGCATTAATGACTGATACCGAGCTAGCCAGCCTGCTAACCTCAGCCATTCACTGTGAGGTTATGTGAGGTAGCATTAATGACTGATACCGAGTTAGCCAACCTGCTAACCTCAGCCATTCACTGTAAGTTAATTAGATATGAGAATGAATTGACACTGGATGTTTTTGACATTCTAGCTAACTAGACCACAACACATAAAAACTGTTGCAAGTGTAGCCTGACAAGTGGCAAGTTTTGCCTTGCCTGTAAGCTAATGTGAGGTAACCTTAATGACTGATTCTGCGCTAGCCAGCCTGCTAAACTCAGACATTCATTGCAAGCTAATATAAAGGTAACACTGACAACTGAGACCAAGCTAGCCAGCCTGTTAAACTCAGCCATTCACTGTAAGCTAATTAGATATAAGAATGAATTGACGCTGGATGTTTTTGACATTCTAGCTAACTAACGTTAGACCACAACACATAAAAACAAAGTAGTATTTCTGTTGCAAGAGTAGTCTAACAAGTGGCAAGTTTTGCCTTGCCTGTAAACTAATGTGAGGTAACCTTAATGACTGATTCTGAGCTAGCCAGCCTGGTAAACTCAGCCATTTACTGCAAGCTAATGTGAGGTAATGTTAATGACTGATACCAAGCTAGCCAGTGTGCTAAATTCAGCCATTTACTGTAAGTTAATGTGAAGTAGCTTTAATGATTGATACCAGGCTAGCCAGCCTGCTAAAGTCAGCCATTCACAGCAAACTAATTCGATATGAGAATTAACTGACACTGGATGTTTTTGACATCCTAGCTAACTAGACCACAACACATAAAAACTGTTGCAAGTGTAGCCTGACAAGTGGCAAGTTTTGCCTTGCCTGTAAGCTAATGTGAGGTAACCTTAATGATTGATACCAAGCTAGCCAGCCTGCTAAATTCAGCCATTCACTGCGAGCAAATGCAAGGTAATGTTAATGACTGACACTGAGTTATTCTGCTAAATTCAGACATTTATTGCAAGCTAATATAAAGATAACACTGACAACTGATACCAAGCTAGTCAGCCTGCTAAACTAAGCCATTCACTGTAAGCTAATGTGAAGTAAGTTAACATTAATGACTAATACTGAGCTAACCAATCTGCTTAACTCAGCCATTTTTGCACCAATCCACCATTTATTTAATCGTTGAGTTTGTTGAAGGCTTTCAGAGTAGTTTGATGAGAGATGGTGCACTGTGGAGAAATTACTGACTCAGAGTTCTTTACAGTGGTGGTGATAGGAACCAGGGATCACAATGTCTACAATACATATAGCCAAACATTACACTCTGTCTGGATTTCTCCACCATATATGGATTAAAAATAAATACATTTCAGACCAAAACCATGTCTTAAAACTACAGCATCACAATGTCTCAGGTATCAGGCAGTGTATTCATATCCATTTCACGTAACAACTTTCTGTGAGGGAGCTTTAAGAGGCATCAAACACCTCAGACGTCTGGTTCCTATCACCACCACTATGAACAATACTGAGGTTCCTTAGAAATTTCACATCAAACCACATTGAATGATTTGTTTACATCTTATTGGTTTAATTATACACAAAAATTCCCATTAATGGTAATGGTAAGTAAGGAAAATAAATAGGTTAACTCAATGTCAACAGCGTCATGTCAAAAGCTTTATTGATTATAAGGTCTGTAATGAAAATGCCTAAACTGGATAGAGGAGGCTTAGATTTTTTTGCTATCAGAAGTATTGTTATTGGCAATGTGGACATTTTGATGTTTTTGTTTTTTCAGCTTCAAGAAAAATGGAAGGAGAGAAGAGGAGGACAGGGAGAGGAGAGCAAGGGGCTAAAGAACAGAGGAAAAAAAGGTATGGGAACAGAACAGCAGGAGAATGTGTTTTAGAAGTTGACTGTGAAGTGTCGTCAAGTCTGTAATTATACAATGAATGGGAAAAATTAATAGCTCTCCTGGCAGAAAAAGGTCAGAGACCCGTGATGAAGTAGAATCAAGCTTAGAACAAACAGTGAAGCTTTTAGCTCATATAGAAATGCACTACCTTCAAGCATTAATTGGTTCCTGAAAAATCTATGAATGTGAAAACATCTGTGAAAATGTTAGGGTATATTTTAATGTGATAATGGACCAGAAACAGGCATTTGACAAAAAAAAAGGAAAAAAGAAAACCAATTTGGGTACCCGTAGTAAAAGGGTGACTATAGGATACTACACAAGAATTATAGATGACTGTAAGAAAGTACTACAGGAATATTATACAAAGCAAAGTTATTATGGAAAATATTACATAAATATTTCTATAAAATCTAACCAGTTTCCAGTTGATTCAGATATTTATGTAAGTATATCACTGTTAAAAAAAAACTTGATATCTTTGTATTTTGATTTGAAAATAACATTACTGATACTGCAAGACTGTCTGATAATAATTATAATAATCTAATCATGTAATATGATTTATTGTAAGATTTCTTGTAATATTCTGATCGAATATTGATCAATGCTAGTTAAATAGGTTATGCTGTATTTGGTGTCTTAAACTCTTGATTCATGTGTCCCGTTTGCTCGCCTTCATCTCTGAGGGGAACATAAGTAGTGAGAGTTATAATTCTGTAGGTCAACAGGATCATGTGTTTAATCACATTATTCCTAAAACAACTATGACTAAAACTATCCACAAGAGGGAGGTATTAGCACACAACTAGGTTTTGTGTTCATGGCTGAGAAGGAACTAGGTTTAAGTTGCAATATTTACTGACAAATATGACGTTTTACAAATACAAAAAAAGTTTGCAAAAAAATAAACCATGGTTTTGAATAGATCTGTATCATAATTCACAAATACAGCAGTTCCACAAATGCTAAACAAATATGCTTCATCAAATACAGCTGTTTTTACAGATACAGTATTTTTTGTCATTCTAAAGATTTTATGACCAGTAGACTGAGCCTGAGCCAGAGCCAGAGCCGGTTCTCTGGCTGAGCATTGTTTCTCTTCACAACAGTAGAGTCACTTACAAGACTCTTGACCCTGAGGAAACTGTGCTGGTAATCACTCCATCATATAGACGTTTTTAGTATTCATAAATAGTGCTGTCTGTGTTTGTAAATAGTGGGGCATTTTAGTTTATTTACTATGTTTTGTCATTACATTAGCTCAATAGAGAACTTCCCATCACTGTGAAGAACAGAGTTGTACTTCACAGAGCAGCTAACCAGACAGATTACTTATACCAGTAGAGTGCTAAGGGTTGTTCTTATTGGACAGTCCTTACTTTGGGCTTAAATGATCGAACTCAGTTTGTTGTCCTCAAGTCCTGCTGATTGCTGAACATGTAAGATATGAGTTGGCAACCCAAACATTAAGAAGAGCCATTTTGTCCTTTCAACAAAAATCACCCTGATATGTTTCAGTATGTGCTAATGAACTTGTACAGGCTAAAAATATAATATAAGCGAAAACGCAGACTCACTTGCTTTGCTTTAAGCTTTAGCTCAGCTATAGCCGCATTTCTCACATCTCCAACAGGCAAAGCAGAATAACTTCTTATGCAGCTTAAGTCGCTTCTCATTCACCAGCTTCTTGTTCAAATTTTCTCATTCCACCTTAAATGGTGCCTGAGGCGCCAGAATATAACTGCTGCACCATTTAAGGTGGAACGGGAAAATTCAAACAAGACGCTGGTGAATGAGAATCTGACTTTAGCTTTGTGACTTTTTAGTGTTTGACAGTTTATCGTTGCAAATTCAACATATCAGGAAACCAGCTGGAGTGATTATAAATGCAAATGAGTCCTTTCATCTATAAATTATCGATGTTCGTCTTAAATTTCTCTCTTTGCCTTTTCGTTAGCTACTAGCTAGGCGAGATGATTGTCTGTGTTGCTATGGTGACTAACAGTCTGCGCTGATCTTCAGGGTTAAAGGGTGAATTAGCATTTCCACATTAATTCCAGTGTTTAAGATCATTTATTGTTAAACTGTGTTGAACGATCAGCAGAGCTTTATTTTACTGTAAAGGAGGATTATTTTATTTTTACCTAAAAATCTAATTCTGCTGTGGAGCTGCAACAGGGCAGTAGAAGAGCCGCATTTTGCCGACCACTGCTGTAGGATGATGTTGGTGGGTCATAACCTGAGTCTTGAATGAGCATGCTGTGTGGAAAATCACTCCAGCATATAGAAACATTTTGTAATTGTATTTGTAAATAAGTAGAGTTTTTACAAAACAAATAGTGGGGTATTTACAAAACATATTTATTTGCTGTGTTTTTGGCTCTAATTTAGCTCCATAGACTTCCCACCACTATGAAGACCAGTGGGATGTTTCTATCAGGAGGGTTATCGATCACACCATCAACCATTCATGACAGCTTTTTTTTATTTCACACTTTTGTCTATATTTCTATATTTCAGATTCTAGTTCATTAATATCATTTCAACCACATACATAAAATTTGCATTTTCCTTTGCACTTTAGTGTGCAACACATGGCATTCAGAGATTGTGATACACAACACACAAACATAGTAAGCAGACCATGCATAGGCCTAGTTCATATAATGTTATTTTGTGAGTTCAGACCATGCCTTCTACATGGTGGTGGTAGTATGAGGGAAGACTGATTGAGGGAGGGGGAGAACTGTCTGTAGCTAGAAGGCCAGATGCTCCTCATAGCTGTAGTAGGACTGATGTAGGACTGAGAAACAGGGAGGAGATGGGGTGGCGGTGGGGATTGCAAACATTTTGTCACAGGAACGAAGGTGAGGATGTGAATTTACAGGGCGTTAGATTGGAAGAAGGAGGAGTTTCAAGCATGTTCCTCCCCCCAAACTTCAGTTACAACATAACTACATATCTTAAGGTGCTAGAATAGTGGACAAAGACAAACATGTTGATATTTTAATTTGATTGTTAGTTTGTGCAATAATGTAGTGTCTTACATTTCTTATGACTCCCTTGATCTAATACCAGAGCAAATCACTTTTTCTTTCTTGTTTTTTTGAACAAGACTTTATAAAAAGATGCTGTGGCAGGCAAGACGAAGGTGAAAAAGTCCTCTTAATTCAGCTGTGAAGATGTAGATCCCTGCAGACATAGAAAACATTTTTTTAGGATTTGGGATTTGATGTTCGGTCAGTAAATATTTCAAGTAACATACTCACCTGCACTCCAGTCCATTCAGAGCTTGTGAAGATGTGAAGAGTGTGAGTGTCTCTTCTTAAAACAAACATATTTTCCTTTGTAAACTCTGACATATCTTCTTCTTTGTCCACAATATAGATCTGCTACAAGATTAAAAATACCATAATGGAGGAGTTGGCATTAAGAATGGAAACAGTGTGACACACCTTCATAACACAATCTCTCACACTGAAAGAGAATTACAGTGAATACAATGAATAGTATAAGCTTTTGTCAGTCATAGCGGTTTTGGCCAACTGTCTTTTTACGTTTTTTCCCCAAAGAGTAGGGATGCATCAATACCGATGTGGGTATCGGATATAGGTCCAATACCGTGCTTAACCAACATCCGATACCATGTAACATAAGCCTAGTGTACACTGCTATGCTACAAAAGACTCAACAGAAGACTTAAGCTGGCTGTGAACAAGGTTCTGCTCACTCAGAGAAGTGTTACTGACTCCATGTCAGTCGGACACAAAGCTGTCGGTCACTTCAAACATTACACCTTGGCGGACTCCTGCCAGGAATTCACTGTGTGATTTTAGTTTTTTTTTTTTTAAACTCACACAAACACAATCACAAACACTTTCCCAATACGGGTGGAGAAAAATAGGCTAGCAAAACAGAGGGAAAAAAAAGTTGACTTTTGCCATATACACAGATCAGGCATAACATTATGACCACCTCCTTGTTTCTACGCTCATTGTCCATTTTATCAGCTCCACTTACTATATAGGAGCACTTTGTAGTTCTACAGTTACAGACTGTAGTCCATCTGTTTCTCTGCATACTTTGTTAGCCCCCTTTTACCCTGTTCTTCAGTGGTCAGGACCCCCATGGACCTGCATGTAACACTGCAGTAACACTGACGTGGTGGTGGTGTGTTAGTGTGTGTTGTGCTGGTACGAGTGGATCAGACACAGCAGTGCTGCTGGAGTTTTTAAACACTGTGTCCACTCACTGTCCACTCCATTAGACACTCCTACCTTGTCACTCCACCTTGTAGATGTAAAGTCAGAGACGATAGCTCATCTGCTGCTGCCCAGTTCGTGTTGGTCATCCTCTAGTCTTTCATCAGTGGTCACAGGACGCTGCCCACAGGACGCTGCCCACAGGATGCTGTTTGGTGGTATTTTTGGTTGGTGGACTATTCTCAGTCCATCAGTGACACTGAGGTGTTTAAAAACTCCAGCAGCACTGCTGTGTCTGATCCACTCAGACCAGCGCAACACACACTAACATGGTGGCCCTGACCACTGAAGAACAGAGTAAAAGGGGGCTAACAAAGTATGTAGAGAAACAGATGGACTACAATCTGTAATTGTTGAACTACAAAGTGCACCTATATAGTAAGTGGAGCTGATAAAATGGACAATGAGTGTAGAAACAAGGAGGTGGTCATAATGTTATGCCTGATGGGTATATGTCTACTTTACTCTGTTTGACAACAGAATTACAAAGTATAAACATTACCATGCGTAGTATATTCACTGCGGATCACTGTCAATATGTTTACCACCATTATGTGCAATTATGTCAAGTGCAATATTTCTCCATTTATTACTGTTTATTTATTTGCTATTTTATTCACTGTGCAATACTCACTACAATACATACATTTCTAAATTTAAATGTAATACTTTGTATATTTTTCTTGTAATTTTTGTACATATACATATATCTTTATATTTTTATTGTTTATTCTATTTTATATATTGTTTGTGTATTTCCTGCTGCTCTGTCTTCTGTGCTGCTGTAACATCACAAATTTCCCCGTTGTGGGATTAATAAAGGATTATCTTATCTTATTTTATCTTAATACACCGATTATTTAGTAAATAGGCTGTAGAGAGACCATGTTGTCCTACTGTGTACATCACCGCCTGGTTTTAGCTTCAGTGCATGATGTTGGCAAAGCTGCTCAGTTTCTCAGCATGTTTGCTCATTGCTCAGCTTGCAGTACGTTATTTTGAATGAAACAGCTTTATTTGAATTGAAATTGTTTATACACTTTTAGACATAAAGGTTCTGTGCAGGAACATTTTTCATTCATCAAGGTACAAACAATGTAAATTTACTCTCAAAGGTTCAATTGTATACTTTAAATAAGTTTTTCCAGATGAAAGGTATATTTGTATCTTTTCATGATGTAATGTTTTAAAACAGAACAATAAAATAAACTCAATTCAAGGATGTGTAGCATAACTGGCTAATGCACTTCATTTTAAATCTGTTAGATATTAATTATTTAACTGTTAAGATACGTTGCACTCATTTACACTAACTAACTTAATTCTAAGTAGGTAGTTCATTATGGTATCAGTGAATACTAAAAAAATGTACGTGTAAAAAAAATTTGTATTGATGCATCACTACCGAAAAGATATTGAGAGAGTATCTATTTAATGCCAATAGGGGTTATATTATTATTGTTATTTGTCTTATATAATCACATGATGCTGATACTAGATTATAGTTAAATATAATTTATTTTAAGTAATAGGAATAACAGTAAAATTAACACCAAACACAAAATTCTATTAAACATGTCTATTAAACAAAGTTTACAGGGTGAACTGTTACATTAAGAATACAATCAAATGCAACTGCTATAAGTAGGCTAGCATTTCACAGGACTGTCCCATGGAGCTACAAATATAGAACTTTCCTTTTTTCATATATGCTTTTCAAAAACAATGAACATTTGAAACTTTTTGTTAGTTATTAAGATCTACTGTAAGTTATTTGTCGCTAACAAAAGTTTATAGGCTGTACTAATATACTAATGCTCTCTCAGGGTCTATATTCCACCATTTTTCTCCCATTTTATAATGATTTTTTCACTTTTTATGATCTTAAACTTTTGCCTGCAACTTGCCAGATAACAGTGTTTTGATAAATAGTGAAAAAAAAAAACTTTGCAAAGTCAGCACATCACAGTTGATGGCATGTAGGTGTGTGGTTGAGGGCTGTTGCTTTGATCACCTAGACATGAGCACATACCCTGACAATCCACTGTTGAACTGACCCCTGACAATGATGTTAGCAGACCTCCTGACAAAGTCATGTTACTCATTTTAACTAATGAGTAAGTGTTGACCCTAAAAATAACAAAATACAAATTCTAGTCTAGAACCAATTACTTCTTTGGTGGCAAAAAAATCAATCTGTCTAGATGTCAACATGAAATACATTGAATTCATGGATAGAAAAACACGCAAAGCTAAAATTCAAGCAAAACTGTCAATTTGAGAAATCAGTCAGTGAAGCAGCTGGCCAGAGCATAGAGGGACAGAGAGCTGAGAGTGCAGAGCAGTGAGGCAGAGGGGGCTGATAATGCCCAGCAGTGAGGAAGAGAGAGAGCTGAGCAGTGAGGGAAGGAGAGATGAGGGTGCTGAGCAGTGAGGGAGAGAGAGCATACTGCACACTGACAGTGTTTACGGAAATAAGTTACACAGTGTTATGCATTAAAATGTAACTAAAATAAAACTTTCCAGTTCACTTATTCTAATCAAACTTTGTTTTCTTCCAGTTCACTTATTCTAATCAAACTTTGTTTTCTTCCAGTTCACTTATTCTAATCAAACTTTGTTTTCTTATATACATTTGGTTGCCACTGGTTTTACCACAGACTCTACCTGCTTAGCTGTAGGAGAAAATATTTAGTATAGTAATGATAAAAATGCAATAAATTGGTTTTGGCTGATGCAAATATCAGAACTATATAAAATGATTAATATGTTGATTGACCACAGGTTCTTACAATATACTATCAATATTCATGATATGTGTGTCAAGTAATATTAGTCAAAAATGCCTTATGAAGATGTTTGCAATACTTACAGATACAAGTGCTGTGTGTTGTGCATTTGTTGTGGGTTTTTGCTCAATAGAATTTGTCCAGGAGCAATTACATAATGATGGACCCATCATCCCTTTCTCGCCTTTGTGCCCAGGTATTAAATACACTTGAAAAAGATGCACAAAATATCAAATTATACTTATGAGACAGATTTCGGATACCTTCTAATCAGTCATTGGCTGGGTTTCCAGAGCAATCACTGAATTATTGTTAGGTGGCAGAGTAGTAGAGCAGTACTATATAGTACCTATTTACTGTCACTATTTCAATCAAAGCTTGTCCTAAATAAAGAGAGTATAGGACCTTTTCCTAGTTCCCCAGGTTCTCCTGTTGCACCTTGCTTTCCCATTGCACCTGCATGGCCAACAGGCCCTGGCCATCCAAAACTACCTTTTGTCCCCTGTTTTGTGTCAGAAAAAAAACACATTCACTTTTTACCCAATAAAGGCTATTGTGGGTCCAACCAATCAGTAACACACTTAATTCAACTAATTAAAGCAAGGTTGGTAACGATTATTAATTTGTGAGTTAAACATGTTACTTGTTGTACTCATATCAATACCACTCCTGACAATAATATATTTATGTATATATTTGACTCTTTCAATGTAATGAGTGCAAAAAATTAGATAAATATTTAATTTTTCTACCACCGAAAAACTTTGGCACTCACTTTTTTGCCTCTTGTTCCAGGAACTCCTCTTAGTCCATCCATGCCCCTTAGTCCTGTGTATCCCTTTGGACCCATCTCACCCTAAAGAATGTTTTAATTAGACAAAGTAGCAATCCACCATAAAAGACATTTGCCTAAATCAGGGGTCAGCAACATGCAGCTGTTTTACTGCCCTGTTGTGGCTCCACAGCAGAATCAGATTTTTAGGTAAAAATAAAATAATCCTCCTTTGCAGTAAAATAAAGCTCTGCTGGCCGTTCAACACAGTTTTAACAATAAATGCTCTCAAACGCTGGAGTTAACCCCTGCCTAAGCCATAAGAAGATCTTGCTGGGTCACCTTTTGTCCTTTTGGACCTGGGTAGCCAGGTGTTCCCTAGAGCAACAAACATAAAGTTAGACACAGAACAGAAAGTAATGTAAAAGCAGCACCAGCACAGGTTACTGGATTAATTCAGTGCTCTCAAAGTCAAAATTAGAGGGCTGCACTAGACCTAAAGATTTGAATCACATGTGTCTTGAATACTTTTCAGTGCTGTGCAGGCTGTCCAGGAGGTTGAAAAAAAGCTGGTGTTAATGCTCACCTTTTCACCTATCACTCCCGGGTCACCTTTTAATCCTTTCTCTCCCTATGAACATGATGGTGTAATGAAGGTGATTCAAAGTGCAACACATTAATGTAAAATGCATTCTTGTTATATACAAATAGTTAAACTCACCTTAGCACCTTTACGTCCTTTAACACCCTGAAAAAAAGTTTAAGAAAATTGGGTTCAGTGAATTGTGTTAAAATAATATAATATAATATAATATAATATAATATATAATATGACTAATATATTTATTTAATATAATATATATATATTTAATACAAAGAGAACTTCAAATTCAAATTGCAAATAATAGCAAATGTGCTCACTTTACAGCGACCTATGCGGCAATTACTTTAAATGAAACTCACTGCATATGTCCCAGGCATCCCATCTTCACCAGGAGCCCCCATCCATCCCCTTGCTCCTTTCTCTCCCTAAGAATGTATATTGAAAACATGTCGTATGCATATGTATACTGACATTTGGGTGACTCAGTGTGCCCATGGGCATTATCCAAATGAAATGTTTCTAACCTTCTCTCCTGGTGGACCAATGACACCAGGAGCTCCTGGACTTCCCTGTGGTCCTATTTCACCTGGTTGCCCCTACAATGAAATGAGTTAATTCAGAGCATCTGTTGTCAAAAAGCATGATTATTATTGTCCTTGAAACTTTCGTTAGTACTGAGAAAAATGGCATTACCTTCTGCCCCTTTGGTCCTCTATTTCCCTTTGAAACAAATAAGTTATTATCATTGACAGTAATTCACAAGCAATTTGACATTTACTGCATTTGTTTTAAACAAAGAAAAAAGAATACCTTTTCACCTTTTGTTCCAGTTAGATACTCTGTTAAATTAACCTAGGAACAGTCCAGAGTCTCAATTAAAACATGAATTGGCAAAACAATAAATCTGAGTGATTCTAAGGCCCAATCCCATTTTTTTACCCCTACCCCTTGGAATAGAGTTATAAGTTGAAAATTATGCATGTATTAAGTATGAAATGGGACAAACCTCAAATGATGAAGAACAATACTTCATTAACAGGCTACTAGCGCTGCTCTGTAGGCGACCCTGCCAGTCTGCAGTGATAGCAGAGGAGGGTAAAGTTCAGTATAACATCATATGCCTTCAAAGTGCGACACTTTCTTATCACCCACCCCTAATTCTTCAGTGATATGAAGCTAAGTCAGCTATTTGCCAGCTCCTTTTCAAATTTTTCCGTTCCACCTTAAATGGTGCAGCAGTTCTGATGCCTGAGGCGCCAGAATGTCAAACTGCTGCAACGGTGTACACCACCGTTAGCTTGGTATTTGTCTTTACACTCTCCAAGCTTGAAATGACTTTTTTGGCACTGACAGTATAACATGTTATCAACACTATTTATAATGCATTATATTAACAATTCATAATGTATAATAAACATGGCTATAAAGTGTAATTCATTTTTATAAATGTTTATAATCATGTTTATAACGCCATATGAATGCATTATAACACGTTATATATGTGTTTATAGATGCTTACAAACGTGACATTCATAGAAAGTGTTACCGAAAATTCTCACATTTTTGGGTTTCTTTAGTTGCTTGTGCAGCCATCTTGCCAGTTTTTCTTTTTTTCTCATAACACTCCATTTGGGCCACGTAGCCCTAACACTTCACCCTACCCCTTTATCTCAAGAACAATCGGGATACCCTACTCCTAGATGTGAATGCGTAAAACTGAGGGGTAAGGGCTAAGTGGTAGGGGTAAGGGGTGAAATGGAATTGGGCCTACTTTAGCTATGAACAGCTTTTTCTTGGAAATAAGCATTACCTTCAGCACATCCCTACGACTGAATGGAGGAAAGGGTGGTGGTGGAGGTGGGACAATGCATGTTCTGTAAAGTCGCAGGTTACAGGCATACTCTTAATCTGAAAGATTAAAGATGATAACAACAACAACAATAACAATAATAATAATAATGATAATGTGGTCAATGTAGTATATGTGCACAAACATAGAAATTACAACATTTTACTCACCATGTTTGTTCAAATTTCAGGGAAAATTCAGAGAAGACAGTAAATGTCAGATGAATACAGTACTTGCATAGCATTTAGCTGATGTCTGAAGAGGCTCTGCCAACTGCAGAACGTCTTAGTGTTTCATTGGCAACTAGCCCTAGTCTGCAGGTCTTGCTATTTAAAACAGCTGAGAAAATTTGTCAAATAAGAGGTTGGCTAGTGTATTTATTTATTTATTTATTTAAATTTATATAAGTAATCAGATGGATTTGTAAATTCATGCACACATGAAAACAGCACTCCTGTTACATACCTGTTGTAGCGGACAGCTGTTTACTGAAAAACACTGCACTTCCAAAAATGATCTGCAGCATAAATCTAATTAAACCAACCATTTTCTATCTACTACAGGAGCCAGAGACAGTGTCAAAAGAGGCCCTCTGTACGATTTCTGTGAATGTAGCCAGACACTGCAGTTAGCACCAGTTTCAAGGTTCCAATATTTCTTTGCCATATTTATCCAGAAAAGATGCAGATACAACTGAATGCTTACTTGCCAGATATTCCTGCATCAGCAAAAAAAGAAACATAGACAATATTGTGTACAATTGTGAATATCATACATATTCAAATAATAATAATGACAAAGAATTATTGTGTAATAATAACTGGCTAATAGTTCATTTTAGTTTTTACATGAAAGATTTTTTTCTTAGATGTATTTAGCGGCTTACCTCCCTCTGTCTGGTGTGCTGCGCTGCTCTTTCAAGCCTCTGCTTGGATCCCATCTGGGATGAGAGTATTTAATGTATTCATTAAATCTCAAGAGTGCTTACTAGGAAGAAACCACTCAGGCTGGTCTTGATAATGACAGGAGTGCAACTCAGGCAGTTTCTTGTGAAAATAATTAAAAAAGGGGCAAAGCTAACTAAGGGAAAGTGTTTCCAGATTTATATCTTTCTTGTTAGTCATTTGCTATGGGGAAAGTACATCAGTGCACAAGTGTACATCTATTAACGGTGCTTAAGAGTGTAATAAGCATTACTAAATGGTTAAATGATGCAGGAATTAATTATTAACTAATAATAGAAATAAGAACTGGTTCGGTTTTAGGTTTTATGACTTCGTTTATAATCTATATAATTCAATAGTTTATATTACTAAATGCTTCATTTATGTCTCAATATATCATTACCTAATGATAGTAATGATAATTAGCGCATGATAATAGTTTTCATTAAGTAGTTTATAAATGTATTAATTAATATGGCTCAACAATTGGGACAGTAAGAATCAAGCACTAATGAATTTACTAAGTCTATAATAATCTCAAAGTCTGAATTTAAGTCTTATACCTTATGATATATATACTGATATCATACTGTAAATACTGTAAATAATATATATATATATATATATAGATATCATACTGTATGTACTTTAATTCAAGCCTGTGATATTAATGGTGGAGTTGTTTAGGCTGTTAGCTATCTTTTAGCCTGTAAGCTAGCTGACAGCCTAGTTCTAATTTTTTTCACTTATAATGCTGATCTTAAGAGACATGTGCAGCCAACTTACAATAAGAACAAATAAGAATCAATAATTACTAATAATGCTTAGGTAGTACATTCAAAAAGAATTACATATAAAAAATTTAAACTAATATGTTGGAAGTAAAGAAATGTGCCAACATCTATTTCTTGAAAAGAACAGAAAAAGCAATCATAGATCATGGAGCCTCTCCACAGATCTCAGCCTTTACCAAGAAGCCTTAACTTACCTCAGCACATGGATGACCATTAAATGGTAGAGCAAGTATTACACTGTACACTCTCTCTACCAGTTAAGATGATCTTCACTCTAAGATGCTTTTGGGAAACTGGGCACTGATTAGTTGGAACAGTGAAACACCTAAACATGCAGAGCAGGAACACTGCAGGAGCAGTTTAGGCATCTGACAATCTGCCATACTAAATTAATATTTTAAAAATACTAAATATTAACATGAGAACTTAGCCAATAGCTGCACAATGGTTCAACTGGTGAATGATTTAGTTATAAAATCTATAAATAAAAGTCTTTATTTGACATTACCATAGACTTCAGTAAATTGTTCATTAATGCTTAATTTGTACTGGCCCAATGGTTGAGTCACTTTCAATATACAATATTGCTGCTGTCAGATGAAAAACCTTGTATCTCCATTTTTGTTGTTTCTCAGGTTTTGAAATAATTTGAAAATACCTGTTGCTTTTTACATTGTTTGTAAATTTCATGATGAATGGACCAAAGAAAATGGCCCAAAATTACTTGGAAAAACATCTGGTTCCATTGACGTATATTAAAAATAGTTTTTTCCTTTTCCTGTAAAGTTGTCATTTTGGAGATACAAGGTTTTCCTCTGACAACAGTGATATGCTAGTTTTTATTACTACAGTTACTGAATGACTGAGATATTATTTAACCATTTAGTAATGATTGTAAACTAAAATGATGTTAGTTCTTGTGTCTAGTTGCAACATCACTTAACCGTTTAGTAATGCTTTTTACTGTCTTAAGTACTGTTAATAGATGCACCATTATTGTAAATTGTTACTTTTGTTTCCAATACTATCAGGGAAGTGTCAAGTATAAAGAGCTGGTAATTATCATTACTGTGACAGCACATTATTGAGGATTACATACTGGTTTCATGGTAGTGTACATATTGGGGACTGGATGACAAGGTCAGTGAGATTCGACGGTCAGTAGATGACATGCTGTCTTGCATCCTGTAAGCTTAGAGGCAGATTTACTAAGAGAGACAGTCTACCAATACTTTGCTACTGGTGGTGGTTGGTTTAGTGGGTTTTTTACTAAGGACCTCTAAGCAATTTATAAGCAATTAATTTATTATGTCACCATTTATTCATCAAAATAAATATTTTGACTTAGTAGGTCAGAATAATGACTAATATGAAAAAGGTAAATACTCATCTAGAAAGTATGTGATTATTTAAACATCATGAGTAATTATTTTGAGAAAATAAAGCATTGATTCATCAGAAATTTGAGGAAATTAAACTATTTTTACACTGTTTTTATGTTATGTTCATTTTCAGCTGGAGGGATGAGCTGAACTTGAGTTGTGTGTGTGATTGGAAACTAAATGTTATGATAAAATCCCTATTTAATGTCACTGAGCGCATCTGGGTTGTTTGAAAACTATATGATTTTAGCACAACCTTTTTTGCTGTGTGGAGTATGTCAAACAATGGCTGTGAAATTTTTGCCACAGTGCACACATAAACTACAGTGCACAGAAGCCAAAGTGTGCAGGAAAAATAAAGAAGTAGTAGCTTTGAAGAAGGGAATACAGATTGTTTGTAAAGTAAAAATCTCAAATCATCATAAGGTAAAAGCTGTTCTTTGATAAGTGCAAAATACACCCCCAAATATTAGAGGAAAAAAAAACTTAAAAACAATTTTTCTAAAACTATTTTGTTTGATTTTACTTCTTTTATGAAATTAAGAATAATAGGACATGCCAAGCAGGTTTTTTTGTTTGAAGAACTTTTTTTTCATGTGATTCATGTTTGCACCAAAAATAAGACACGCTTTTCACAGGAGTTAAATAGCGCACTGTCAGTTTTTACTGTGAGTCTTGGAAAACTGGAGTAGGTGCTTCATTATAATAATCTCTCCTAGTATTTTGCGCTTTGAAGGGGAAACTCCTAAAAATGCATATGCAGTGAGGCAGAAGCGCACCCGTTTTGTCTTTTTATGGGCGCTGAAGTGCCGTTGGACCTATAAAATTACTATAAAAGCTACTTTTTAATGCCAAAATGGAGTTTGCGACATGCAAACATCAATAAATCTGCCCTTTATTCTTCTCTGAACTCTACTGTGACAATTTTAATCACTACATGATCACATCCAGTGATGAGACTGATGTTGCTATGTGTAGTAAACGTGCTGCTGTTATTAAAGTCATTTGTGGAAATGTATGGATGAAGTTTACAATTAGTATGTAATTGTTGTCACACCTGTATTAAAGTAGTGGATTGCGTGGCGACTAGTGTGTTGGAAACATGCCAATGGAATAAAAGGTAGAAGATTTGTGGCCATAAACAGGAATGAAATAAGAATGAAAAACAAATGCTAAAGCTTTATGGTGCTGAAATCATGCTTTATTAAATCAGAAATTCATAAAACTCAAGGAGGCTGAATATATAGGTGATGCTACATAAATTAATTGCTATTAAATCAAAGGGCAGGGCATTACATTCATTTTTCATTTTCTTTGCACAGCAGATGTAGTCGCTGTGGTACATTGCTTGATGATTGCCCTGACTGCTGACAAGATGAGATTCTAAAGCTAACACACACTAACACACAAACACACAAAATATAATCTAGCAATCCTCCAAGAGGTGGCACAGCTTCTGCAAAGAAGCGTTTGAACTGATTTAGAAATGAATGGCCAGGTGATGTTACGTTCATAAAATCAAATTCAAACAGTCCTTCGTCAGAAATTGTGCACAGAACATCATCAGCTCAAACTGCAGGCCGCTCGCACTTTGAGCATGTCATTAAAATAGTGGTATGACATAATCAGTCTGAACACAAGGCCTAGTCATGCTGCTTACATGAGGGTAAAATGTAAACAGCACTCAGGGTCTTGTGGTCAAGTTACAAATTCATGAGTACTGCATTACTGCCTGCACAGGTGTACAGTGCATAACATTGTCTCTCTGATTTTGTAGAACTTCAACAGGGAGCCTCTCTACCTGCTGAGGCAATCTTAAGACTTCAACTTATTGTTGAGGCACATAGTTTTGTTTCAGGTTTTACAGGGTATTCGTTCCATGAGAAACTTTCTCCTGTTAAACATTTAGTTCCATTTTTTCAGTTAAAATTGTCATAAATAACAATTCATACATTTCCCATAACCGTTATATTCGGCTATATACATTATGTACATGTCACAGAAAAATGGTTCAAAAATCCTAGTCATAATCATCCAATATGGCACATTTTATAACAACTTTAGACTTTAGTCTAGTTTGGCATAAATTAATGTCAAGTTTGGTATAAAAATAGTTCATATTTACAAGAACAGAGATCCAGGTCTTTATCTAGAACAGAGTATTTTTTAACTCATTCAATAAATAAAAAGATATTGCAGGAAGGAAAAGGGGTATGGGTTTGATTACTGTTGTAATTTTTTCTTTACATAGATCGAATGCTCACATTAACAGTAGCAGTATCAGACCCAAACTCGTTGGAAAGTTTGAGGGTGTATGCCCCAGCGTCATTCTCTTTTACGCCACTAATGGTGAGTGTCGTGATTTCATCAGTTGTTTTAATCTGGAACCTTCCACTCTCTTCACTGGACAGTATCCTCCCTGAATGAGACCACTGAACATCTGGCACAGGGTCTCCGGAGAAAGCACAGGCCACAGTCAGAACTTTTCCTGATTCAATGCTGATATCCTCAGGGGCAGCTTCAATTTTAGGAGGTACACCTGTTGAATAAAACATTATATGAGTGTTGTTGGCATCATAGGGCTCATGGCACTTCCAGAAAACTGCACGTGGTACAAATAAATAAAAGCATTTTTTTTCTTTCTCACCTTTGACCCCACGAGTAATGGATCTGATAGAAGATCCCGCAACATGTGAGCGACTGGACATTTCCATCATGCTGCTTGAACTCATGGCTACCTTTGTTTCAGATGTCATGGAGGTCATGCTAGTTGCAGACATGCTTTGAAATTTAACCTGTGCCATGCTGGAGCTGCGGAAGGCTGCCTCCTGCATTGTTGAAGCCATATGCAAGGCAGAGTAGCTGCCTTGCAAGCTTGTAGCATCAGAACTTTTCTCCACTACTATCATTTTGACAGGTTCTTCAACCAGAGCTAGGAGAGTATAGCAAATAATGACCAGGTCATTCACACAGGCATACAGGCAAGTCATTTGATAAAGGAACATTCCACTCAAAATTCAGTGTTTAATTTATGGATCTCCTTTGCAGTTAAACTTGTGTATTTGACTATAGTGTCTGTACAGTATTATCCATGCAAAATAATACTGTACTATAGTCTGGAGATCAGCTTGACAGAAACTGTAATATTTACAAAAATTCAGTATTACACAATGCACGAAGCAGGTTTGTGCTGACATATATGTAGCAATTTCTCATGTATCACAAGTAAAATACAAGGAACCTCACTGTCATGCAAGTACTGATGTTAATAGATAAAAAGAGAAGAAAAAGACTTACTATGAACATTGAGAGATGCTGTTACAGAACACTGTCCAAATTGGTTCTTGGCTCTTATTGTGTATTTTCCACTGTCTTCAACAGTAGCATTGTGAATCTCCAGTGTGTACACATTCTTAGAGCGGCTCAATTTCATATTTGATGTTACAGATAACTAGAAAACAAAAACATCAGAAATTGTTTCCTAATTTAACATACTCTTCAAATTATAGTTTAAATATGACTTGTAAATTCATACACAGGAAATTATGCCCATAATCACAGTTAACGAAAATAATCGTTTTATAAACACATACTGTTCTCACTTTGCCAACCAGCCAAACAGCTCAAATCTTACATATTAAAAATTTAATACTACTCACCACTTTATTGTCCTTGAGCCATTCAATTTCAGGAGTAGGTTCCCCTGTGATTTCACAAGAGAATTCGACATCCTGTCCCTCATTTACATTCTGGGAACGTGGTTGCACTACAAAACGTGGTGCATCTGAGCGCCTTTGACTAACTGTTGTGTCAAAATGGCACTTGACCACACCCTGTGCAGTTTTTGCCTCACATGTGAGGATTCCTCTATCATAGGAGCTGACACTTTTAATAGTCAAAGTGTGGTCACTGCCAGAAATACCATATCTGTAGTTCTCTGAATTTGCCAGTTCCACTCCGTTCAGAATCCATTTCACGTCAGAAGCCCCAGGGATGTTTGCTTTTAATATGACAGACTGACCCTCAATCATTGTCATTTGTGCTTGTGATGCTTTGATTTCTGTAAAGGACTGGACTTCCTCATGGATAATCTCCTTTTTTACAATTTCTTCTGTTTTTGTGTCCACAATACCTGCAGTTGTTTTTGTTGATTCTGAAAGAATAATGGAAATTATTGAAGTGGCATTAATAACAAATTAATAACTATCCCAGTATTATGTTTAGAGTAATTAACATAGCTTATCATACCTTTAACAGTGACAATGCAACTTGACGTAACTGATCCAGTGCTATTTATGGCAGTGCATTTATACACACCACTGTCAGAGACATCAGAATCATAGATTTCAAGGTGTGCAGAACCATGTTCTTCAAATATTTCAAATTTGCCACCCTGAGACACACTCTGAAATGAGAAAGTTGGACATTAAACACTATCATTATAATATCTGTTTGTGCTAATGTCTTAACAATACATTATCTAAGCAATGAATAATCCATTCTTACAAATACTATAATTACCTTTCCATCTTTCATCCAGGAGATCACTGGTTTAGGCTCACCAGTCACTTTTACTGTCAGCTTGATAATGGTTTCTGAAGAAGCTGTGATGTCATTCAGTTCTGCTGTGAAAGTAGGTTTTGTTGTTTTCTCTCTTGGAGTTGGTGATTTTGCTGTTAGTGGGGACTTGACTCTCTGTGGTGACCTGATTGGCTCAGGTGACTTAATTCTTGGTGGGGATTTGATTCCTACAGGTGACTTTACACGTGGGGAGACTGGAGATTTCACTCTTGGTGGAGAAGCAACAACTTTCTGCACAGGTGTTGGTTTGCGAACAGTCAAGGTGAACTGAGCTTCTTGCTTACCTTCTGAATTCTCCACAACCACTGTGTAATTACCTTCATCTGAGACCTCAACTTGGGAGATCTCAAATGTAGACTTGTATTCTGTTGTTGTTACGTGATGACGGTGAGATGACACAATGGTTTGTCCCTCTCTCATCCATGTTACACTGGGTTTTGGTTCACCATCCACATCACATGTAAATTTTGCTGATTCTCCTTCAGATACTGTGAGAGACAGTGGCTTAGTCAGTATTGTAGCTGGAAAGGTTGGTTTCTTTGTCTCTACAGGAGCTTCCGTCACTGTTGTGACTTCTTCAAGTTTCTTCTCGGACGATTCATATACTTCATGAACAACAGTTTCTGTTGTCTCAGTTTTGATTTCTGATGTTTTAAATTCAGTTACTGTCTCTGTCACTTGTGTTTCAGAAGTGGCAGTTGCTTTTGTAGATGACACATGATAAACATCAGTTTTTGTCATTTCAGGTACAAAGGGAGTTGGAGGCTCCTCATCTTTGCGCTGGGAAGCATACGCAGAAAATCCACCTCCAGAAACATCAAGAGTGGCATAGTCTGAGGCTTCTCCCTTTGCATTTGTGCAGACAACACGATATGTGCCACTGTCTTCTTCTTGGCAGTCAATAATTTGGAGAGAAAGAACTCCACTCATGTTATACATATGGTACTTTTTGCTTTCTTGAATAGGCTGGCCATTGTGATACCACTGGATTTGCGCCTCAGGCTTAGATTGGACATTCAGTGTGAATTTTGTATTCTGACCAACTGGTACACGGTGAGAGCGCATTCTTACAGTCACCCTAGGTATGTGGTCAAGACTGAATGGCTGCTGAGTCACAATTTCAAACTTTGTCTTAGTTTTGAGAGCTTTCTTCTTTGCCTCATACCTTTGCATGTAATCAACTTTTGTGGACAAGTCTTGCGTAGAGAAGTCAGTTGAAGGGCTCAGGGAGCGTGGTCGTGTCTGCTCTGGTGTTGGAGGTCTGACTATTGCCTCTTTCTCCTTCACTACTGAGGGAAGTTTGTCAGATTTAGGCCGTGTTACTTTTACATAGCCGGGTGAAAATGATCTAATGGGTACATCAGGTAGGTCAGCTGCAGCTCCTTCAACCACTGCTGGTACTGAAACCTTTACTTTCTCTTTTCTTGAGATTCTTGTTTTTTCCTCAAACTCTATGTGTTTCAGTTGACTCTTGTAGGAGGTTAGCCTTGTGGTGGTTGTGACTGATCTGAGCAGCTCTTGGTCCTCCTTTTCTTCATACATTCTTTGCTTCTGTCTTGGAGGTCTGTATGTTGCCTTTTCATGTCTCTGACGTAGATCGATGTAGCTTGGCCCAGCCTCATACTTAGAGGGTATACGATAGGAGTCATAAGTTGGAACCTCTTCTCCTTCTTCCTCTTCATCATATGCAGTTCTCTTTGGTGAAGGATGGCGCAAAGCAGAAAGTTCAAAGCGTACAGGGCTCAGACTTGGTGGAGATGCAGAGTATCCCAGTTCAAGTTCTTCTTCAAGTTTAAGTCTTTCCTCCTCAGTTCTCTTCATTGACAGGTATTCATTAACTGGAAGAAGCAGTTCCTCATCAGAAAGATCACCAAGGGAGCGTCGTCTTATTCTGTAGTAAGCTTCTATTTCTGGAGAAGGAGTACGGCGCCTTGCTGGTCTTACAGTTTCTAAGTCGTCTTGTGAAACAGTTGAAATACGCCATTTTGGCTTGTATTGGTCTTTAATTCTTGGCATAGGCACTTCATAGAATTGTTCCCACCTTGAAAGCCGGATACGTTTAAGTCTCTTCTGAGGAATCTTGTCCAATGGCTCAGGGAACTCATACTGGTCCCGTAATTTCTTGTACCATTTCATGTCAGAGAATGGTTTGAAGTGTTTTATCTCCACGTCCTCCTCAAGAGCAGTAGGAGCATGAACACGAGGCGGAGGAACAATATATGGCATTCTCAACCTCTTTTCCTCAGCTCTCTTCTTTTTCTCTTCTTTTTCTTTTGCTTCCTCTGCTTCAGTCTTTACTTTCTTGGTGGTAACTGCTGGCTTGAACATAGTTGCAGCCTCTCTCAATGCTTGTTGTGCAACAGGAGTAAGTGGAGTGACATCTGCACCAGCAAGAATCTGTGTTAGTCGTACTTTTTTGTCAATCTGTTGCTGGTCAAGAGCTTGTTTCTTCTTCTTTTCATCCTCACTCTCAAAGTCCTTCTTGACATGTGCTACACGTTCAACCTTCAATGTGGCTTGACAACTTGCAGAACCAGCTGAATTAGTTGCAGTGACTCTGTATGTACCAGAATCCTCTGGAAGCGTGTCTCTGATGTGTAAGACAAAGTAGTCCAAGCCCTCATGAACAACTTCAATTTGTGGACCAAATGCTAGTGGTGTGCCATCTTTTTCCCATTTCAGAGATGGTGTTCCTGACACTCTTATCTCAAATCGGACACTCTGGCCCTCTCTGCATTCCAGGTTCGCCAACAGGCGTTTAAACATGGGTCTCAAAGTATTATCAGCAGGTGCAGGACGAGGTGTCACTGTGAGACGAGCCTTGCAGCTATCATCACCATACCTGTTGCGTGCCACAACAGAGTATTCAGCATCATCATCAGGGTCCAGATTGTGAATCACTAACTGATACAGGCCCTTGTCACTGACAAAAGTGTATTTTCTATCATCATCGCCTGGGGAAATCTTCTGCCCAGATTTCAACCACATGACACGTGGCTCAGGGTGCACTGTGATGGTGACACCAAAACGAACATCTTCACCAATGTAAGCGGTGCGGTTGCACAAAGGAAGGGTGAACTCTGGAGGTCTTTGAAGAAGTCTGGCTGTGTCTACTCTGCGTTTAACTTTCTTTACAACTTTCTTTGCTGTGAAAAAGCTGCGGTATTCTCTGACACCTTTGACAAAGAGCTCTGCATATGCGCTGTCCTCACCATACTCATTAACAGCTTTGCACCTGTATGTTCCATCATCTGTTCTGTTGATACCTTTGATAGTTATGGTAGCAAGCCCCTCCTCATAGGTAATTTCATATCTAGCACCTTCTTCAAGTTGTCTGACCCCACAGTACCATGTAACCTCAGTACTACTGTCATAATTTTCAATGTTGCAAATAAACTTGACATCATCACCTTCATCAGCAACCCCATGTCTGATCTGCCCAGCAACTGGACCATGTTCAAATGGCGCAATCTTTGCTTTGGCAACTGTTACACCTCTCTGACTTCTGATAGCGCCACCACTGGCAACACGAGCAGATGAGACAACTGTGTTCCATTCTTTCTTCACCATAGCGTGGTAGTATCTCTTGTGTCTTGTGGTCTTGATTGACTTAGTGCTAAGCTCCTCTGTGTTCTTAGTCAGCCAAGGATGATTTAAGGCTTCAGCAGCAGTCATGCGATGTTTGCGATCTTTAGTAAGTAGACGGTCTATAAAGTCTAATGCTTCAGTGCTTGCATCTTTGAACGACTCATCATCAAAACTGTATTCTGCATTGGAGATGTTGTCAATTGTTTGTTGATTAGTTTCAGCAATGAAAGGATTGAGTCCACTGAGAAGAATATACACTAAGACACCAACAGACCACATGTCTGTGACAGTGCTGACCATCTCATTCTGATGGATTTCAGGTGCACAATATTCAGCTGCTGTGTACTGAATCTTGATTTGGTCTCCAGGAGTAAGATGTCTAGCTTGTCCTAATTCAATGATCTTGACAGTGGTTCCCCTCCTTGTGGTATACACAATATTCTCAGGTCTGATATCAAAGTGACCATAACTCTTGCTGTGTAAAAATTCAAGAGCTTCACAAACCTGTTTGATGTAGTTAACAATTACACGCTCGTTGAGCTCAAAGTCAGCTGTACCAAGGCGCTCAAATATGTCGACACCAGAGATGAACTCATAGATCATGACCAGTTCTTCAGGACTGTCGAATGACTCATGGAGTAACAAGAAGTTCTTGTGGCGTGCCAAATTTAGGGTTGCAATTTCTTTCTTCACTATTGCTTGATCAGCACCTCGGACTTTGACAAATTTGGCCATGAATGTCTTCTCAGAACTAACTGCAACACAGCGATGAACAATGCCAAACTTTCCACGACCAAGCTCTTCAGCAATCATGTATTTGTTGTGTAAGTTCTTAGCCTCTGAATGTGGAGCTTTACCCACAGAAACAGACATGGTGTCATCAACTTCCTCATCATAATTAAGAACTCTTGATTTGTCTTCTTTTGTCACTACAGGTCCACTTGGCTCAGATGGTGCACTTTGACCAAATTTACTCTCTGCTATTACACGGAATTGGTAGCTTGTCTTTCCGAACAGATTGGTGACAGTGTAGTGAGTGTCACGTGACTGGGCAACGCGGATCCATCTTTCTGCTGTGGTGGCACACTTTTCTACAATATAGTTTGTGACTCTACTTCCACCATCACTAGCAGGTGCCACCCAATCCAGAGTTACAGAATCTCTAGAGACATCACTGGCTTTGATACCACGAGGTGGGTCAGGCACATCGGCAACATCAAGTTCGACTGTTTGCTGGTCAATGCCAAATCTATTCTTTGCACAGACAATATAGAACCCAGCATCTTTCCTTTCAACTCCATTAGGGAACACTAAAGATGTGAATGATCTTGTGACAATAACTTGATAATAGCCATTGTTATCAATAAGGTCTTGTCCTTTCTGCCATGTGATAACTGGATCAGGTTTTCCGCTGAATGGAATCTTGATGTTCACCACCTCACCACGAAGAGCATGGATAGCCTCTTTATCTTGTAAGTTCTTAGGTAAATGAATCTTTGCAGGTACTGTAAGAAAGAGAAAAATATTATTATGCATTTCCAATACTGAATTAAAATGATAATCAAATGTATAATATGTTTTTTGCAAACTTACTTTCAACATCCAAAGAAACAGTGGCAGAGATAGATCCTCCCTGGTTTGTTGCTCTAATCTGATACACAGTAGAGTCTTCCTCATCAGCATTAGAAATAACAAGCTGGTGATAGCCTCCCTTAAACTCTTGGATCTTGATTTTGGTTCCATCGGCCTGTATTTCTTTGCCTCGCTTGAACCATTTGATCACAGGTTTGGGCTGTCCTGTTATCTTGCAAACAAATGTTGCACTGCTCTTGTATTTCACACTCATATTCCTGAGGTCTTCCTTGAAGGCAGGAGCATGCACTTCAACCTCAGTTTTTGGTACAACAGGGTCAGACTCTTCACTGTATTCACTTTCTCCGCCAAGATTTTCACATTTCACACGGAAAATATACTCCACCCCTTCTGTAAGCCTCTTAACTGAGTAAACTGTCTGGTGGATTTCATCTGTGGTTACAGCAATCCATTCAGCCTGCTTCTTCTCTTTCTTCTCCAGGCGATAGTTCTTGATCTTAGAACCTCCATCACTAAGAGGTGGTTTCCAAGACACAATGCAGGAGTTTTTGGTCACCCCAGACACAACTGGTTTCAATGGTGCTCCTGGCTTATCTGTAAAAGATTTAATATGCATATGTAAATGATAATGTGAATTGTTAAGGTTGCAATTATGTCTTGTTTTGTGCTATTACTTGACTTACCTAACTGACTCTTGATAAGAATAGCACATGGTGTTTCCAGTGGTTCACTGTTGCCATAACGGTTTTGCGCTGAAACACGGAAGAAGTAGCCTTCATTTTCCACAAGGCTAGGAATACGACATGAAGTGCCTGTGATTGATGATGACACAAGTTGCCACCCTGCTCCTTCCTTGTCTTCACGCTTCTCTACAATGTAGTTTGTGATCATTGATCCACCATCATCTTTTGGTGCCTTCCAACTAATGATCACAGAATTCTTAAGTAAAGCTTCAAGAACAATAGGACCTTCTGGCATGGCAGGTTTGTCTGAGGACAGAAAATAATAGGTTATTTGAGTACTATCACACTACACCAAAAGTAAAATATGTTGATTTTTTAATCACAGAAAAAATACCTAGGATTTCAAGTTGAGTTACTGTGTCTGCAGAGCCAAAGTGATTGTTGATTCTGATTCTGTACTGTCCACCATTCACCCTGCGTTGAACATTCTTCAAAATCAAATGAGTGTAATGCTCTGTATTCTCAATACTGACATTCTCAGAAGGCTCAACAGGTTTGGCACCATGCAGCCACATAATCTTGGGCTCAGGTCGGCCTATGTATACAGCATGGATACGCACAGTGGTACCACATCCAGCAAAGATTTTGTCTTTTAATGGGACAGGGAATTGTGGTGCTGCTTCGAGAACCAAGGTTCCACTGGTTTCACACTCTCCCGCTTCATTCACAGCTTTGCATGTGTACAAGCCCTCATCTTCCTGCTGATCTGTTGAGATGGTCAATGTATGGTTACGACCATCAGAGGTTGCAGCATACTTGCGTCCCTCTTTGACTTCCTTTCCACCTTTGTACCATTTGATTTCTGGAACAGGCCTTCCAATAATCTGACATTTTAGGGTGGCAGTCTGTCCAAGCTTGGCAGTAACTTCATCTATCTCCTTTCTGAGGGCTGGTTTAGTTCCAACTGATAAAAGATGGACAATACATACTTATTAATTAATTAATTAATTAATGCATTTATTTTTAAAGGGAATAAAGTGTGTGAGTTGTACACTGCAAATATAAAGCACAACAACTGTACTTACCACTAAGTTTGGTCTTGATCCCAATTGCAGTCCTGCGGGGTCTGCTGATTCCAGTTTCATTTTCAGCAAATACTCTAAATTCATACTCGGTAGCCTCCTGCAAGTCACCCTGAGTAAACTGTTTGTCCTTTGAGCGCTCCCTGTTGCACTTCTTCCAGGTGCTTTCTCCTGATTTTCTGTACTCAAGCCAATAACCAAGGACTGGCTTTCCACCATCACATTCAGGTGCTTCCCAGCGAATGGTGATGTAGTCTTTAGTTACCATCACAGTGTCTATCTCACCTGGTTGGCTTGGTTTGTCTAAGGCAGAGAAGTGAGCAATTACATTATAAGCAATTGTATTTGTGTGTGTATATATATGTGTGTGTGTGTTTAGCAAGAAATAGCCTTACCAAATGGATCTTTGCATATGACAGAATCTGATGCAGGTCCAGCTTCACCCTCTCCAATATCATTCACAGCAATCACACGGAACTGATAGTCTGCATCAGTAGTGAGACCACTGAGGGTGTACATGGTAGAAGTCACCTTTGTCTCATGACGAACCCATTTATCAGATGACACTTCTTTGTACTCAATGAAGTATCCAGTGATCGGAGATCCACCATCATCTTTAGGTTTAGTCCAAGCCAAAGCAGCAGAGTTCTTAGTGACATCCATGACCTCTGGTGGTGTACTTGAAGCTTCTGGCACACCTTTTAATTTAAAAGCATACAAGAATTATTTATAGTTTATAATACTTATTTATACGTATAGATAGGTAAAAAGATACTTACAAATTGGAGTCTTTGGTACAACAGGTTGCTCTGATTTAAGGGAACTGCTGATGCCAAACTTATTCTCTGCTGTCACCTTAAAGTGGTACTCAACATTTTCTTGGAGCCCTTTAACCACCAGAGATGTGTCAACCACTCGTGAATCCACAGTGTACCAGGCTGCCTTTTGTGACTGACGCCTCTCCACAATATAGCCGAGGATTTCTGTCCCACCATCATCTTTCGGTGGTTTCCAGCTCACTCTTACAGAATGAGCCTGGATATCATCAAACCTGAGTGGACCTTCAGGTGCAGAAGGACGGCCAATAACCTTAACCTTGATCTGCACTACTTTTTTGCCACATTTGTTTTCAAGATGGAGAGCATATACACCAGAGTCTGACTTTTCAGCCTCCTTGATAACAAGCTCAGTAACATCTTCATTGGAAGCAATCAGTGCACGGTTAGGGACCTCAGCTCCATCCTTCGACCATTTGCAAACAGGTGTTGGTTTGCCTTTGATTGGAACTGAAAGTTTGATGACTGCTCCATGTCTGACAACAAAGACATCTTTGTACTTAGCTTCAAGATCATGACTCGGAGGTTCTGAAATAAAGCAAATATTTCAGATTAGTTTAATAACAAATAATTAGATATAATTAAGAATTCAACAGAAAATAGTAAAGTTTTAGTAACATTATACCAAGTCTCTCTTTCACAGTGACTGTTCCTGGAACTTCAGCAGGCTCGCCTGGTCCTCCAGCATTACAGGCCATGACTCTGAATTTGAACTCCTCTCCTTGGGGCATTTTAGTCAGAGTATATTCACAAATCATTGATGGTGTGGTATTGCACTTAATCCAGGCTACAGAGCCAACCTTCTGCATCTCGATCAGATAACCAGTAACTTTAGAACCACCCTCTTCATCAGGTGGATTCCAGGCCAGTGACACAGATGTCTTTGTGGTGTCTGTGACTCTTGGATTCTGAGGTGATCCAGGTGGATCTGTAGAGATTGTCAATAGTTATAACATTAGTCTTAACAATACATTGTTACTTGGGGAATTGAAATACAGGAATATCCAAGGTGAAACTTACCAACTGGATCAGTTGCCACAGCTGGCTTGGATAGTAGACTAGGTTTGCCAACACCTCTAGAATTAATGGCCGTCACTCTATGCTCATATTCAAGGCCTTCAATAAGACCAGTGGATCTGTATCTCGTCATTGTCACAGGGTTCTTATTTGCACGCACCCAACGGTCAGCTCTGACCTCTTTGCGTTCAATGATATAGCCAGATACCTCTAATCCACCATCCTCATCTGGTGGTTCCCATGCAACGGTCATGCCATCACGTGATACATCAAACACTACTGGTCGACCTGGTGGTCCAGGAATTGCTGTCATAACAGAATTTTTTTTAAGTTAGTGTGACTATATGTAAAATTGTACAAACTTTAAATAATCATGGAGAACAAGATTTTCCTTACATTTAGAACTCCTGCACATCACAACGTCAGACTGCAAGAAGTCTCCAGTACCATAGCGATTAACTGCTGCTACTCGGAAGACGTATTCATCTCCTTCTGTCATTCTGTCAAACTTAAAGGTTGGTCTGCTGACTGATTCAGAGACAGGTACCCATCCTGGACGATGAGCATCACGTTGCTCAACCACATAATTAGAGACAGGAGCACCTCCATCCCTTTCTGGTGGGTTCCAGCTTATTGTAACTGAAGTGGCATCAATCTCATCAAACTCCACTGGACCCTTGGGCTGATCAGGTTTGTCTGTAGAAGAGAAAGATTATATTTTTAAAGTTTTGTAAAATCTTTTTACAGAATCACAACAGATAAATAACAGTTAAGACAATGACTTACCGAGAATGATAACTTTGATCTTTTCTGTAGTAATTCCTGTAATATTCTTCACTTCAAGCATGTACTCTCCAGTATCGTCAATTGTGGTGTCAAGAACAGTTAATTTGGTGAACTTAGCTGTTGACTGGATTTTCACACGTTGTTGTATCTTTAACTTATTGTCATTAAAGAACCAAGAGCAAATTGGAGGCGGTCTTCCAATGATTGGCAAATGAAGTTCAAGGGGTTTGCCGGCCAAAACACTGATGATCCTCTGGGGAATGCTTGACAGATCAACCTTTGGCATAACTGCAACAGAAAGATGCAAATGAGGCAAAAAAAATGAGGCAAAAATGAGGCATTATACAGAGGGCTGCTACTATTTGTTGACATACATTTTTTGTGACTCAGCTGTTTAAATGTAAAATGCAGATTTGAATTTTTATTTGTGCATATTTATTTGTTCAGATTTTTTAAGCAGCACACCATCTAAACATCTAATAATCAATATTTGCAGCATCTTTCTCCAATAATCTGTTTTATCCCAGCAAGCAATGTGATAACATCACAGAGATTCAAATAAACATGTTTGTGTTTCTGGTCAGACACTTGTAGGCTAACTTTTGATTCGGTTTACCAGTTGTTGCTATAAGTTTAAAACATCACGTTTCCAGCCTTTAAATCACTGTTTGTTAACATAACAGTAACCTGATAATATGGCTAAAGCTGTGTTAAGTTAGCCTACAGGCTACTGTTATTGTAGTCTATTATTGCTATTAAGCAGGGCAATATTAAATTTTGATCACTTTAAAATCATTATTATCACTATAATGAAATTATTCTAATCATAAATAGCCCACATTTCACGAGAGACATGTGTGAAAGGCTACAATTAATGGCTTTATCTCTTTAGCAGATGATATTACTAAGATCCCGCTTTTTAACAAATTGTTGGAAATGCAGTTATAATAGTTATAGGGGAAAAAAACATGTATATGAACTTTGTATTGTTATAAATGTATAATTTAAATTAATCAATGCATCTATAAAAGAATCAAGATAGCTTACTGTATTATTCTATAGATTACTTGATTCTATAGATAATCTATTCTATAGAATAGATTACTAAATAATTGTTAGCAAAAGCCTTAATCATACATTAAATCATATTTAAAATGGTTGGTAAATACCTCTTTGTTCTTGTACGGTCACAGCAGTGACAGTTTCTTTGGGATCACCCACTCCTCTGCTGTTGACAGCACGTACCCTGAAGAGGTACTGCTCATTTTCATTCAGTTTATCAATAGTGAACTCAAAGTCTGTTAATTTCAAAGTGGCGACCTTCATCCATTTGTCTGTATTGGCCTTGCAAGCTTCAACAATGTAGCCAGTGATTCTACTGCCTCCATCATGTTCAGGTTTCTCCCATCCAAGAGTTACAGAAGACTTTGTGATATCTACAACATCCAACTTCGCTGGAGGCAGTGGCACTTCACACACCAACACAGCATCTAGTGTCTCACAAGGTTCGCCTATACCATATATGTTTTCTGGCAAGACTCTGAAGTAGTAGAGCATTCCTTCTTCCAGGCCTGTAATTTTGTATGATGTCTTGCTACATTTGGAAGTCACTGTTTTGTAGGCTCTCATTGATGTTTCTCTTCTCTCAATGATGTAATTATTAACAGGTGCTCCACCATCAACCTCAGGAGCATCCCAAGTAATATGAGCGGACTCTTTTGTTAGTTCCTTCATTTTAATAGGACCTGGTGGACCAGGAGTATCTAAAAAAAAAAAACATACAAAATTATGAAACAATATGTACTACTATTTACTGAATATACATCATATTCCATAATATTTGTGGGTAAGTACTCTAAAACATACCATAGATCTTCACAAGAATGCTAGCATCCTTCTTGCCAGCTGAATTAGAAGCTTCAACGGTGTATTTTCCAGCATCGTAGCGGTGCACCTTATCAATAATCAGGGTGGTGGCAGTATTAGTCACTTCAATGAACCCACGGTTCTCGAGATCTACACCAGGTTTGCTCCAAGTGATAGCTGGAATGGGTCTTCCCATAACAGTAATATGAAGACGTAGAGAGCCTCCAGCTCTTAGGCAAATCGTCTTCTTCAGATCATCAGGAAGCTCAAGATCAGGAGTTTCTGAGAAAATTACTTGTTTTTATTATGACAGCAAAAACAGTACTGTGGGAACATTTTTATTGATGTTTGACAATAAATGTGTTTTAACTATGAAATCTTTAAACATACCGATTCTTTCAACTGGCTCTACTTCAGTACATGGGTCACTGAAGTCACCTGTTCCATTCACATTGACCGCAGCAACTCTGAAACAGTACTTTTTGCCAGAAGTAAGACCTGTAACTGTGTGCTCTGTGCTTCTTATATTCTTCTCATGGGCCTTGGTCCATTCCTCGGCACCGAGTTCTTGCATTTCAAGTACATAACCTATAATATCAGCACCTCCATCTTCCACTGGTCTTGCCCAGGCCAGACTAATGCTGTCCTTGTGTGTGTCTGTTACACGTGGAATTGAAGGAGCATCTGGCTTGCCTGTAGTGGAAATTTGTCACAATTACTTAATTTTTTAGAACATTTCTAAATAACAAATGCAATATTTATTTGAAGAATATACTTGATGTAAGTTATCTGTATGAATAATGTACCTGTTGGTACTCTGCAGACAGCATACATGGACACCTCACTGGGCTCACTGTCACCAGCCGCATTCATGGCTGTAACGCGGAACTGGTAAATGTTGCCCTCTTGAAGACCTGTAACCTTGAAGGACGTGTCCTTAAGTATGGAATCTCTATTGACCTTGACCCATCTGATGCTCTTCCGCTCTTTCTTCTCAATCAAGTAATTTGTGATTTCACTGCCTCCATCACTCTCAGGTTTCAGCCACTCAATTGTCGCAAAATCTTTTCCAACAGCAAGAATTTCTGGTGGTCCCGGAGGTGACGGCACAGCTGCAGTTGAACAAGAACTTTCATTAATAACCCATTCTGATGATTAGTAAAATCAATTCTTAAAAATATATTTGTTAAATATTATACTTACTGAATGAGTTTCTGGCAAAGATTGGTGAAGACTGTAGTGCAACACCTGTTCCATACTTGTTCACACCTCTCACACGGAAAATGTATTCATTATTTTTGAAAAGTCTGGTAATGTCACATGTGAGGGCCTTGCATTCAGCATCCATGATGACCCAGTTGAGTCTGTTGGTGTCCCTCCTCTCCACAACATAGTGTGTGATGGGGTCACCACCATCCTCTAACGGCTCCTTCCAGGACACTTTGCATTTCTCCTCTGTCACATTGCTTACTGTTATCTCCTGGCATGGGCCCGGTGTATCTTAGAAAAGAATAAATGCAACAACAACATTATAAGACATTTATGGCTGCGTTAAACAGTTCTTCAAGCTTCTAGATATATGTGTATCAATTACTATTTTAAGTGAGAACTGTGAGACTTACCAAGCACCTTTACATTGACTTCAGCTGTTTTGGTTCCACTGGCATTCTTCACTGTCAGAACATATTTTCCAGAGTCATCTCTATCACAGAACTTAATGATTGCCAGAGCACGGGTGCTGGAATATTGTAGAGAGTATTTTTCACAGTGGTCCAGCTCCTTCTTTCCCTTGGCCCAGGAGACCTTTGGATCAGGCTTACCACCAACAGCAGCATCAAGGACAAGGTCTGAGCCTGCTCTGATCGTAACTGTGTCTGCAAGAAGTTTACTGTCCAATTCCGCTTTTGGAGGAGCTACAAAACAAAAATAAAGTGTTTATAGATTTTTGAGTACAGACACCACCTTTACCACCTTTGCAAATGAAAATTGAGTCTTACTGTATTCTGCCTTGCAAGTCACTGCTCCTGTCGAAACTGATGGCAAGCTGAGCACGCCGTTAGCATTCTTGGCAATCACATGGAACTCGTACACTTCCCCTTCTCCCAGTGCAGTAATAGTGAAGTTTGTATCAGTAACATTAGTGTAATTACACTTCAGCCAACGACCTTCTCCAGTAACAGTGTATGGCTTGCGCTCAACAATGTAACCTACAATGGGGCTTCCACCATCATTCAGTGGCACAGACCACTTAATTGAAACGGTTGACCGTGACACATTGGTCACTTCTGGCTTTCCTGGGGGATCTTCAAAGATAATTACACAGAGAAAAACATCAGAATCAGAAAACACACATTTATGTTAAATGATACACCTTTTGGATTTTATTACTGAACTTACCAACTGGGTTTTGAGCCACAGCTCTCTTGGAGGCTTCACTTGCTTTGCTGAGGCCAGCACTATTCATTGCATACACTCTGAACTGGTACTCTAGACCTTCAACAAGACCTTCCACCTTATAGTAACAGTCAAAGCATGGGATGGTGTTCTCTCTGACCCAGAGAATGGTGTTGCGCTCCTTCTTCTCAATCCAGTACCCAGTGACTTTACTACCACCATCATGGAATGGTTCTTCCCAACGAATGCTCATGCTATTAGCAGTGACAGCAAACACTTCTGGCCTGGTTGGAGGCCCTGGTGGAACTGTGACAGAAAAACAGGGAAAAAATGTAAACTTTAGAAATTCAATACTTGTTACTGGTAAATAATTATGCCATAATTTTACTTAATTTAAGTGCTCACCAAATGGATGCTCTGCAACAATGGTCTCAGACTCAGTTGGTTTGCTCACACCAAATCTGTTTTCAGCACTGACACGGAAAGTGTATTGCATGTACTTTGTCAGATGTGAGACATGAAATGATGTGCGTTTCACACTGGAGTTCACAAGCTGCCAGGCAGTGGAGCCAGATTCACGCTTCTCAACAATGTAGTTGGTTATCTCAGTTCCACCATCATCTTCAGGTTCATTCCACTCCAATTTACAAGACTCAGAAGTAATTGAGGAAATCTGAATAGGGCCCTCTGGAGGACTGGGTCTTCCAATGACATTGACAGTGACAGTGAAAGTTTTAGCACTTGTGACATTCTCAAGGGTAAGGAAGTATCGTCCTCCATCACCTCGCATGCTTTCTTTAACTGTCAAAGTGGTCCTATTCTTGGTTGTCTTGATTGAAACTCTGTCAGTTTCCTTTAGTCTCATTTCTTCAAGCTTCCAAATAACACTTGGAGCTGGTCTGCCACTAATTGGGACATCAATCTCAAATGAACCTCCAGTCTTACATGTGATGAGCTGGTTGGTAATGCCACTGAGATCTGCAGTTGGCTCAATACGGGGCTCTTTAACAATAACAGATGAGAATGCTTCTCTAGGTACACTGAACCCTGCATCATTCTTTGCTTTGACACGGAATTCATATTCTGTGCCTTCTGTTAAGCCTTCAACTACAAGAGTTAAGTTTTTGGTAGAACCAACAACGACCCATTTATCTGTTTCCTTTGCTTTGGCCTCAACACAATAAGCTGTGACACGGCTGCCACCATCATGTTCAGGCTTCAGCCAAGCAAGGGTAACTGTTGTATCAGTGGTATCAATAATGTCCAGTCTTTTTGGTGGAGCTGGTTCAGCTGTGGCAATAATTGGATCAGGCATTTCGTAAGCCTCACCAAGGCCATACTGATTTTCTGCCATGACTTTGAAAAAGTAGGGTACTCCTTCCAGGAGATCGGAAACTCTCAAGCTTGTCTGAGTACACTTAGGTGCTGCCTCTGTCCATGTACGACGACTGGCCTCACGCTTCTCTACAAGATAGTGATGAACACGTGCACCACCATCATTGACTGGAGGCTCCCATGTAAGTGTTAGGGCTCCTCTTGTAACATCCTTGAATGTGAGAGGACCTGGAGCTCCAGGTGTGTCCAGCACTTTCACTGTAAATGTAACAGATTTGCTACCACTGTTGTTCTCAAGAGCAAGTGTGTATTTTCCACTGTCAGTTCGTGTACAGTTCTCTATTGTTAAACAAGTTAAAGTCTCTGTGGTGGTTATATCTGACATAACACTAAGTTCTCCATCCACCTTTATCCATGAAGCACTAGGTGCTGGCTTTCCTTTAAAAGCAATGCGGAGACATACACTGCCTCCACTTTTGACTATGTGTGTCTGTTGGAAGCTTGCATCGATTTCAAATTCTGGTGCACTCAGTCTATCCACTGCTTGTACTGGTTCTGGAATCTCTTTTGCTTCACCCTTTCCAATGGCATTGATTGCACTAATGCGGAATTTGTACTCTGCTCCAGATTCCAAACTGGTTGCAGTGTATTTGGTAATAGTACAGAGATCCTCATTGACTCTATGCCATTCTTTTTCAGCTCCCTTGCACATCTCAATAATATAGCCCTGAACCTCCAGGCCACCATCATACCCAGGCCTGGTCCATTCCAGACTTACAGTTGTGTTGGTGGTGTCAGTGACATTTACAATTGAAGGAGCATCTGGCTCTTCAGTTGGCTCTGCACATTTAATAGGCATTGAAATATTGCTTGGAGCTCCCACTCCAGCATCATTAACTGCATAAACCCGGAACTCATATTCCACATTCTCAGTTAGATGACTTATTCTGTGTGCAGCCTCGACGATGGGTTTCCTAGTTAAGACCTTTACCCAGCGTCCAGTCTTCTTCTCACGTCTTTCAACAATGTAATGCTTAACTGGATTTCCACCATCATTTGTTGGTGGAGCCCAGTTGATTGTAATACTTTCTCCATTAACATCTGTTGCATCTGGAGTACCAGGAGAGTCTGGGACAGCTGCAGAAAGGAAAACAGGTATTTTGAATCATTTTATTTTATGGAAACAATGTATTGCTTTGCTGTTGTCTTTTAATATAACCATTACACATGATGAATTAGTATTTAAATGTTAAATATAAACTTACTGTACTGCATTTGGGCAATGACAGGAACAGAGTCCAGTGGTCTACTGACACCAAACCTGTTGACTGCAGAAACACGGAACTGATACTCATTGGTCTTGATCAGTTTGGTGGCATTGTATGTGCATTCCTCACAGTGATCTGTAACTAGTGCCCAGGAAATTTTGGAGGTCTCTCGCTTTTCAACTATGTAATGAGTGACCTCAGAGCACCCATCATTCTCTGGTGGATTCCATGAAAGTGTTACTTTGCCCTCTGAGATGTTTGTGAAGACAATTGGTCCAACAGGCTCTCCAGGTGTATCTAGAAAGAACATCAGGATAGTAAGATGTAATAGAAGAAATACAATTGAAGATATGGCTAGGAGAAACAACATCATCCATACCAAAGACTTCAACTTTCTTTTGTTCCTTCTTGGTTCCACAGTGATTCTTGGCTTCTACAGTATACACTCCACGATGAGAGCGGTCAGCATCTCTGATAAAGAGAGTGCTCAATCCAGCAGTTGTTGTGATGTCAGCCATCTTCTTACTTAATTCCACACCATCCCTGAACCATGTGACCTTGGGTGTTGGCCTTCCTGTAATTGTAACTTTAAGCTTGAGGCTTTCTCCTGCTTTAATGGCAACTCCCTCAAAGTACTCCTGGCCAAATTCAATATTTGGACTGACTGTAAGGAGGGGACAAAAAGTAAAATAACTGTCTTATTAAAATATGGGTGTTCATTAAAAAAATGTGAATAATATGCACTGCATATACTTACAGCTTTCATCTCTGATGAGTACATAGCCAGAAGACTGAGAAGGTGGGCTTACAGTGCCGATGGCATTTCTTGCAATAACCCTGAATTCATAGCGCTCGCCGCAAGTTAGACCAGTCACTATAAACTCAGTGTCAGTTACATCTGAGAAGTTGGTCTTCAACCAACGACCTTGTCCCTGACGCTTCTCAACATTGTAAGCAACAATTTTGCTTCCTCCATCTCGTTTGGGTGCATCCCATTTCAGTTTCACAGATTCACTTGTTACATCAACATAGTCAGGCGTACCAGGAGGATCTAAAATTAACACATAATGTAAACAGTTCAGTTTATAGGAAGAGTTAGTCAGGATTTTCATACATTATTTTTCAGAAATAAAAAAGTTCATTAATTCAACTCACCAACAGGAGAAACAGCCATCACTGGTTTGCTTTCATCGCTCATACGACTGTATCCAGCATCATTCTGAGCATATACCCTGAACTGGTATTGCAGACCTTCAATAAGGCCAATAACTCTGTATTCTCTCGCAGTGATCAAGACTACATTAACCTTCTGCCACATGATGCTGTTTGTTTCCTTCTTTTCAACATGGAATCCAAGAATTGGACAGCCACCATCAAAGATAGGTGCCTCCCACTGAATAGTCATGCCATCATTGGTGACATTGTAGACAAATGGCATGCCCGGTGGACCTGGTGGTCTGAACTCATGCTTGGCGATGACATTTTGTGAAACCAGAGGTTCACTCACACCATACCTATTCTCAGCACATACTCTGAACTGATACTGAGTTCCTTTAATTAAATTGGGTACCTTGAATGATGTTCCTATTACACTTGAACAAGCCATCTTCCAGTCTGTCTGAGAGGTATCACGTTTTTCAACACTGTAGCAAGTGATTTCTCCACCTCCGTCATCATTTGGTTCATCCCAAGATATCATAATACTTTCTGCTCTGACCTCATCCAAGCGAATGGGTCCAATGGGTCTGGAAGGTGGTCCAAGGGTGATGACTTGTATATGGAATGATTTCCTACAGACGTTGTTGTCAAGAGTAAGGGTATATTTACCACCATTCTCTTTTTCCACATTCTTTATCATAAGGGTTGCCTTGTTTTCTGTTTTCTTGAAGCGAATCTTCTCACTTTCTTTCAGGGGCAAATTGTCTTTCAGCCACAGAACAGATGGCCTTGGTTTACCTTTGTATGGCAACTCAATATGCACATTGTGGCCAAGACGCACACTAACCTGTCCATCAGGATACTCCTCAAGGTTTGCCTCTGGTGGTATGATATAGTCCTTAACTTTAAGTGGACCAATCTCTGTAAAATCACTATTGCCCTTCTCATTCATGGAGCAAACTCTGAAGAACATCTCTGTGAGTTCCTTAAGTTTTGTGATCGTATGCTCACAGTGCTTGTTTGTGCCAGCAGGGCTCCAATCTTCTTGACCTTGAATTCTCTTTTCAATGATGTAGTCAGTAATAATGCTACCACCATCATAATCTGGTTTATTCCACTGTAGAGTCACTGATGTCTTTGAGGAGTCTTTCATAGCTAGATCTTTAATGGGACCTGGTTTCTCAGTGGCTTTAACTGGCTCTGCTGTATCACATGGATCACCTACTCCATTCTCATTCTCTGCTGATACACGGAAGAAGTATGATGCCTTCTCAGAGAGCTCCTCAATTACATACGTGGCTTCCATGCATTTGTTTGTTACACAAGCATATGTGCGTTTTGAAGAGTCTCTCTTCTCCACAATATAGTTAGTAATTTCAGCACCACCATCAAGGAGTGGAGGTTCCCAGAAAAGGGTCACCTTACCACGAGTGACGTCCTTCAGGACCAGATTTCTACATGCAGAAGGAGTGTCCTGTACTTTCACAGATAAGGTCAATGATTTTGGCTGGCCAACTCCATTTGATATCTCAATGGTGTATTTACCAGTATCATTCCGTGTTACTTGTGAAATTACAAGGCATGATGATGTAGGTGTGGTGTGAATATCATATTTAGGATCATTGTCGATGTTTTGCTCTTCTTTCTTCCAAGAAACACTTGGAGCAGGTCTACCCTTGAGGGGCACCATGATCTCAACATCTTTGCCAGCTTTCACAATGTAATGAGTTCTCATTGCAACATCTGGGTCAACCTGGGCTTCCTCTACAAAAATGACACACATATTGAGAGGTTAAACATTACTGTTGCAAAACAAAGCCTGTGTTAGGTAAACAGGAAGTAATACAAATATATACATACCAAGAATGTCTTTGGCTTGGACCGGTTCCTCCATCCCAATCGGGTCTCCACGTCCAGCACAATTTACAGCAGATACTCTGAAGTAGTAGTCAACATCTGGCTTAAGACCTGATGCAACATACTCGGTAGTCCTGACTTCGCCCTTTTGGCTGATTACTGTCCACTCTCCTTCCTCACCCACCCTTTTCTCCACAACATAGCTAGTGATTTCACTCCCACCATCATATTCTGGCTTGGACCATCCAAGAGTAATTGATGTTTTTGTTGAGTCAACAACCTTTAGCTTAGTCGGCTCAGAAGGTGCATCTGTAGAAAAGTTTACAAACCATGTTAAAGAAACACTGCACATTAAAACACTGGATACATTAATTAGAACCATTTAATTTGGCAGAATGCAAAAAAAAAAAAATTAGATAATGTAAATGCTAAAGGAATAATAATGATAATAATAACAATACACACCAACAGGATCAGCTGCTTTGTAAAAGTCAGACACATCTGAGAATGGGCCTTCCCCAGCTTTATTGACTGCACATACACGATACTGATATTCATTTCCTTCAGTCAAGTGATAGACCTTTGCTGCTGTGTCACTGATAGGGTCTTTGTAAACCTTAATCCAGCGTAGACTCTTCTTGTCACGTCGCTGTAAATAGTAGCCTGTAACCATGCTACCACCATCCAATCCTGGTTTATCCCATATAAGCTTCATTGATGTTCTGGTGATTTCTGTTGCTTCTGGTGTGGTAGGCTGTCCAGGAGTAACTGAACAAAAAACATTTAGAATTCATAAATATAATATATATTTTTTTGTATTAGCTTGAACTATATTTCTCAATATGAGCAATAGCAATAGGAGCAATAAATTATTACCAAATGCGTTCTTGGCAATGACAGGTTCAGACTCCAGAGGCTCTCCAGCTCCAAACTTATTGACTCCTCTCACACGGAAGACGTATTCACTTCCTCGGATCAATTTCTGTACAGAGACTGTACGTGCCTCCAAACAATCCGAAACGATCGACCACACAGCTCTGCTCGTCTCTCTTTTTTCCACAATATAATGGGTAACTTTGGAGCCTCCCTCGTCTTCTACTGGTTCCCATGCAATAGTTATGTTGTCAGCAGTCACTGATTTAAACTCCATGCTTCCAGTTGGGGGGCCAGGTTTGTCTAGTAATTTTTAAAAATAAAGAACATACAAAGAAATCAATTTCCTACCACTGATGATTGGTGACAAAAAATATTTCAAGCTAGCAACACAAAAGTTCCCATACCTAGAATTAATATTCTGATAGAAGCAGAGGCTGTGCCAAACACATTTCTGATCTTCATTTCATATGTTCCAGTGTGAAGACGAGTGGCATCCTTGATAAGCACGGCAGATGAATCGGTGGTGCTCTCAATTGAAAGCTGTGAGCTTGACACTAATTCCTTTCCATCCTTGAGCCATTCAATTGTTGGCAAAGGCTTTGCAATAATTCCTAGTCTTACTTTGACAGAAGCCCCAGCTTTATATTGTACAACATCCAAGTACTCAGGAGGCAAATCAATAGCAGGAGCACCTAAAAGGGGAAGTTTAGAAATTATATTTAAATTACATCTAAGTACTTAATCATTAAGTACTTAATCACTTGAGCTTTATTATTTAGCAACTACATGGACAAAGTTATTCTTACTAAAGTGTTTAATAAAAGTTTGAATCCACCAGTTTGCTTGACTATTTAAGGGGTAAAAATAAGAAATCAGGTTGAAAGAATTCTGTATGAAAATTGTAACACTCACCAGAAACATCAACACAAGTTACCGGTCCAGCGATAAGAGATGGGTTGCTTACAGAGCCAACTGCATTCTTAGCAAAGACTCTGAATTCATATGACTGATCCTGTGTTAAACCTGAGACAGTGAAATTTGTCTCAATGACATTGGTAAAGTTAGCCTTTGTCCACCTGCCATTTGGAGCGTCTCGTCTCTCAACCATATAGCCAGTGATTTTGCTTCCACCATCAAATGGGGGCTTCTGCCAGACAAGGCTAACTGAGGTCTTTGTAATCTCAGAGATTCTCACATTTGCCGGAGGTTCTAAAATATGACAAGAATTGAACATTTAGCAACAGCTCTGACAGTGGATTTTACATACATTTCCTACCCATACAACAATTATGTAATCTCAGGAACATACCACAGGCATCAATGGCAAGTACTTCCTCTGATGTCTTGCTGAATTTTCCAATACCAGCAGCATTTTCAGCAGCAACTTTGAATTCATAGATCATCCCAGGGCATATGTTTGTCACTCTAATTTGATTAGCAGGGATCGCTGTCTTGTTCACTTTCTGCCACAGAATGCTACTTCTTTCTTTCATTTGGATATGGTATCCAAACACTGGATTTCCTCCATCTACTACTGGTTCATGCCAGCAGACAGTAAGGCTTTCTCTTGAAACGAAGCTCACCCATGGTGTTGATGGAGGCCCAGGAATTGCTAGAATCAACAATTAAAGAACAAGATTTACATTTAAAAGTTTGATGTTATTGTAGGGAAAGAAATAGAATGCAGTAAACAAGTACTCACTGTACGGAAGTTTCACAGTGACAGTCTGAGAGTCGATGTGATCGCTGATGCCAAAGCGATTCTCTGCTTTAATTCTAAATTGGTATTCTTCTCCCTTTGTTAATTTAGTAACTTTAATTGCACTCCTGGCAACTGTGGATGACACCTCCACCCAAGCTGGTGTGCTTGTTTCACGCCTAAGTACAACATAGTTGGTGACTGGGCTACCACCATCATATATGGGTGGGAGCCATTTGAGACAGACACTTGTTTCTCCAACATCGCTAATCAGAACTGGACCAACTGGAGGACCAGGTCTATCCAAAACCAGTATGTTAATGAACATTTTGGTTGTTCCACTTGTATTGGATGCAACAATATCATATCTTCCAGCATCACTTGCAATACTTTCTTTGAGATTAATGTTAAGACTTTCAGGGGTTACTTCAAAACTGAATCTCTTTCCACACTTGACTGGAACATTGTTTCTTGTCATTGCCACCTTTGGCATTGGTTTGCCAGTGAGAGGAAGCTCAAACTTCAAATTTGACCCTGCTCTCACGTAAACTGTGTTGTGTGGGAAGTTCTTCATATCAAATTCAGGGGCATCTGTGGAAAAAACATACATTTTATTCAAGATTTTGGATAATTAGGAGTAATCTACTGACATAGAATCCAAGCAGTGAAAAAACACTCACCAAGTTGATCTTTCACAACCACAGGAATAATCATTTCCTTTGGATCACTGAGTCCTGCATGATTTTCAGCACGAACTCTGAAGAAGTATTCTGCATTTTCTCTCAAGCCTTTGATTGTATGAGTGGTGGTTTTTACCGTGGCACATTTAACCCACTTTTGCTGACCCTTCTCAAGAGCATCAATGAGGTAGCTGGTAATTCTGCTTCCACCATCATACTCTGGTTTTGACCATGCAATCGTAACACTATCTTTTGTCACTTCAGCTACCCCAAGCCTGGCAGGAGGACTTGGTATTTCTGTTGAAAAAATGGAGAAAAATACATATCAGCATGTAAATCTAAAACAACCCAAAATATTTCATTCTCAGTCAGTCAAACTGATAATGCATTTACCTGTTATTTTAGTTCCCTCTTTTGTCTCGGCAGGTACACCCATACCAAATTCATTCTCTCCAATGACTCTGAAGTAGTAGATTGCACCCTCTTGCAAGTCCTCTACCTTGTAGACTAGATTGTGACAGTTATTTGTTACACACACCCAGGCCTTTTTACTAGCTTCACGTTTCTCAACATGGTACGCCTTCACAGCATCTCCTCCATCATTCTCCGGGACTTCCCAAGTAAGTGTGGCAGAGTCTTGTGTGACTTCCTTAACCTTCACATTAATTGGTGGACCAGGAGAATCAAGAACTTTGACAACCATCGGCAATGATGCAGTTCCAATACCATTATCCAATGTAACAGTATACTGCCCTGAATCATTTCTTGTTGCCTTTTCAATTGTTAGTGATGTATATGTTCCAGTTGTTTCAATGGTAGCCCTTGATTTGAGATCAACTTCTTCCTTATTCCATGTGACTGAAGGCACAGGTACTCCTTTAAATGGTGCTCTCAGAGTGAAAGAATTTCCATGCTTGACAATCAAGGTTTTCCTCATCTCAATGTCAACATCAAATACTGGTTCCTCCTTTCTGTCTGTTGCTGCCTGTGGCTCAGAAACTGGTGAGCGTTCACTTAATCCAATTTTGTTAATTGATTTAACAGCAAAGACATATTCCACATCACTTGCGAGACCAGAGACAGTGAACTCTGTGCTTTTTGTCATCTGGATGGCAACAACCCATTCCTCATCCTCTGCTTTCTTGTATTCCACACTGTATCCAATGATTGGAGTGCCACCATCTGACAAGGGCTTGTTCCAGACTATAGTGATGGAGCTCTTTGTATGATCCAGGATCTTTGGTTTAGTTGGTGTGGATGGCACAAGTAATGCATCCTCTGCTCTTGCTGAAGCAGATGGCTCACTAGGAGGACTTAAACCTGCAGCATTTTCTGCAAAGACTCTAAATTCATATTCACATCCTTTTCTTAGTTTAGGTACTATAGCTGTAAGGTCTTTCACAAGCTCCCTGTTGACTCTGACCCATCTAAGACTTGATTTCTCACGCCGCTCAATGACATACCCACAGATCTCACTGCCTCCATCATGAATAGGCTTAGCCCAAGTTATAGTCATCTCCTCACTTGTCACACTTGTGATTTCAACATTTGTTGGTGCTGCAGCAATGGTGAATGGATCGATGACTTTGACAAGTTCACTCTCAAGAGGTTCACCAAGTCCAAACTTATTTACAGCCAAAACTCTGAAGATATATTCATTGCCTTTGAGGAGTTTTGTTACTTTGCATGTTCTAGTTTTCACCTCTCCTTGTACAACTGTCCATGCCAAACTGCTGGTCTCTCTTTTCTGAACAACATAATGAGTGATTTCTGCACCACCGATTTCTTGTGGCGGTCCCCATGACAATGTGCAGGTTTCTGCTGTAAGGTCAGTGACTGACAATGGTCCTGCCGAGGGTCCTGGTTTATCAAGGATCACACAATTCACTGGTGTTGTTACTGTTCCAGCAGCATTCTGTAATGTTAAGGCATACTGTCCAGAATCACTCCTTTTACAGTCTTTGACTATTATCATAGTGCTATTATCTGTTGCAGATATCTGAATTCTTGCTTTGAGTTCAATCTCCTTTCCATCCTTTGACCATGATGCCACTGGTAGTGGACGTCCAGCAATGTCAGCATTAATCTTCAGGGTCTCTCCTGCTTTCACAATCACAGTATCTCTGAACTTCACATCCATCATAATCCGTGGTGGATCGACATCATCTTTTACAGTGATGGGTCCTGTATTATCAGACGGTTCACTGAACAGACCAGCAGCATTCTTTGCAGTGATGCGGAAATCATATTGTTGATCTTGAGTAAGACCAGTAACATCAAAGTATGTTTCAGCAATATTGGTGAAGTTGCACCTCATCCAGCGACCCTCGGGAAGATCTCTACGTTCAATGATGTAACCAGTAACTTTGGCTCCTCCATCATACTCAGGCTTTGTCCAAGAGAGAGATACAGAAGATCTAGAAATGCTTGTAACCACGGGTTGACCAGGAGGATCACAAGGATCTCTGGCAGCTACAGCTTCGCTGACCTTGCTCACCTTTCCAATACCAGCAATGTTTTCAGCATACACACGGTACTCATAGAACATGCCCTCTTCGAGACCAGTTACTTTAAATTCGGTATCTTTGATAAGAGCCCTGTTCATCTTTGTCCACAGAATACTGCTTCTCTCCTTGCGTTCCAAATGATATCCAAGAACTGTGCTACCACCATCATTGACTGGTTCATTCCATGTGACAAGCATAAAGGCCTTTGTGGCATGAGCCACCCGGGGGGTAGCAGGTGGCCCAGGCTGTTTGAATGTATATTCTGCAGTGATTCCAGGAGAGTCAATGGGCTTACTCTTTCCATAGCGGTTCACTGCATATATTCGGAATTGATATTCAGAACCGTGTGTCAGTCGAGAAACCTTGATTGAATTTCTGGCAACATTTGTTGACACAATCTGCCACACTGTTGTGTTAGTGTCTCTTTTCTCAACAATGTAGTTATTGATGGAGCAACCACCATCATATTCAGGGGGAGTCCATGATAGTGTAATGCTGTCAGCAGTTACAGCATCAACCTTTACTGAAGCTGGTGGACCTGGTTTGTCAAGAACCACTATGTTGATATCTGTAGAAAAGGTGCCTGCTGTATTTGCAAGAGTTATTTCATATTTTCCAACATGGTCAATGGCAGCTTCCTTGATGACAATCTTGCTTGATACCATGGTATTAATTACTGTGAGAGAGGTTGTTTGCTTGAGAGGAAGGCCATCTTTCTTCCATGAAACCACTGGTTTAGGTCTGCCTCTTACTGGAACTTCAACAGTGAGATCATCTCCAGCCTTAACACTGTAAGTATTAAAGAGCAGACTAACCGAGGGTTCTATCTCTATGTCTTTAGCGTGCACAGGTACCCCAAGTTCTTGAGGTTCACTCTTGCCTTTCTCATTCAGTGCAATTACCCTAAAAGAGTATGCTTCACCAGGAGTTAGGTTGGAAACAGTAGCCTCTGGAACTTTCACTGTGCAGCACACACCCCATTTATCAGTGCCTTTTGGCTGCATCTCTACATTGTAACAAATGACTTTACTGCCACCATCATGTGCAGGTTTCACCCAAGTAAGTGTTACACTGTTTTTGGTAACATCCACAAGAGTCACTTTTCCTGGAGGCATAGGTACCTGAGCAACTTTTACTGGATTCTTTGTTTCTACCATGACACCAATACCATACTCATTAACAGCACATACTCGGAAGTAGAAAATTCCTCCCTCTTGTAGCTCTTCTATTTTGAAGAAATTTTGTGTACAGTTACTTGTGACAGTTGCGTATGCTTTTCTTGTTGATTCTCGCTTTTCCACAATGTAGTTGGTTATTTTGGCTCCACCATCAGTAAGAGGAGGATCCCAACAGAGAGTCACTGAGTCTTTCTTAACATCTTTGACTTCAAAATTCTGGGGTGCGCTTGGTGAATCAAGCACCCTTACATTCACAAATGCTGATTTTGTGCCACTCTTATTTTCAAGAGAAAGGATGTATTTCCCACTGTCAAATCTATTGACATTGTCTATCACAAGCATGGTATATGAACTAGTGGACTCAGTTATTGCACGCTCAGTTAAAGCACTCTCTTCTTTCTCCCATTTGACAGATGGTTCAGGTCTGCCACGAATTGTAATGAACAGACGAAGTGATCCACCTGCACGGACAGAGACAACTTTCCTAAGGTCAGCATCAAGTTCAATCTCTGGTGCTTCAATTTTTTCAGCTGCAATCACAGAGCCATGAACATCAGCAGGTTCACCCACTCCCTCTGAATTAATGGCACAAACACGGAAGTTATATTCTGCATTTTCCTTAAGTTTTTCCACTGTTAAGCGTGTTGCTTGTAAACCAGTTGGAGGTGTGCATATGGTCCATTCTTCTGCAGAAACTTCTTTCATCTCAACAATGTAACCTTTAATGTATGCACCACCATCATTGGCTGGTTTGCCCCAAGCCAGGGACACAGATGAGCTTGTGTGATCTGTCACTTTAGGATGGTGTGGTGGACCAGGGGGAGTTGTGGCATTTACTGCTCTGTAAAACAGAGATAAGTCACTCAATTCACCCACACCAGCTTCATTCTCAGCAGCCACACGGAATTCATAGAAATGCCCCTCTGAAAGACCAGTCACTTTGAAATGCAAGTCGGTAAGCTTCTGTCTATTACATTTGGTCCATCTCACACCATCTTTGTCACGTTTCTCCAAGTGGTAACCAATAATTTCTGTTCCACCATCACTGTCTGGGGCATTCCATGATAGAACCATTGAATCCTTGGTTATATCACTTGCTTCTGGTGTTGATGGTTTGCTTGGTGGAGTAAATGGGTTGCGGGCAATTATTGCCTCAGATTCCAGAGGGTCACTAATGCCATATTTATTAATGGCCATAACTCTGAAAATATATTCATCACCTCTCAAGAGCTTTGTCACTTTATAACTGGTAGCTTGAATATTGGCATCAACCAAAGTCCATGATAACCTACTTGTTTCTCTTTTTTCAACAATGTAGTGAGAAATATTAGCACCACCATCTTGGGAAGGCTCAGTCCAGAACAGGTCACATTTATCAGACATGATGCCAAATACACGTAGTGGTCCAGTGGGCGGGCCTGGTCTATCAAGTACTCTTACAGTGATTGGGATTGTTTTAGTTCCACCACTGTTGGTTAATACAAGATCATAATGGCCACTGTCTAATCGTGTGCAGTCCTTAATCGTAATAGAGGCACATTTCTGGGTTGTTTTTACTTCAATGCGCAATGCTTTATCCATTTCCTTTCCTTCTTTCAACCACTGGACATCAGGAATGGGTTTTCCATGGATGTCTGCTTCAAGAACTAAATTCTCTCCAGCATTAATGACAATGACATCCTTGTACTTAGGATCAACTGAAGCACTTGGAGGTTCAATTTCATCTTTTGCAGTAATTGGTCCAGTGCTGTCAGATGGTTCGCTGAAAATACCAGCAGCATTTCTTGCAATTACTCTAAATTCATATTGTTGGTCTACTGTTAAGCCAGTAATCGCAAATTCAGTCTCAATCACATTAGTGAAGTTAACCCTCATCCAGTGGCCTTGAGGCAAGTCTCTCTTTTCAACAATGTATCCTGTCACTTTGCTGCCACCATCATATTGAGGCTTTGTCCACTGAATTACCACATGGTTCTTCGAGATAGTAACGGCTTCTGGAGTACCAGGTGGGTCACATGGATCACGAGCAACAAAACTCTCTGAAACCTTACTGGCTCTGCCAATACCAACAATGTTCTCTGCATACACCCTGAATTCATATCCAATTCCTTCTTCTAGATTGCAGATCTTAAACATGGTATCGGTAATGAGAGTCTTGTTCAGCTTTGTCCACAGGATGCTAGTTCGTTCTTTGCTTTCTAGATGATAGCCAATTACTGCGCTTCCACCATCATTGACAGGCTCATTCCACTCAATTATCATTTGATCCTTAGTGGCAGACTTGACATATGGAGTTCCAGGTGGCCCTGGAGGTTTATAAGGATACTGAACAACAACTGCCTTTGACTCCAAAGAAGTACTCTTACCATATCTGTTTTCAGCAAAGACTCTGAATTGGTACTCAGCGCCAGTTTTTAGTTTTGTTATTTTAAGGGATGTTCTGGCAACTGATCCAGCTACCATCTCCCATGTTGTCGTAGTGGTGTCTCGCTTTTCAACAATGTAATGCTTAACTTGGCAGCCTCCTGTGTAGGATGGTGGTTCCCATGAAATTGTGACAAAGCTATTACTGACTTCATTAACCTTAATAGGGCCTGTTGGCGGTCCAGGCTTATCAAGTATAATGATTCCAATTTCTTCTGTAACAGCACCAGCACTGTTTGTTGCAGTAATTGCATACTTTCCAAGGTCATCTTTATTGGCCTCAGTAATCTGCAAAATCGCTGAGGTTGGTGTGTTTGAAGTGCTTATTCTAGATGTCACTTTAAGGGTTTGTCCATCCTTCATCCAAGTAACTTTTGGCTTGGGACGTCCAAAAACTGGTATTTCCAGTTTGAGATCATCACCAGATTTGACACTATATGTACTGAATTGTACTTTCAGACTTGGTTCGATTGTTAAGTCGTTGGCAATTACAGGAGCAGCAAGGAGTTTTGGCTCACTCTTTCCTTTCTCATTGTATGCAAGAACACGGAACAGATATTCTTGGCCAGCTGTTAGTCCAGTGACAGTGCCTTCACATGTTTTGACAGATGTTGCTACACCCCATTTATCTGTTCCTTTGGGTTGCATTTCAATCAAATAACCTACAATCCTGCTTCCACCATCATGCTCTGGTTTTTCCCAGGCTAGAGATGCACTGGCTTTCGTCACATCAGTCAACAACACCTTTCCAACTGGCAGGGGTACTTCAGAGGCCTTTGAAGCAGTCTTTGTTTCAACTGGTAAGCCAATTCCGAATTCATTTTCAGCCATAACTCTAAAGTAGTACATGGCCCCTTCTGCAAGATTTTCCACTTTGAAGCTAGTCTTGCTACACTTGGCTGTAACATTGGCATATGCTTTCCTTGTGGATTCACGTTTATCAACAACATAATTCTTGATTTTTGCACCTCCATCAATAAGTGGTGCATCCCAAACAAGTGTAACAGAGTCTTTCTTAAGGTCTTTAACTACTAGGTTCTGAGGAGCTCCAGGTGTATCTAATACTTTCACTGCCACAAATTCAGACACAGAACCACTGCTGTTTTGCAGGGTAAGAGTGTATTTTCCAGAATCCTTTCTGTCACAGGAATCAATTGAAAGTTGTGTGAAGTTTAGACCCTTCTCAATCACTGCCTTCTCTGACAGCTCTCCTTCATCTTTAGTCCATTTAATCTCAGGTATTGGTCTCCCCTTGAAAGGCACATTAATTCTAACTGATCCTCCAGCACGAACAACTATGCCTTTCCTCAGCTCTGAATCAAGGTGAATTTCAGGAGCTTCAAGTTTGTCCTCTGGTTTGACAGTCCCGGGAATAACTGCAGGCTCACCAACACCCAGTTTATTTATGGCACATATCTGAATCTTATATTCTTGCTGTTCTGTTAATTTGGTAATTTCAAATTTATTAACACGCAGACCAGTTGGTGGAGTGCACATAGACCATTCCTCCTCCTCAGCTTTGCATATTTCAACAATATATCCTTGAATTGCACTTCCACCATCATTAAGAGGCTTTCCCCATGCCACTGAAATAGAGCTCTTTGTTGTGTCGATCACATGCGCATTTGTGGGTGGGCCAGGTTTATATTTAGGATCAGAAGCTTTATAGTATGATGTTGGTAAACTGGGTTCACTGATTCCAGCTGCATTTTCAGCTGATACTCTGAACTCATACTCATGATCCTCTATCAGGCCTTGTGCTCTGAAACATACATCAGTAACTTTCTGTCTGTTGCATCTGGTCCATTTAATTCCAGACCGATCTTTCTTTTCAACAATATATCCAACAATTTCACTTCCACCATCTGTCTCTGGAGCACTCCAGCATATGGTCATAGAATCCCGAGCAATGTTAGTCACCTCCAGAATTTGTGGTGATCCGGGTGCTACAAATGGATCCTTCATTATTACAGATGGAGAACTGATTGGCTCACTAACACCATAACTGTTGACAGCCGTGACACGGAACATATATTCGTTGCCTTCAAGAAGGCTTGTCACTTTATATATTGTAGATTTACAATTAGTAGAGACCATAGTCCAAGCTAGACGACTTGTTTCACGTCTTTCAATAATATAATGGGTGATTGCACTTCCTCCGTCATGTTGTGGGGGGCGCCATGACAGTGTGCATTTATCACTTGATACTCCTGTGACATGAAGAGGCCCTTCTGGTGGACTGGGTTTGTCTAGTACTTTCACATGGAATGAAACAATTTGTGAGCCAGCAACGTTAGTGAGTTGAAGAGTATAGTCGCCACCATCCTGTCTGAGTGCATCCTTTATGACAATCATAGCTCTAGTGTCAGTATTCTTGATTTCACATCGGATTGTGTTTTCAATTTCCTTGTCACCTTTGAACCACTGCATTGTAGGAATTGGTTTGCCATGGACATCTGCATCAATTTTAAATGTATCCCCAGCATTCATAATAAGAGTCTGAGTGTATTCAGGGTCAATTGAAAACTTGGGTGGCTCCACTTCATCCAGTGCAACAATAGGTCCACTGTTAAAGGATGGTTTACTAATAGTGCCAACAGCATTCTTTGCAATTACTCTGAAGTCATATTTTGCTCCCTCTGTGAGTCCAGTGACAGTAAATTGGGTTTCAATCACATTGGTAAAACTAGCTTTCATCCAGCGACCCTCTGGCAGATCACGCTTCTCAACAGTATAACCAGTTATAACACTTCCTCCATCATATTCTGGCTTTGTCCATTGGATTGTTATTGAATTTTTACTAACATGCAGAGCTTCTGGAGTACCAGGTGGATCACATGGATCCCGGGCTACATAACCCTCTGAGATTTTACTGCATCTGCCAATGCCAACAATATTTTCACCATAGACTCTAAATTCATATTCCATCCCTTCTTCTAGCGGACTGGTTTTAAATCTTGTTTCCTGAATGAGTGTCTTGTTTATCTTGGTCCAGAGGATGCTATTTCTCTCTTTCCTTTCAAGATGGTATCCAATAATGCTGCTGCCTCCATCTGAAACTGGTTCGTGCCACTCAACGACCATATGATCTCTTGACAAGGATGACACAAATGGAGTTCCAGGTGGGCCCGGTTCTCTATATGGGTATTGAGCAACAACAGCTGGAGAGTCTAAAGCATAACTCTTGCCATATCTGTTTTGAGCAATAATTCTGAATTGATACTCAGCACCAGTTTTCAGTCTGGGTACCTTCAGTGTTGTTCTTGCCACTGAGACAGAAACATTCTCCCACGTAGTGGTGGTTGTGTCTCTCTTTTGTACGATGTAGTTTGAAACTGAGCAACCTCCAGTGTATTTTGGTGGATCCCATGACAATGTAACACTTGATACTGTTATCTCATTAAATCTTACAGGGCCAGATGGTGGTCCTGGTTTATCAAGGGTGATAATTTCAATTGTGGCATCCTTTTTCCCAACAACATTGGAAACATTAATTCCGTACATGCCACCATCCTCTCTGGCAGCTTCTTTGATACTAAGAATTGTGCTGTGTGGTGTATTAGAAATGTTCACTCTTGTTGTGAATTTAAGGGCTGCACCATCCTTTGTCCATGTGACTTTTGGTTTAGGGCGTCCAGAAACTGGAATTTCAACTTGAAGGTCCTTTCCCACGAGAACACTGTAGTTGCTAAATGCAGGTCTAACATCTGGTTCAATGACAAGATCCTTTGCTTGCACTGGGACTGCAAGAGTTCTTGGGTCACTCTTTCCTTTTTCATTGACAGCAATTACTCTGAACATGTACTCTTCGCCAGAGTTTAAGTTATTAATAACAGCTTCTAATGTTTTCACATTAGCACAACCAGACCACTTGTCACTGCCTTTCACTTGCATTTCAACAAGGTACTGAAGAATTCTACTTCCACCGTCATGCACTGGTTTTTCCCAAGCAAGAGAGACACTTGTTTTTGTAACATCTACAACAGTTAATTTACCAGGGCACTGGGGCACTTCAGATACTTTTATTGGATCTGTAATATCTGCAGGTAACCCAATACCATGTTCATTTTCTGCAAGAACTCTGAAATAGTAACTACAGCCCTCTTGAAGTGGTTCAATTTTCCATGATAGTTTATGGCAGTTTGTTACAACAGCAGAGAAGGTTTTTCTTATAGTTTCACGCTTCTCAACAATATAATTTTTGATCTTAGCTCCACCATCCAAGGCAGGAGGTTCCCACGAAAGAGTGACAGATTCTTTTGTAATTTCTTGCACTTTAATGTTAACTGGAGCACTAGGTGTGTCAAGAATTTTCACAGTGATGGTTGCAGTCTTTACACCAGAGGAGTTTTCTGCATACACAGTGTACTTTCCGCTGTCCGATCTGTTGACTTTATCAATCACAAGGGAAGTGTGACTACTTGTAACCTCAACTTGCACTGTCTCTTTGATAGGGCCTTCATCTTTCTCCCATTTAATTTGTGGAACAGGACGCCCTCTGATGGGAATGAAAATTCGAAGAGGTCCTCCTGCTTTAATAATTACAAGCTTTCTGAACTCAGGATCAATATCAAGATCTGGTTCCTCAGTCCTGTCCTCTGGAAGAATGTCACCAGGAATATCTGCATGCTCACCAACACCAGCCTTGTTAACTGCACAAACCCTAAATTTATATCCCTGTTTTTCTTTTAGATTTTCCACTGTAAAGCGTGTTAACTTAACACCTGTTGGTGGGGTGCACATTGTCCATTCTTCAGCAGCTACTCCATCCTCAGATTCTTTTCCTTCCTTTCTTTCTTCCACTGGTGATTTTACCTTACATGACTCAACAACATATGCTTGAATTTCACATCCACCATCATAAATAGGCTTCCCCCATGCAAGTGACACAGATGATTTGGTTGTGTCTGTCACTTTAGGATTATGTGGTGGACCTGGCTTGAACACAGGATCTACAGCCTTATAGAATACTGTTGCTGAACTAGACTCCCCCACCCCAACAGCATTCTCAGCTGCCACTCTGAATTCATAGAGATGTCCTTCAAGGAGTCCAGAAACTTTGAAGGTTAGATCAGTAACCTTTTGTCTGTTGCATCTGGTCCATCTAACACCTTCCTTGTCATGTTTTTCAATGACGTACCCAGTGATAGGAGTGCCACCATCACTTGTGGGAGCCTCCCAACTTAAGACCATTGAGTCTTTCTTGACACTGGACACCTCTATTCCCTTTGGAGCGTCTGGAAGCATAAATGGATCCTTTATGGTAACTGGGTCAGACTGAAGTGGTTCTCCAACTCCAAATTTGTTGACTGGCAAAACTCTGAAAATGTATTCATTTCCCTCAAGGAGTTTTGTTACTTTCAAGTTTTCAGTTTCAACTTTAGGTTCAACAAGAGTCCAAATAAGTCTGCTAGACTCCCTTCTTTCGACAATGTAGTGAGTGATCTTGCTTCCACCATCCTGTTTTGGAGGTTTCCAGGCAAGACAGCATTGTTCGCAGGTAACCCCTGTGATGAAAATGGGACCCTCAGGTGCTCCGGGTTTATCTAGTACACTGACATTTACTTGAACAGCTTTCTCACCTCCTGGATTTCTTAGCAGCAGAGTGTACTGGCCACCATCAGCAAGTTTGGCCTCTTTTACAGACAAACAGGCATAGTTGTCAGTGTTTTTAATTTCACGATATATAGTGTTTCCAAGTTCTTGATCTTTCTTCATCCAGTAAATTGTAGGGACTGGTTTACCATGAACGTCTGCATCAATCTTGAATGTTTCTCCTGCATTTACAACAATTGTTTGGGTGTATTGTGGATCTATGCTGATGCGGGGTGGTTCAATCTCATCCTTTGCAGTAATAGGTCCTGTGCTGTAAGAAGGACCACTAAAAACACCAGCTGCATTTCTTGCAATCACACGGAATTCATATTTCTGGTCTTCTGCAAGACCTGTGGCAGTATACTCTGTCTCAATGACATTGGTGAAGTTCGCCTTCAGCCAGCGTCCTTCAGGCAATTCCTTCTTCTCAACAATATAACCGATGACTTTGCTTCCACCATCATACTCAGGCTTAGTCCATGTGATTGTAATGGAATTCTTTGTGATTTTAGCTGCCTCAGGTGTGCCAGGAGGATCACAAGGATCTCTGGCAACACAGCCTTCTGAAATTTTGCTTGCTTTTCCAATACCAACAATGTTCTCTGCATACACTCTGAATTCATATTCAAGCCCTTCCTCAAGGCCTGTGGTCTTATAAGTTGTGTCCTGGATTATGGTTTTGTTGAGTTTAATCCAGAGAATACTATTTCTCTCTTTACGTTCAAGGTGATATCCCAAAATTGTGCTTCCTCCATCAATAACTGGTTCATTCCACATCACAAGCATGCTATCTTTGGTAGAAGAATGGACAAAGGGTGTTCCAGGAGGTCCTGGAAGTTTGTATGGGTATTGTGCAATAACACACTCCGAAACAAGCAAAGGGCTCTTCCCATACCTGTTCTCAGCAGTGATTCTGAACTGATATTCAGAACCTGTTTTTAGTCTTCCAGCTTTAATCTTTGTTCTAGCCAGACTTGCTGCCACAACTACCCAGTTTGTTGTAGATGTGTCTCTCTTTTCCACTAAGTAGTTGCTAATGGTGCAGCCTCCATCATACTCTGGTGGTTTCCATGAAATAGTGACACTGTCAGCTGTTACTTCTTCAACTTTGACTGGACCAGTAGGTGGGCCAGGTTTGTCAAGAACAACAACTCTAATATCCACTAATTTCTCACCAGCTGTGTTTGAAAGTTTGATACTATATTGTCCAACATCATCTCTACAAGCTTCTTTGATCACAAGATTCAAAAGGGTCTCTGTGGAAGAGAAGTTAACTCTGGTGGTTCGTTTAAGTGGTACAGCATCTTTCAACCAAGATACAGCAGCTTTGGGACGAGCAATATATGGAATATCTATTGTCAAATCCTCTCCAGCAAGAACACTAAATGTTGAGAATAACAGCTTGGCAGATGGTGCAATTACAAGGTCTTTGGCAATCACTGGCACACCAATTTGCCGAGGATCACTGGTGCCTTTTTCATTTCTTGCTGAAACACGGAACATATACTCCTCACCGGGAGTAAGCCCAGGAATAACTGCCTCTGGAACCTTTACAATCACAGCTTGTGTCCATTTATCACTGCCTTTACTCTGCATCTCTACAACATATGCAACTACTCTGCTTCCTCCATCATGTTCAGGCTTCTCCCAAGTCAAGGTGACACTTGTCTTTGTAACATCTTGAAGTGTAATCTTGCCTGGTGGAAGTGGTTTCTCTGACACTTTGACTGATTCACCAGTTTCAATAGGAAGACCGATGCCATACTCATTTTCAGCAAGAACTCTGAAGTAGTAGTTGCAGCCTTCTTGAAGTTGATCAACAGTCCATTCTGTTTTGTGACAGATAGCATTAACTGTAGTATAGGCCTTTCTTGTTGCCTCACGCTTTTCAACAATGTAGTTCTTAATCTTTGTGCCACCATCATTTAATGGAGGATCCCATTCCAGTGAAACTGATTCTTTAGTAACTTTGCTGATTTTAAGGTTTTGTGGTGCCCCAGGTGTATCTAGAACCCTAACAGTAACGGAAACTGTCTTGGTACCAGAGCTGTTCCCCACTGTCAAGTTATATTTGCCACTGTCAAACCTATTTACATTTTGAATCACTAACGATGTAAAAGAAGATGTACTTTCAATGGTAGCTCTGTCCAAAGGTTCATCATTCTCTCTTGACCATTTGACGTCTGGAGCTGGTCTTCCTCTGATTGGCACAAAAAGTCTTAGTGTGTTGCAGGCTCTGATATTTACAATTTTACGAAGGTCAGCATCAAGGTCAATTTCTGGTGGGAGAAGTCTTTCTTCAGCTTTAGGTGAACCAGGAACAGACGCTGCTTCCCCAACACCCTCACTGTTAAAAGCTAAGACATTGATTTTATATTCCTGATTCTCTTTAAGATTTGTTATTGTAAATGATGTTCCTTTCAGTCCCTCTTTAGGAGAAACAATTGTCCATTCCTCCTCTTCAGTTCCAGGGAGGCATGTCTCAACAATATACCCAGTGATTTCAGAGCCACCGTCATATACTGGTTTGTTCCATGCAAGTGTTATGGAGGAACTTGTTGTGTCCAAAATTCTTGGGTTACCAGGGGGACCAGGTTTGAAAAGAGCATCTGTGGCTTTTGCGAATGGACTTGAGGGGCTTGGTGCACTGACTCCAGCTGCATTCTCAGCAACAACTCTAAATTCATATTCATGCCCTGGAACAAGCCCAGTTACCTTAAAATGCAAGTCAGTAACTTTCTTTTTGTTGCATTTTACCCAGCGCAAACTAATCCTATCTCTTCTTTCAATGCCATAGTTAGTGATTTCACTTCCACCATCATGGGCAGGAGCTCCCCAGCAAACCACCATTGAATCCTTGGTGACAGCTGTGATCTCAGGAGTTTGTGGAGGATCAGGTGGAACATAAGGATTGTCTGCAATTGTTGGATCAGACTCAAGGGGATCTCCAACTCCATACTTATTAACAGCCATGACTCTAAAAATGTATTCATTCCCTTTGAGCAGCTTTGTCACCTGGTATTGGGTAACTTGCAAGTCAGTTGCTACGTTTGTCCAAGCAAGTCTGCTTGACTCACGTTTTTCAACCACATAATGTTCAATGCTTGCCCCACCATCATCTGCAGGTGGAGCCCATGTAAGCACACATTTCTCTGCTGTAATATCTGAAACTTTAAGAGGCCCTCCAGGTGGTCCTGGTCTGTCAAGAACCTTAACATTGAAGACATGTTTAGCAAATCCACCCACATTAGTAGCTGTCAGAACAAATTCACCTCCATCTTTTCTAAGAGAGTCTTTGTTAACCAAAGTAGTGCTGACGTCTGTCGTTTTTATCTGTAGTTTGGATGTGTTTTCAACATCTTTTCCATCTTTGGTCCAAACCATAGATGGCAGTGGTAGGCCTGCAACATCAGCATCAAGTTTGAAGACTTCACCTGCTCTAACAAGCACAACATCCTTGAATTTGGCATCTACCATAATTCTTGGCTCTTCAATATCATCTTTACAAATTATTGGATCTGATGGGTCTGATGGATTGCTAATGGCACCAGCCGAATTTCTTGCAAATACACGGAATTCATAGGATGCTTCTTTCGTTAAACCACTAACTGTGAAAGTGGTTTCAATAATGTTTGTGAAGTTGGCCCTTATCCAGCGTCCAGATGGTACATCTCGCTTTTCCACAATGTAACCAGTAATCTTAAACCCACCATCATATTCAGGCTTTGTCCACTGAATAGTTATTGCATTTTTAGACACATGTATTGGTACAGGCTGACCAGGTGGATCCACTGGATCAAGAGCAAGCATTGGTTCAGATGCCTTGCTTGGTTTCCCTATTCCAGCTATATTTTCAGCCATCACTCGGAACTCATATGCAGAGCCAGATTCTAATCCAGATGTTTTGAACAGGTTTCCCACCACAAGAGCCTTGCTAATCCTATGCCAGATAATGCTGTTCCTTTCTTTTCTTTCAACATGGTATCCAATAACTTCACTTCCGCCATCATTAACTGGCTCATTCCAGCCAATTGTCATTGTGTCCTTAGTGAACGCAACAACTTTGGGAGTACCTGGTGGTCCAGGTACCTTAAAAGGGTATGCAGCAACCACGGCTTCTGAAGTAATTGGGGGTCCTGCACCATATCTGTTTTTGGCCTTGACACGGAATTGATATTCCACTCCTGTGGTTAGTCGAGTTGCTTTATATGTAGTTCTGATGATCATTGAAGACAGCTCTACCCATGACTGGCTGGTGGTTTCCCTTATTTCAACAACATAGTTGTTAATTGGTACACCTCCATCATTTTCAGGTGAATCCCATGAAAACTCAATGGAAGTACGAGATATTTTGTCCAATTTAATTGGTCCCTTAGGTGGTCCTGGGACATCATGGACTTTGACTATGATATTCTCTGTAACAGAGCCAACTATGTTCTTTCCTATCATTGAGTATACCCCACTGTCACTTCTCAAACACTCATTTATGATCAAGATAGTTGACGTAGAGGTATTTTCAACCATTATCCGTTGTGTTAATTTCAGGGCTTGATTTTCTTTCTGCCAGGAAACTGTTGGCTTAGGACGTCCAGTTACAGGCACCTCAACCTTTATGTCATCCCCAGCCTTTGCTATGACTGTCTTCTGACAGATACCACGCAGGTCAAATTCTGGTTCTGTGCTTTGTTCTCTTATAACAACATGCTTGCTTTCCCGAGGATGGCTTCTGCCAGATAGGTTTACAGCCATTACACGGAAGACATACTCTTCATTCTCATTTAAATTCTTTACAGTAAAATCAAGAGACTTCACAGTGGTCACGTGAGTCCACTGGTCTGTTCCTTTTTTCTGGGCCTCAATAACATACCCAGTAACTCTGCTTCCACCATCATGTTTTGGTTTGGTCCATGCAAGACTAACTGAGTTCTTGGTAACATCAGTAATTGTGACCATTTCAGGTGGAGTTGGTGCTTGAGATGCTCTAATGGGATCTGAGGTTTCAACTGCCTCCCCAATTCCAAATTCATTTTCAGCAGATACTCTGAAGTAGTACTCTGAGCCCTCTGACAAATTCGGAATCCTAATGGAACATGTGTCACATTTTGTTACCACAGTAGCATATGCCTTGCGAGTAGCTTCTCTTTTTTCAATGATATAATTAGTAATCTTTGCACCACCATCAATAAGAGGCATTTCCCACTGCAGTGTAATGCTTTCTCTGTCAATGGCTTTTGGCTTAAGATTGAGAGGAGGCCCAGGGGAATCCAAAACTTTGACATTCACATAGGCAGTCTTTTTTCCAGCTGCATTCTCTAATGTTAAGTCATACCTCCCAGCATCACGCCTGTTGCAATCGGGAATGACTAAAAGGGTGTATGACTCTGTATTGTCAATAATTGCACGAGTTTTTAGTGCAGTCTCCTCCTTTGTCCAAGTCACTGTAGGAGTTGGACGTCCTTTAATTGGAACAAATAAGCGAATAGAACCTCCAGCCTTAACAACCAGTGTTCTTCTTAATTCAGCATCAAGTTCCAGGTCAGGAATTTCTTCACGTTCAATAATTTCAACAAGGTCTACTGTTTGTGCTGGTTCCCCAACTCCAATTGCATTCATTGCGGTAATTCTGAAATGATACTTGGCTCCAGCCTGCAATCCAGGGACAACAAATTCAGTGATTATCAAAGGTGTAGTTGTATCCTTCACCCATGCCTCTTCTCCATCCTTTTTGTGCTCAACAATATAACCAGTAACATCCATGCCACCATCATCAAGGGGTTTGCCCCAGTGAAGTTCTGCTGTGGTCTTTGTTGTATCAGTGACTCTTGGGTTGACTGGGGGTCCAGGTACATCTGTGTAAAATAGAAGACATTTTAGGAAGATAGGCAATTATATAAAAATATTAGATTTTCTTAGAGCATGTGAATTGCAAGCATAGATCTGAACAATGTTTACAGTTGTTAGTAAAGAGCCGATGGGTTGAGAGATTGGACAGAGAGCCAAATGTAAGGTACAAACTGTAAACCTTTTGCCTGATAAAAGCAAGTGCGGTTTATGTGCCATGTATATGGAAAAACACAAAATGCATTTCTCTCTCTCATACATGTACTTTTGAAAGAGGTTTGCATATTGGAAGTGTGAAATATGACAAAGATGGGAGGGGCTGCTCGATTTACACACTGCCTTAAATAGCAGCCATATTGGTTAGACAGAGATATCATAGAAATTTTTTTGGTAACACTTTATTCTAGGGTCTGCTTCTTAATCATTACTGAGCTAGTAGCAAACAATTATTATGCAGTTAATAATGCTTTCATAAAAAGAACCAAATCATTTGTAAGCAAGCTTACAAATATGGTGGAAACATATTCATATGATGTGTTAATAAGGTCTCCTACAAATTCGTTTTTAACTGCTTGTTGACTAATGGGTTTAATGTTAATTAATTGTGATCATTCAGTTGCAAGCAAGTAGAAAGAGCCTAAAGCCATCTATGTGATATGTATGATGGTTAAAGGAGGAGCTCACAAATGCATACAAATAACTTAAAAACACTGCAAAAATTAAAATACCTTAAAACATATAAGGAACATGAGGAACATATTCATACATAATGATTAGTACTTTACTGTTAGTAAGTGCTTGCAAAACATAAATAGCTTACAAAGAATTATCTACACTGAAAAGATCATTATTAATACATTTACAAGACCATAACTAAAGTGGAACTTTATTCTAAATAACCACTGCTTCACCCTTAGTAAGTGTTTGCATACAATATTTCCATGTTATAACCATTTTTCTATAACTAATACTTTTTCACCACTTCGCTGACTGGCCCACTACAACAGTGACTTTCCATGTTATTGTTTTGAATTTGTTTCCCAAATTCAATTCTTTTTTTTTTTAACCAAAGCAGAATTGCATAGAAGAATGTGGGGAATTTTTTTTTTTCATCACAGAACATTCAAATTGTTAACTACTAGAAAGTTTTTTTTTTACATGCATAGTTCATATGATAAAAAATGCTAATTTCATACACATCCTGGTGGCATCAAGTCATCTATTGCCCTGTGCCTCCTCTGTACATCTGGCCTTGAATGAATCTACTTACCTGCCATGACCTTTGTTGTAACAGGTTGAGATGGCTCACTGGGTTCTCCAAAGCCAGCCTTGTTCTCGGCTGTTACTCTGAATTGATATTCAACTCCTTCAGTAAGTCCTTGTACTTCAAAATGTAGGTCAAGAATTACTTTCTTTGATGCTCTTGACCACCTCATGCCTTTCTTTTCCTTCTTCTCAACCATGTAACCAGTGATATCACTGCCGCCATCATCAGCCGGTCTCTTCCATGTAATAGTAGCAGTTTTTCCTCCAACATTTTCTACCTCTGGTCTTGCAGGAGGCCCTGGAGGACCTACAGGGAACAGAGTGTTCATTTTAAATGCAGTACACAGAGAGAGACTGTACATTGTTCTTGATTAGTTCACAATGCTACTTACCATAATTATCTACCATCTTTACTGGCTCTGAATGTGAAAAATCACCAGCTCCAGTGTGGTTGACAGCTGAGACACGGAAGATATATTCATTCCCTTGGATTAGTTTATTTGCCACGAAATGGCAGTCAACAACATTTTCAGCAAGAATGGTCCAAAGAAGACGGCTTGTTTCCCTCTTCTCTAAAAGGTAATGCTTAATTGCAGATCCACCATCTTCATGAGGTGGTGTCCAAGTCAAAGTGACTTTTTCAGATGAGATTCCACTCGCCTCAATTGGTCCAGGGGGTCCAGGAACATCCAAAACCTTTACTTTCACATTCTCTTCTTTGACACCAAATGGATTGCTTGCTGTAATAGTGTACTCCCCTGAATCCTTCCTGCTAGCATATTTGATAGACAAAGTAGAGGAGGTAGGAGTAGTTTCAATCTGGCATATATCTGATGGCTTGAAGTACTTCCCTCCCTTTGACCAGGCTGAAGTTGGGGTAGGTTTGCCTAAAATACTTGTTGCTGTAATGACAATTGTGTCTCCAGCTCTAACAGTCAGTCCTTCCTTTACAGTTGGATCAATGATAATTGTTGGTGCCGCTGTAAGTTGAAGAAAAAACAAGTTAAGCACTTGATTAGAATACAAATAAACCTGATCAGCATAAATAAAAGAAATTTGATTTGCATTACCATATTCATCCATGCATACAAGAGTGTCGGTTTGTTCGGATGGTGCACTTATTGCTCCAGCTGCGTTCTTTGCTCTGATTCTGAATTCAAACTTGCAACCTTCCTGCAAGTCAGTCACCGTATATGCACATTCCACAACATTTACAGTGTTGGCTTTCACCCAGACCTTCGCAGGAAGGTCACGTCTCTCAACAATGTAGCCTGTAAGCCTGTGTCCACCATCATACTCAGGTTCAGTCCACTGCAGCGTTACAGTGCTCCTTGTGATGCTGATCACATCGGGTTTACCAGGAGGATCTAAAATATGTCACAACAGGTTCACAGCAAATTACAAATGTAATAGTCTACACTGAAATGATGTAGAGTGGATACAGCACTTACAAACAGGCTGTACTTACCAATAGCGTCCAAGGCTACCATTGGCTGAGTTGGAGGACTAGGCTTACCAACACCAGCCAAATTTATTGCCATCACTCTGAATTCATACTCCAGGCCTTCAGTTAAACCCTTTACTTTGAAATCTTTCATTTTTAAAGGTGCTGGGTTAGCTCTCTTCCACAACATGCTGTTTCTTTCCTTGAATTCAACATGATAACCTGAAAGAGGAAAATTATCAAAATAAAAATTATTAAATAAAATTATCAAATAAAGGTTATTGTTCTGTTTTACAATTTAGATGATTTTTGAATATTCCTTCACCTGTAATTGGTGAACCTCCAGTTTTCCTTGGATCTGACCAAGCCAAGGTAGCTGAATCATGAAGCATGCTCATGATTTGTGGTGCAGGTGGTGAATCTGGCACATCTGATAGGAAAACATAATATAAGTGGTAAGTTGAGAATATGTATGGCCATTGTGCTATTTGTGAAAATATTTTTTTTTGTGAAAAAACTGTACTTACTGAATGGATGTTTAGCAATCATAGGTTCAGACTTGAGACCCTCACCAACTCCATATTTGTTTTCTGCAGAAACTCTGAAGATATATTCTGTTCCCTCATGAAGACCAGACACTCTAAAAGTGTTACTTTCCACCGCTGAGGAAACAGTCACCCACATATTGGTAATGGAGTCCCGCTTCTCGAGAATGTAGTTAGTAATTTCTGATCCTCCATCATCTTTTGGAACACCCCATTTCAAGGTAGCTCCATCAGCTGTTACTTCCTTAAACTTGATAGGTCCTGTACATATTCCTGGTTTGCCAACAACTCTGACAAAGATAGAGGATTCCTTTGATCCAGCACTATTACGAAGAGTGATAGTGTATTTTGAGGCATCGCTTCTTTGGCAGTCACGAATCAAAAGAGTTGTATTAACAGCAGTAGATTCCACACAAACTCTTCCTGTGTCTGTCAAATTCTCATCCTCGCCCTTCTTCCACGAGACTGTTGGGGCAGGTTTACCAATGATGGGAATCTTGAGGCGGACATTGCTTCCTTCTTTTGCAATGTAGTTTAAGTTAGGCAAATCTCTTAAATCACAGCTGGGATAAACTGCACGATAACAAAAGACATATATAAATAAATAAGGATTATTAAGAATAATGTAATTATAAAAAAATGATTAGGAGATAAATAAACATTGTGGGGTTAAATATGAATTATTTTCTACAGAGACAGAAAGAGAGAAACAAAATTAAATCTCACCAATAAGATCCTTTGCTACAATGGAGAGCTCCTTCACTGGACCATCACCCGCATCATTTGTGGCCCTTACTCTGTATTTGTATTCCCTTCCTTCAACAAGATCTTTGGCACTGTATTGCATGTTCTTTGATCTTAGAAGCTCCTTCCACTTGTCCTCACCATTAAGAACCTCAAGCACATATGCAATGATTCGACTTCCACCATCACTAATAGGTTTCTTCCAAGAAAGAGTGCATGAATCCCTGGTTACTAGCAATGGCTTAAAATCCATGACTGGCCCAGGTTGTTCTGGAAAAAAAAATATTTGATTGGTTTTACCGTTAACAGCCCCATACTGGAATACATTAATGGCAGTATAATTTATAATTACATACTATATTTGTAAATGATGCCACTCACCAGAGGCTCTGACAGCATCTGCTGTTTCACAAGGTTCACCAATACCATACTTATTTTGAGCCTTGACTCTAAAACAGTAAGATCTACCAGCTTCCAGGCCTTCGATCTTGAAAGATGTTTTGTCACAGCTGATTGAAACGGTGGACCATGCTTTTCTCTCTGCATCACGTTTTTCTACAACATAACCTATAATTTCACTTCCGCCATCAATTAGTGGTTCATCCCAAAGAATGGATGCACTATCCTTTGTTGTCTCTTTCACCATTAGGTTTAGTGGTGGGCCAGGGGTATCTGCATTGTTGTGAAAAAACAGGATTTGAAGATTTTTCAGCTTGTTTAACTTAAAACAAATTTAATTAAGGATACCCATGATCACATAAGAACTTACCAAGAACTTTGACAACAATTGTGTACATCTTCATGCCGCTGACACTGTCAAGGTTGAGAATGTATTTTCCTGCATCATTTCGAGTCACCCTATCAACACGGACCATTGTGTCAGTGTCTGTGACTTTGATGATAATTCCTTGTCTGTTTTTGATGTTGGTGTTCATTTTGGCCCAGGTTACTTTTGGAGTAGGTCGACCTTTAATTTTAGCATGAAGTTTCATTGAAGCACCAGCCGGTAGAACTAATGTATCCTTCAGCTTTGCATCAATTTCAGCTTCAGGTGGAGCTAAAACAAAAAAAATCATATTCTGGTTTAATCGCAGTACAAGTCAACCATAAATCCTCATCCCACTAAATACAGTAGACAGTAGTATATACAATATACATTATTATATTCTTATATTTTCTTGTTTTTGATTCTTAGTCTTAAACTCATACCAAACACATCCTTTGCAACATGTTTGTCTGGGACTTCACATGGCTGACTAAAGCCAACTTTGTTCACAGCACTGACGCGAAGTTGGTATTCTGATTTCTCCAAAAGTCCAGTGACAACATAGTGTGTGTCCTGTAGGTTCTTTGGGACATTGCATCGGATCCAGTCTGTTGCATCGGTTCTCTTGCATTCAACAAGGTATCCCAAAATTTCACTTCCGCCATCATTTGCAGGTTTAGTCCAAGATACACTAATAGTGCTGTTACTTGTGTCAGTGACCTTGGGGGAGACGGGTGGTCCAGGGGGATCTGTAGAAAACATTAGGTAATTTTAGACTAATATGTAAATATAAACTTTTAGACGTGTACATAACACTGCAAATGTACTTACGAATAGGATCAACTGCAGCAGCAGCATTTGATGGCTCGCTGGGTTTGCCAAGGCCAGCTCTGTTGACAGCAATAACTCTGAATTCATACTGAACGCCCTCAGAAAGACCTCCAACTTCAAGTGTTCTTTCCAGCAAAGGTTTCCTGTTGAGTTTGGTCCAGTTAATTTCCTTGGTCTCACGCTTCTCAAGCATGTATCCGAGGATTGGAGAGTTGCCGTCATCAGTGGGTTCCTTCCAGCTCACAGTCATTTTCTCTTTTGTAATGTTTGTAATGACTGGTGGATCACACGCTCCAGGAACAGCTGTAAATGACAAGCACAGCAAAATAAATAAAAAAAATCATTTCTATAGGGATAACTTAACAGCTGCTAACAAAATGAGGATGGACATCTTACTGAAAGGATCTCGTGCAACAACTGGATCTGACAAAATGGCATCACCAGCTCCATATCGATTTTCAGCACGAACACGGAACTGGTACTCATGACCCATGATCAGCTTCTCCACAGAGAATTCAGTTACATCACCACTGACTTTAGCAGAAACTTGGGCCCAGTTTGCCCTACTTGTTTCACGCTTATCCACAATGTAATTTGTAATTGGAGAACCACCGTCTGTAAGAGGAGCTGTCCAGCTTAACTTCACACGATCAGAAAACACCTCTTCCAATTTGATAGAGGCAGGTGGACCAGGTATGTCTATAGAAAAAACAAAAATATATAAATAATAAAAACTTGAAAGGGGCTGCAGACATCAACATTCAAATAAAATTGTGGTTCTGTAAAAAAATAAAATAAAAACAAATTATAATATATATATATATATATATATATATATATATATATATATATATATAAATAATACTGTAGTAACAGAAAAACACTCACCCAAAACTGTGAGCTGTATGTCTGCAGTCTTAGAACCACTTGCATTTTCAGCAAGAATACTGTATTGCCCTGTGTGAAGTTTTGTAACTGCGGCAAGGCTCAGAGAGAAAAGGTGTTTCTTTTGTGACAACGTCATGTCTTTATCATCCTTTAAAACCTTTCCATCTTTGCTCCATGTGACCTTCGGCATTGGTTTGCCAAAAACTTCAGCCTCAAGGCAAACATCTGACCCTGCTTTCTTTGGCAACATCTTCTTCATTTGGATCGCAAGTTCTATACGAGGTGGTACTGTTAACAACAAAAAAATGCTCATGTAAACGTGTGTACAAAATGTTTTATTAGAATTGGAACAATGCACATGAATTCACTAAAATTATGAATTTACTCTGGTGTTTTTACAAACTAATCATCAAAAAACTTACCATTTTCTGCAGATACCAGAACAGGATCAGAGACTTCAGATGGCCTGCTAATGTTAACTGCTGTTTTTGCAATAACCCTAAATTGGTACTGGGCACCCTCCTCCAATCCAGCTACAGTGTACTCTTCCCGAGGTACATTCTGACTGCTTGTGTTGCATCGCACCCACTGGTCTCCAGGAAGCTTCAAAGCTTCAACATAGTATCCAATTATCTTGCTTCCACCATCATTCTTTGGTCGGGTCCAAACCAATGTAACTGTATTCTTGGTCACATCAAGTACCTCTGGTTTGCCTGGTGCATCTGTTACATCATACAAAAATATATGTTCAAAATAATGCAACATGTAATACACATAAATACAGACTGACAAATCTTTTGCATTAACTTACCCACTGGTGTTCTTGCTGTGACAAAATCAGTCTTCTTGCTTGGCTTACCCTGTCCTGCACGATTAATGGCAGACACTCTGAAAGTGTATTCCAGACCTTCAATTAGACCAGCACAAGGATATTCTGTTGTGCGAACCACTGAATCATTTGCTTTAACCCAAAGGAGGCTGTTCCTCTCTTTGCGCTCAATGTAGTATCCAGTAATAGGACTGCCACCATCAGACTCAGGCTTATCCCAAGCCACAAACATGCAGTCCTTGTTTGTTTTTGTGATGCAACAGTTCAAAGGTTCACCAGGAACATCTGGGGGGGGGGAAACAAATTATGACATTTTATAAATATCAAAAATTATTCTTTTTTGTGTGTAAGAATGATTTTGTCTATTTCATCTCACCGAAGGGGAATTTAGCTATCATCCTCTCAGAAGTAATCGGGTCTGAAATGCCAAAACGGTTCTCTGCACGGACACGGAAGATATACTCCTTTCCAGGAATGAGTTTTCCAAGTCTACACCCAGTCTTGCCACAGCTGGAAACAGCAGTAACCCAGTCACCTCTGCTCACATCACATTTCTCAACCACATAGTTAGTGATATTACTACCACCATCTTCAAGTGGCTTATTCCAAGATAGTGTGCAGGCGTCAGAGTCAATGTCACTGATTTCAAATGGAGGCTCAGGTGGTCCAGGGATGTCTGCAAAAAGATTTGTCAACATATCAACATATCATTTTCTATCATATAAAAGAAGCATTTTGGGTAACCTGAAGCTCAGCAAATTTACACTGACAAAACTGTTACTCAAAACAATGAGTTTGGAGACAGAACAACTCTCACATACAGTGCAGTGTATATTTTTTCCTACCAGAACATTCTATTCGCACAAAAACAAACCCTCCCCAAAGTTCCATAACAATGTATGTAATTTACACTGATTTGAAAGGTTTGCATTTCACGACTACAGAATTGGGAATGTGGCACATTTGTGATATGCTGTCACTGTCCAGTCCACCAGATTGCTAGTGAAATTAACAAAAACTATTTAGAAATTGTTTTTAATTATTTAGCTATGTACTTTGCATTTACTGAGAAGTTACTGAGATTTTGTCAAGCATTCATTCAGCACTAATTCCTTTAACATCTTTTATACATTCACCTTATATGTGGCATGATATGAAAGGCACTCTGTTACACCAAGACTTTGAAACAAAGTCCTGAATAATTAAAATAAAAATCCGCGGTCCATGTTAATAGACCAAGTAACACATTTTGCCCTTTTTCCATGTATCACATTGTTCAGATAAAGGGGTGTTAACTGGAAATACATACCTCTAATAATAACTTTCATAACTTGTTCCACTTTGCCTGAAGAGTTCTCTGCAACAAGGCTATATTGACCACTGTCTGTTCTTGAAACATCCTTTATGATGAGCACACACATGTTTTGGGATTTGTGTACTGCAAGGCGACTTGAAGGCACAACGTTATCCTCTCCTCGTTTCCACTGGCACACAGGCGCTGGTTTTCCAGATACAAGTGCCTCAACTCTCACCTTTGCTCCTGCCTTTGCAGTGACAGTCTCAGGCAAGATAACCTTGGGCTCCACTGAAAAGCAAACAGTGAGCACATTTTTATTTTTGAGTAAAGTTCAATTAGTCGTACATATTTTGATGAACAGCACTGGGATTTAAACAAATTCAAGTTAAGAACAAGAACTTACACATTTGTTCTTTGATCTCATATGCTTCTCTTGTTTCAGTAGGAAGACTAGCTCCCATGGCATTTCGTGCAGCCACTCTGAAGCGATATTTCCTTCCCTCTTTCAGCCCAGCAACAGAGATGCATAAATCTTTGACAACGGTATATGGTGTCCATTCTTCCTTCATTTCTTCCTGTGGTTGTTCCTCCTCCTTCACAGGCACCGGTGGAGGTGCAGGCTCAGCACCAGGCTCTGCCTCACCTTCAACCACTACGGGTTCCTTGGGAGGCTTGGGCTTAGGAAGCTCAAGATAGTCAATTATGTAGCCATCAATCTTAGCTCCGCCATCCCTCATTGGTTTCACCCATCCCACCTTTGCACTGTTCTTAGTAATCTCCAAAACATCAACCTTCTGTGGTGGGTCAGGTTTGCCTAAAAAGAAAACAAGAAACTAACATGAAAATAAACCATTCCAGAAACCTTTCTAACTATTCAAGCTTGTTCATTGTCAGCATGCTTACTGATAGGATCAGATGCCAGAATGGATCTTGGTGTGGGTCTTGGAACACCTGGACCATACTGATTTACAGCTGTGACTCTGAAGTAGTATTCTGTTCCTGGTACAAGATTGCTGACTTTAAGTGATGTCTTGTCCACATTGGCTTTAACAGTTGCCCAAGTCTTGCGATCAATTTCACGTTTCTCAACGATGTAATGAGTTACTTCACTGCCACCATCATTTTCAGGTGGGGACCATGCGAGGTTGCAAGACACCATTGTGATATCTGTGGCCTCCAGGCCAACCACTGGTCCAGGTGTGTCTGTCAAAATCAAATACATTTGAATGAAAATGTGACATCCTAATGGTGTTATTACACCATTGTTTGTAACAGAATATAGTCAGAATTGTACTTACCAAGCACTTTGACATTGACGAACACTGCCTTTTCCCCTGCTGGGCTTGATACTGTCAGTGAATATTTGCCTGAATCATCACGGGTGGTCTCAGAGATTACAAGGAATGTCATTGTGTCAATGAGATCCACATGACCCTTTTTGACAACATTATCAATTCCCATCCTCCTCCATTGCACTTTAGGTGGTGGTCGTCCCCTGACAGTTGCAACTAATCTTATTGGGCATCCAGCTCTAACAGTAAGACCTTTCTTCAGCTCAGCATCCAGAGCAACTTCAGGAGTTTCTGAAGACAAAATATAAAAAATATATAAAAATGTGCAGATCTGGGTACTGCTCTCAATATTTGTTCAAATTTGTTTATACCAACTCACCAAAGATATCCCGTGGTGAGACAGCTCCCTCAAGATTAGTTGGTTGGCTTAGGCCAATCTGGTTTTGTGCAGAAACACGGAATTCATATTCAAGATTTTCATCCAGACTTGTGACTGTAAACTCTGTTCCAGTCAACTGGGCAGCAACATTGCACCTCTTCCATCCATCTTCTCCCTTCTTGCCTGTACCCCTGACTCGGAGCTCAACTACATATCCAATGAGTGGAGCGCCACCATCATGTGTAGGCTTTGTCCACCCAAGAGTGATTGATGTCTTTGAACTGTCAGTCACTTTCAAGTTTCCAACAGGACCAGGAGGCCCTACAAACAGACAAGCAAGGTTAGTATTGACAGACCATGACCAAATAAAAAAAATAATAATTTTGTTTATTAAATAGTCGTAGTTCAGTGGTGAGTAAACATACCGACAGGATCCCTTGCAGTGTATGTTCTAGATGGCTTGCTTGCATCACCAATTCCAATTTCATTCTCAGCCTTGACACGGAACTGGTATTCATGATTAGGCAAGAGTCCTGCTACAGTCATATGGGTCCCTGAAATAGGTGATTTAGTAACTGGAGTCCACCTAATGCCATGTTCTTCTTTCTTCTCGAGAATATAACCAGTGATGGGTTTTCCCCCATCATTATCAGGAGAGCACCACATAACTGTCATTTCAGTCTTTGCAATTCTGGTCACCTCTGGAGCATCTGGTGCACCAGGTCTACTGAACTGGGTCCTTGCAATAATAGACTCTGTTTCCACAGCAGGGCCAGCTCCCATTTTATTTTCTGCTCTCACTCTAAAGATGTACTCATTTCCTTCAATTAGACGAGTTATATTAGCAGAATTGGTTACAACAGCCGAAGAATGGACTGACCAGACACCTCTCTTTGTCTCACATTTTTCTATAATGTAGTTAAAGATTTCACATCCACCATCATCCTTGGGTACCTCCCATGCCAACTTGCATCTATCCACTGAAATGCCTGAGACCTTTAGGTCTCTAACAGGTCCAGGCCTGTCCAGAACATTCACTTTAGCTTCGCCAGTGCAAGTTCCAGCAGCATTTGTTGCAGTGACAATATATTTTCCAGTATCTGTACGTTTTGCATTTGTGAGGAGGAATTTAGAGAAGTTCAAACCAGTTTCCACTTGAACTCGAGGGCTTCTACTGATATCCTCTGTGGCGCCGTCTTTACCCCATTTCACATCTGGTTGTGGCTTGCCTTTAATCTCTGCCTCGATTGGGATGGAATCTCCAGCTTTAACTACCTTAACACCTTCCAACTTGACCTTTATCTCTGGAACTACAAGTTCTTCCTTTACAAGAACTTCAGCAGTAGTCACCCAGTTGCTCTCTCCTCCCTCATTCTTTGTTTGGACTCTAAACTGATATATTTGATTCTCAATACATCTGTCTGCCATGAAATATGTTTCTTTAATAGCACCTTTGTGGAGTCTTTCCCATTCCTCTGCCTCTTTTGGTTTCTTTTCAACATGATAAGCAAGATTGCGGCTACCGCCATCATACTCTGGCTTCTTCCATTTGAGGAAGACAAAAGTCTTTCCAATTTCACTGATATGGAAATTCTCTGGCTCTCCAGGTTTCTCTACTGGATCCACAGCAAGAATAGCTGTTTTTGTTTCCGTTGGTGGTCCAGCACCAATTTTATTCTCTGCACTCACACGGAAGAAATATTCACAGTTCTCAACAAGCGGAGCTTTAACAAGACGTTTAGTGCAGTCAGATGTAACAACTGTCCATCCTCTTTGACTAGGTTGACGGCACTCAATGATATAATTTGTAATTTCAGTGCCACCATTGTCCTCTGGATTTTCCCAAGACACCATGGAAGAGTCTTTGGTTACGTATGCAACCTTCAAGTTCTGGCAAGCTCCAGGAATATCAAGCACATTGACAATGATTGTAGCCTGTGCCTGGCCACTGCTATTCTTAGCTTGAATTGCATATTTTCCATAATCTCCTCTTACAGCATCCTGAATGACTAGTTCAACAATTGGGAAGTTGTTGATCATCTCTGTGCGTTTGTCTCTGCCTAAAGCTCTTGCATCCTTAGTCCAGGTAATTTCAGGATCGGGTCTACCTTTAACTCGGGCCACAAGGCTAATGATCTGTCCTGCCCGAACAGTTACAAGGTCACGGCAGGCAACATCAACAGTTACCTCTGGAGGAACAAGGATGTCCTTGGCAAGCACGGTCTCTGCTAGCTCTCTTGGCTCTCCATCCCCAGCCTTGTTAGATGCTCTAATGCGGAATCTGTACTCTGTACCTTCAATAAGGCCTGGTACTCTGAATGCACATGGCTTGATGAGATCCTTATTGATTCTGTCCCACTTTGCAGAGCCTGATTTCTGGCACTCAACAACGTAGCCTAAAACAGGGCTGCCTCCATCTCTGCTAGGCTTGGTCCACACCAGATCTGCATATGACTTGCTCCAGTCTTTCAATTTTAGATTACTTGGAGGTCCTGGAGGAGTAATTGGGCGTGCGGCTCTCATCGGGTCCGAAGGATAGGATGGCTTGCTAATACCAGCAACATTCTCAGCAAAAATTCTGAATTCATAGCTGTTGCCCTCAAACAGACCAGAGACTCGGTATCTAACATCCAAGACTGGTGTTTTATTTACACGAATCCATTTACCAGTCATCTCCCTGCGTTCTACAATGTAACCACTGACTGGACTTCCACCATCAGTATCTGGTGGAGTCCATGACACTGTCACAGCATTTTCTGTGATATCTGAACATGTTGGTGGTCCTGGGGGGCCAGGGGGATTAAACATATGCTTGGCAATAGTTGGAGGACTTTCGAGGGGAGCACCAATGCCGATCTTGTTCTCAGCACGAATGCGTACAACATATTCACGACCCTTCTCTAAACGTGGAATCTTAGCTTTTGTGCTTAGGCTTCCCGAACTCACAACAGACCATGGCTCCCAAGGCTTCTTGACATCCTTCTTTTCCACAATGTAATTCATCAAAGGTGTACCACCATCATCTTTAGGTGGACGCCACTGGATAATCATGTGATCAGGTGTAACCTCAAGGATGTTGACAGGGCCAACTGGAGGACCTGGGAGATCAAGTACTGTTACATGAAGAGCAACTGACTTGCTTCCTGCAGGATTTGAAACAGTAAGGATATATTCTCCACCATCAGTCCTGGCACATTCACTGATGCTTAGAACTGTTGAAGTTCCTTCAGTATCAATCTTGTATTTGCCTTCAGTTTTGAGCTCATTGCCATCACTCAGCCACTTGGCTGTTGGGACTGGTATTCCTTTCATGACTGCAGGCAGCACAATGGTGCTTCCAGCCTTCACAACAAGGCCCTCAATGAGTTTCACATCAACTTCAATAGATGGTGCCACTATAAAGAAAAAAAACATGTGTCAAACATAGTCAATGAAGTCAAGGGTATTAGGTGGTTTCTTACAGTATTGAATAAAACTTACAAGTCTTCTCCTGGCAAGTAATTGGTACACTGGTGTCTGGTCGGCTAATGCCAATAGCATTTTGTGATTTCACGCGGAACCTGTAGGTCTTTCCCTCTACAAGTCCAGTGACATGGCAGTGAGCATTGCTGACAGTTTTGAAGTTGACCCAATCAGGAACTCCCTCTTCTTGATACTCAACAATAAATCCAGTTACTTCACTTCCACCAGTACGTTCAGGCCACTCCCACTCAAGCCATACTTCAGTTTTTTCTGCATCTACATGATGTAAATTCTTAGGAGGGCCAGGGGGATCTACAAAAAAAAAAAAAATTAACATATTAGATATGAGCTTTCAGCAAATTTAGGATCATAATTATCTTGTTCTGGGCATATATTTTTAATGGCTTTTACTTTTGAGTTTCAAACAGCACTGGCTAAACTGAAATGAATGAATGTATTCTCTTGGTTATTACTACTTACATAGAGGATCAACTGCTTTGATAGGCTTGCTGGTTTGAATATATGCACTTCTGCCAAACTGATTCTCAGCTGCGACACGGAATAAATACTGAATACCCTCCATCAGATATAGAGCCATGAGGCTAAGCTTCTTGGATGAGGCACAGACTGGGACCCACTGCTCAGCAGCAACATCTTTTTTCTCCACAACATAGTGAGAGATGACAGCACCACCATCATCCTCTGGCTTTTGCCAGGTTAGGTATGCCGATTCACTTGTTACCTCAGAGACGGTAAGATTACGTGGAGGTCCAGGTTTATCTGAGTCACAGAAAGGCAAAAATAGCCAAATTAGTACACATACACACACACACACACACACACACACACGCACGCACGCACACACACACACACACACACACACACACACACTTACCCAGAACAAGCACTGTGCATGTCGCTGTCTTTGATCCAGCTGCATTTTGAACTGTTATGGTATAGCTGCCACAGTCGGCACGGGTGCTTTTCTTAATGTGAAGTTTACTTCCTCTTGTTGTGACTTCAATAACACAATGAGAGGGAACCTCTCCATCATTCTTTTTCCAAGACACAGTGGGGATTGGCATGCCCTTAATCACAGCACTTAGTGTGATATCTGTTCCAATCATTGCAAGATGGTCACGTGACATATTGGCATCCAGCAGTAACTCTGGTTCCTCTGCATAAAGAAAATGAAAAAAAAATCAATTATGTAAATTATTTAGAACTGCTGGCTATCAGTTTGATATCTGAACAGATTATCGTAGAAAAATAATTACCAAGTCTGTCATGCACTTTAACTGGTTCTTTTACGTAAGCAGGTTCAGATTTTCCAGCTGCATTCACAGCCATGATCCTGAAACTAAATTCTCCACCCTCTGGTAGGTTTTTCACAACAAACTTGGTGTCTGGGCATGACTCAGGAGTCTCGTTGGCCTGTATCCATTCAATTGCCCCAGGCTTCTGATACTCAATAAGGTATCCAAAGATCTTGCCTTTGCCATCATGGCGAGGAACACGCCATGACAAACTAACAGAATCCTTTGTTTTGTCAATGACCTCGGGAAGCACAGGTGGACTGGGCAGAACTGTAAAGCAAATGTGACAGTGTAAGAGAAAAAAAAATGTAGCAATGTTCAGTTATTCAAAAGAATTACTACATATCTTTAAACTCCCAAATTGCTATTCAATAATGCATGAGGTGACATTCTAAACCAAACTCTCCACTGAAACTTTTTTTGGTTTGTAAATATGCAAATAGTGCCCAAGTTAGCAGCAAAACTTTTAATCTTAAAATCATGTAAACAAGTAGGGCTCTAGGCGATCATATTGTATGTTCAAGGCACAAGAACAACATACCGATAGGATCCTTAGCTAGAACAGGTTTAGATGGAGGGCTTGGGTCCCCAGTACCCATTTCATTCTCTGCTATGACACGGAATTCATATTCACATCCTTCAATGAGATCTTGTACCCTGTACTGGGTAGCAGGGTAGATATGATCTCTAGTCACACGAGACCATCTCTTAGCTGAAGGCTCCTTCTTTTCCAAGATGTATTCTGTAATTGGCTTGCCACCATCACGAGGACGATTCCAAAGCACCAGGGCGGAGTCATGATAAACATCTCTAACTGTAGGCTGCTCAGGTGCCTCGGGTACTCCTGTTAACATAACAAGACATTAAAACGATACATTCCTAACAAAGTGACATTTTGAAATAAATTAAAATATTACATACTGAAGCGATCCTTAGCCTTCATCTCTTCAGACTCCAGTGGGTCACTGATGCCGTACATATTCTCAGCACTTATTCTCATGATGTATTCACGACCTTCCACAAGTTTGGGCACTTTACAGGTGGTTTTTGTGGTGGCAGATGTTACAGTGGTCCACATGTCCCTGTTAGTGTCTCTCTTCTCAATGATGTAGTTGGAAATTTCACATCCACCATTATCAAGAGGAGGCTTCCAAGAAATTACCATATGATCTCTGTGAACATCCTCAAAGATTACCGGACCTTCAGGCGGTGTTGGGCGGTCTAAAATTAAACAGCAACATCAGAGATCAGTAATAGCATTTACTTAAAAACAAAAAAGACCTGACAAAAACAAATTTCACAAACCGTACCAACAACAATGACATTGCAAATGCCCTTGCGAGCTCCAGTGCAGTTCTCAACTGTGACACAATATCTGCCACTGTGCCCACGCTGAGCCTTGATAATACCAAGGCACATTGTGGTTAAAGTATTCTTGAACTGAACATGTTGATCTGCTTTCAGCTCTTCATCATCCCTTGTCCATGTGATAGAAGGAGCTGGCTTTCCTGAATAGCGTCCTTGCAGTGCAAAGCTTTCACCAACACGGATAATAAGCTTGTCACGGAAGTCTAGTTCAATAGTTGGGGGCTCTGAAATAAGGAGATGACACCCAATCAGTTGCAATTATAAATTCTACTGAAATCAAAGGGTTATTATTTACTGTAACATACACTCATGAATAATGTAATTTTGATTCCAGGTTTTCATACCAAGCTCATCTTTGCACAGGATTGGTTTGGTGCTGAAGGATGGCTTGCCCTGACCAATTTCATTTACTGCACTGACACGGAATTCATAGGAGTCACCCTCTCGGAGACCATCGTATGTGAATTTCCTGTCCATAAGCCTTTCCTTGGTCAATCTTATAAACTTGTCCTTGCCAATTGGGCGTGCCTCCAGGATGTAAGAGGTCACTTCACATCCTCCATCATTCTTTGGTGGTTTCCATGCTACACTAATGTAGTCTTTAGTGACAGCGGTGACCTCAAGCTCCTCTGGACGGTCTGGTACAGCTAGTAAAAGAAAAGTGCAGAAAAAAAAGTTCAATTACAGTAAACGTACTGGCTATTTGCTTGTAATACAGAAAGAAATCACGGTGAAAAGCACACCAACTTACTGAGACGTTCCTTAACAATGATTTCACATGCAGTTTCACGGAATGGACCAATTCCGACTGCATTTTCAGCTGCAACTCTGAAGAAATATCCTTTTCCTAAAGTCAGATTAGAAACCACACCACTTTGTCTGGCCGCACTATAGGAGCATGGTGTCCAGAACTTGCGCTCCGATTCACGTTTTTCAATTATGAAGTTAGATATGGGAGAACCACCATCATCCTCAGGGAAGAACCAAGTCAGTTTGCAAGAGTCAATGGTAAGATTATCTGCTGTAAAAGGTATGCCCACTGGACCAGGGACATCTGAGGAAAGAAATAAAATTAGGTATGTAACAGTGCTTTTCTCTTTTGTTCAATGCCTATCTACAATTGATTTGATATGTTGTACAGTTTATATAATTATTCCTACTTACCAAGAATATCAATAATGACAGTTCTCTTCACCTCTCCTCCAGCATTTTTTGCTACTAGGCTATAAACACCTTGTTGCTTTCTGGTGCAATTCTTAATTACTAATGAGGTGCTGATTGATGTCGTCTCAACAACAGCCTCTGGTGGGACAGCAGCATCATCTCTGCTCCATGTTATTGCTGGGCAAGGCAGGCCTGACACATAGGCTAGGATGCGGATAACACCACCGGCATGGAAAACCATCCTCTCTTTCATTGAGATGTCCAGCTCAAGCACTGGGGGAACTGGAATATGAACATAAATGTTTGGGTTTTTTTATGTTAACATAAAATACATTCAATGAAATAAAAGATACTGACATAGTGATACATATCAGGACTTACTTATCCTTTCTTTCATTTCGAGAACTTCAGCAACTTCTCCTGGCTCGCTCAGCCCAGCAGCATTGAATGCCAAAACTCTAAACTTGTAAAATCCATTCTCTTTCAAGCCAGTGATTACAAATTGTCTTCCTCTAACTTCTTTTTCTTTGGCCTGTAGGCATAATAAAGAAATTGCAGTATTTTGGCATCATATCCAGTCACAGATAGTGAAGAAATTTTGGACTAGAATAACACCACGTTTATTGCATACCTTAACCCAGGCGTCTGTGCCTTCTTCTTTGTATTCAACATAGTAGCCCATGATTTTCGATCCCCCATCTTTTAGAGGTGGAATCCATTCCAAATCAACTGTATTCTTTGTCCAGTCAGTAATTTTGGGGGTTGGTGGTGAAGGTGGAGCTATATGAAAACAGAAAAGTCAAAATGTGAGACTGACGTGATAACAAATAGTACATCACTATAACATTTTTTGTAGCTGCTCACCAATTGGATCTCTGGCAAATGTTGGGTCAGATGGCAAACTTGGAGGCCCACATCCTGCTGCATTGATTGCAGTCACACGGAACAGGTATTGAGATCCTTCAATGAGGCCTGTGACATTGTAGGACACACCAAGAGGCATTGGCCTGATTGGGTCACGGGTTACTCTGTTCCAGCGCTTTGATGTGGTCTCTTTGCGCTCAAGCCAGTACCCAGTAATTGGACTACCACCATCTGTGTCTGGTTCCTCCCAGTTCACAGTCATGGAGTCCATTGTAATACTTGAGAGGGTTGGCTTCTCGCACTGGCCAGGGATAGCTATAAAGAAGATATAATACATTGTGTCATCTATTTTCATAAAAAAATGGACAAACTGACTTTAAGAATTACTAGTGATATACTAGTGTACTTCCTGTAGTACTTACTGAAAATATCCCTAGCAACCTCTGGCTCACTGTCAAGTGGATCGCCAACTCCATATTTATTCTGAGCCCTGATGCGGAACACATACTCATGGCCTGGCATCAGACCCTCAATTGTGAAGATACGCTCTTTGGGTGCACCAGGGATAGGAATCCATGATTTCCTATTGGAAACACGCCTCTCAATGGTATAGTTTGTGATTTTGGAACCTCCATCATCTATAGGAGGCAGCCATGACAGGGTAATCTGTTCAGCATGTATCTCCTCAAATTTAATTGGTGCAGAAGGAGGTCCAGGAAGTCCTGAAAATAAAAATACATGGTGCCTGATTAATATAAATATTATGTTTACAATTTTCATTAACATGAGTGCTCATAATATTCCACAGAATTAATGTCTCTATGCCAGTACCAAGTAATTTATTAACATCATTTACCTAGAACATTAAGTCTCATCTCCTTGGAGACTGTGCCTAGGCTGTTGCTGGCAGTAAGTGTATAGAGACCAGTGTCTGAGCGTTTGCCCTGCTGGATCAGCAGTGTACAGCTATCATCAGACACAAGCTTGTTAATATGTTCATCATAAACCACTTCAACCTTGTCATCACTTTTGTGGGGTGGGGCCTTGTGCCAAGTAAGGGTGGGGAATGGACATCCCTTGATTTTAGCAACAATGTTAATATCTGTGCCCTGTTCAACTTCCATGAACTCTTCAAGTACAATGGAAGGTGCTCCTAGAAGACAGAAACACAAAGTTACATGCAAATTTGTTTATGCCCTGTGTGTTTAAAGAAATACTACCAGGAAATACTGCAGATACAAACGAGTGAAAGCAACCAATTCATGATTCATTTCCAAAATGGTGAATTTCATTCATGAACAGTGGTAAAGTTTAGCATTCTTGTACGTTGATTATAGGTCACTGTATTTTCTGTATTTTACGCACTTGTCTGGTCCTTAACAATGATAGGTCCAGCAGTAGAGGATGGTCTGCCTGCACCAACTTCATTTACAGCCTTGACACGAAATTCATACTCAGCACCCTCATGGAGGTCCTCAACTTTGAAGGTGGTGGTGTCAATGTCACGTCTATTGCACTGTCTCCAAGACTCTTTTTGCTCTCCACTGGAGTCCCACCAGAGGCGTTCAACAATGTAATGCGTTACAGGCGACCCACCATCATTTTTGGGTGGCTTCCATTTCAGAGTCACTGTTCCCTTGGACACATCAATGATTTTGACTCTAGTGGGAGCATCAGGAGGATCTGCAAATATAAACATGTAACTGAGCCATAATGACAAATATTTTTTCTGTTCTGATAAGAGTGTGATTAAGATGTTGTACTCACGGATGGGTTCCTTTGCCCTAGTCCTCTGGAAGGTTTCTAGTGCAGGTCCCAGACCAAAGCTATTCTCAGCTCGTATACGGAACAAATAGTCTTGTCCTTCAATAAGGTCTGGAACTACAAAGGACTGACTGGCACAGGCTGGGTTGACCTTTGTCCAGGCTTTTCCTTCAACTGTCTTCTTCTCAATGTAGTAGCTCTTTATCCGCTCACCGCCATCATTATCTGGGGGCTTCCATGTAAGTCTGCAGGTACTTCTTGTGATGTCAGTAATTTTGAGCTCTTTAGGTTTCCCAGGGAAATCTGGATAAAAGATTATTTTTTTAATACATGTTTTTTTTTGTATTCATATTTTTAGTTAGGTTTATTAAGTGTAGTGTTGCTTACCCAGGACAGTGACACGGACTTTGAGCGTTTTTGTGGCAGCTGGGTTAGAAGCAGTAATGATGTACCGTCCAGAGTGTTTGAACTTACTCTCAGGGATAGTCACTTCTGAAGTGGTATCAGTTGATGAAATCTGTGGAATAATAATTAAATCATTTTTAATATCAAGGGTACTATATCAGAACCTTTGATATGAACATATTGGAAAATATGTAAGGTCCCACCTCTGAATCCACTGGAAGATTGTGCAGCTCATTTTTCTTTTCTGTTGTGGCAGTTCCATCAAATTCCCATGTGACCTTTGGAATAGGCCTGCCTGATACAGTGACTGGGATTCTGATTGTTGTTCCAGCACGACAAGAGAGAAGTTCCTGAGCCTTGACTCCAAGTGTAATAACGGGTTCCTCTGTGAAATTTTAATGGAACAAAACTGTTACTCAGCAAATAATAAAAACACACGTTTAGCATTCATAAATATATATTTTCCTAGTATTTTCAAACACTGTCAGTGGAGAATCCCCAATGGTAGTCACTCTAAGACTTGACGCATATATGGATAAATGGCAAATTTGTCTTTCCAATACATGCATTTATATTTTAAGGTAAAAGTACAACTTACCCAGGATATCCTTTATAATGGTATCAGAAGTTCTGGGACTTGGTTCTGACTCGCCAGCAGCATTGACAGCAACAATCCTGAATCTACATTTCTTATTTTCTTTGAGCCCTGACACGGTATATGCAGTTGTTAAAATCAGCTTATCAGGCTGATTCACTCTTCTCCACTCTACCGAGCCCTCATCCTGGACCTCAACAATGTAACCTTTGATTGGGGTTCCACCATCCTTCTCTGGTGGGACCCAGCCAAGAGTCACACTGCTAGATGTCTTGTCTTTAACCTCAGGTGCAGGTGGCTGGCCTGGCGGATCTACAAAAAATATGAAATCATTGTTGGTTTTATGTCATTCAGCACCTAACCTTACACTGTACAATCAATGCAGCAGCATGCCACTTACTTCTTCGATCGAGGGCGAAAACACATTCTGTTGCTTCGCTTGGTGGACCAATGCCAGCAGCATTTTGAGCCATCACACGGAACTGGTACTCAATACCTTCGATAAGCCGCAGCACATTGTACTCCAAGCCCTTAACAGCTGGTTTTGTGACAGGAGCCCTGTTAACACGACTCCAGTACACAGCCCCCCTTTCTCTCTTCTCAAGCCAGTAGCCCTGAATAGTTGCTCCACCATTGTCCTTTGGAGGGTCCCATGCTACTAGCATAGATGAGCGAGTGTGTCCAATGATTCTTGGTTTTTGAGGTGGGCCAGGAAGACCATATGGATCCTTGAGGACAACTTTTTCTGATTCACACCCATCACTGACTCCAAACTTGTTCTCAGCTTTGATCTGGAACTGGTAAGTGCCAAAAGCCTCGAGCTTGTACACCTTCAAGAAAATATTTAGAAAAAGTCAGCATGATTATCAGTGTTCCATCATCATTAGGTTAATTTCTCCAAATACAGTAACTGCAGTAAACCATTACAACACTAACCCCATAACGCCTGTCTATGATGCAGCATGTCAGCTGCTCCCAGTCAGACTTCTTCTTGCTGGCATCCCTCTTCTCAATAATATAGTTAGTGAGGTCACTTCCTCCATTGTCCTCTGGAGCATCCCATGTGAGGTAGCAAGACTCTGCTTTGATATCAGAGACCACAATGTTCCGTGGTGGTGATGGACGATCTGGAGTAAAAACAAGAAACAATGTATAAACCTGTGACTTAGATTCACCTTAAATACATAAAATCAGTTAATTTCTATCTTGGGGCCTTCTTAGATATTTGACTCAACTCACACTGAATGGATCGTATTAGTCTCTGCATTTCATGGGAGACAAAGGACAAAGAACACTACATTTCACTGTTATAAAGCATACATACCCAAAATCTCAACTCTGATGATTTGTTGACCTGTTCCGTATTTATTTGTGGCAGCTAGCTTGTATGAGCCGGCGTCTTGTCTCACAGTTTCAGGGATAGCAATCTTGGTGTTAATTGTTTGTCTGTTGATCTCCTCTGATTCAAGTGTCATGGTCTCTGTGGATTTGTCAAGAACAACTCCATTCTTTGTCCACTCATAGGTGGGCAATGGGAGACCAACAATTTCAGCAGGGATTTCAATAGCTGCTCCTTTCTTGACAATTATGGCATTACTCTTAAAGTACTTCAACAGCGTCACAGTTGGGGTCACTAAAATAAGATTGAGGAAACACAAGTATTGTAAAACACACTAAACATCAGGTACTCATTTGTTTCCATAAGAAGCATAAGAAGACTAATACATACATTCATCGTCTTGAATATGGACAGTGATTGGCCTGGACAGTTCACCATCACCAACTTCATTGACAGCTTTTACTCTGAAGTCATATGTCATGTTTTCATTCAGATTTTCCAGTGTAATTGTGGGCTCCTTGCAGATTTGACGATTGGCAACATCGAATTCATCACTGTCTTCTCTCTTCTTTTCAACATAATAGCCTCTGATTGGAGCACCTCCATCACTGCGAGGAGGTTGCCAAGCAAGTGTTACAGTGTTCTTGGTCCTTGCAGTGTGGTGAAGCTTTTCTGGGGCGGATGGAACACCTGGATTTTCAAGAAGTTAGCATTATATAGAGATAGATATATATATATATATATATATATAAGATAATAAAGTATTCAGCAGTTTAAATATGAGTTATATAAGTTAAAGTTACCTTTAGGATCCACTGCAAGAACAGGTCCAAGTTCAACAGGGGCACCAAGACCAAACTTGTTCCTTGCAACTACACGGAACATATATTCCTCACCATCAAGAAGACCAACTATGTCACATTTGCAAGAAGCAGTTTCCAAAGGTTGCCTGTATATGTGCATCTTGGCATCCTTTCTTTCAACGACATAGCCCATAATATCACTTCCACCATTATCAACAGGATCAGACCAGGTCAGTGAGATCATCTTCTTGCTGACATGGACTGTTTTAAGGTCAACTACAGGTCCAGGAACATCTTTTATACCAAGAAGACACACAGAAAGTTAATTCATCTCAAAAAAATTACAGGACAGAATTTGGGATGTGAAGAATTTAAAAACAATGTTACATACCCATTACATCAACCCTGATAAAAGCAGATTTTGTTCCACTGGAGTTTGTTCCTGTGATCTCATATTTGCCATGGTCAGTTCTCAAGGCATTCTTGATGCTCAGAGTGCTGCATTTTTCAACAGTTTCAATAACAACCCGCTCCTTGTCAGGTTCAGCATCATCTTTTGTCCATTTAACCTCTGGTATGGGTCTGCCAATAACATAAGCTGGTATACGCAGAGTCTCTCCAGCTTTTATAAGTACTCCATTCCTCACAGAGATATCAAACTCAATTCCTGGGGCCACTGTTGCAGTATAACAAACATGAGATTAGACACAGTATTGGTATTCAGTAAAAAATGCTTTCAAGAGTGTTTTGTAAGAGCTTACGTTCAGGTTCCTTTACTTGAACAGGTTCAGTCATTCCAGGGACTCCATGGCCAGCTTCATTTACAGCATATACACGAATGTAATAATCCGCTCCCTCAGTCAGTCCAGTCAAAGTGTACTTGCACTCCTTGCATCTGAACTCAGTACTGCGGACCCAATCCTTTTCTCCCACAATACAGCGTTCAACGTGATACCCTAGAATATCTCCACCACCATTGTACAATGGAGGAACCCAGGCAATATCAACTGTTGTATTTGTAGTATCGACAATTCTTGGCACGGGTGGGCCAGGTGGCACTGTACAAAAATGTAATGCAGCAATTAAAAGATCCATTCTGTGAACATATTGTAGACTTCTATAATAATTATTTCCTATTTGCATTAGAGATTGCTATAACCGTATTAAAAATCAACAGTAACACTTACTGATGGCATCCATTGCAACCACAGGATCAGTTGGGACACTGAATTCTCCAGGGCCAGCAAGATTCTCAGCACAGACCCTGAAGACATAAACCAGGCCTTCCATGAGACCCTCAACCTTGACTGCTAGTGAGCTGAGAAGGTTGCGATTGACTCTGGTCCAGTATTTGCTGTTGACTTCACGTCTCTCAATCCAGTAACCTAGGATGGGGCTACCATTGTCCTTAGGCTCATGCCAAGAAAGAGCAACACTGCTGGCAGTGACTTCTCCAATTCGTGGCATGTTAGGAGCATCAGGAGGATCTAGAAATCATTTTAAAGACATAAAATCACATATTCAGTATAACGTTTTTATAGTGTTTTTATATTGTGTCTTAAATTCTACATTGCATATTTTACCGAATTGATTCTTAGCAACAAGTGGCTCAGAATAGCATGGTGGTCCAGAGCCAAACTTGTTTTCAGCCCTGACTCTGAAGATGTACTCCTTTCCTTCAATTAATTTGGTCACAGGATAGTTATATCCTTTATGGGTTGAGGTAACAGTGACCCAACCAATTTCATCAGTGGTGTTGTCTTTCTTCTCTAGGATGTAGTTGATGATCTCACTGCCACCATCATCAAGGGGTGCTTCCCATGTGCAAGTGACAGAGTTGTTCCTTATCTCATCAAATCCAAAGTTCACTGGTGGACCTGGTTTATCTACGGATTAGCACAACATATATTTTAATGTAATCTGCTAATTATAAAAATGTGTGAAAAATTAACAAGGTAAAAACACCAAAAGTGATCTTACCAAGAACATTGACATCGCAAGATGCAGTTGCAAAACCATGGACATTCTCAACCCTGATGGTGAAAAGTCCATGGTCAATTCTAATGGCATCACGCACCATCATTGCAGTCTCGCCTCTCTTGCTCTGGTCAAAGGACAGACGATCTGGAAGTGGAGGATGGAACTCCTCCTCAGGTTCAGGATGAATAGCCTTGGTTTTCTTCTTCTTTCTTACAAAGAGCTCTGGCTTCTTCTTAACAATCTTCTGGACATTCTCATCATTCCTAAGCCATGTCACAGTAGGGTATGGAGATCCTGAAATGTTGGCATCCAGTCTAATCTCTTCACCTTTCCTTACACTGAGGCCAGATGCGATGCGTGCATGCAGTGATACCTTTGGCGGGTCTGAAATAAAATAACATTACTTATGAAATTTTATGTCACAATGGCAAAATATTTCTTGTTTATCTGGAGTGACATTAAGACATACCAACAGGATCAGCAGCTGCAATCAGGGGTGTGCTGCGGGACGGGTCACTTTCTCCAGCAACATTCTCCGCACGTACACGGAACTGGTATTCCTTTCCTTCTGTTAAGCCAGTGATGGTGTAGGAAAATCCAGGCACCAGATTTGGAACACATCTCTCAAATCTATCACCATCCTTCTCAATTTTCTCAAGAATATAGCCAGTAATTGGGCAACCACCATCATAGGGTGGTGCCTTCCATGTAACAGTAATGGACTGAGAGGTAGGGTTGTGTCCCTCCACATCAATCGGTGGGTCAGGTCGCTCTGAAATATTTAAAAGGTCAAAAATGTAAAAAAAATAAACAACAGAACAACAATGTATTCATACTTAATAAAAAATTAAATTGTACTTACGCTTCTGCTCCTCTGAGATTACAGGGTTGCGAAGCTCAAGATATTCACCACAACCAATTCTGTTAACAGCCTTTACTCTGAAGTAATATTCACCATTCAGCATTAGGTCCTTGACCACAAAGCTCAAAACATTGATTCCAGACATCACAGGCAAAAATGTCTTCTTCTGAGCCTCTCTGCGCTCCAGTACATAATGCAGGATTGGGCTACCACCATCACTCTCTGGTGGTTCCCATGAAATTGTGCAGGAGTTCTTGGTGACTTCACTTGGAGAAATGCTCTTACATTGTCCCGGAAGACCTATTGGTGAAAGCCATTTTATTAACCAATGTTATACGACACAAAAAAAATGACTTAAGATGTGGAGAAAACATTGCCTTACCAATCACTTTAACATTAACTGTTCCAGTGGCAGAACCCAGACTGTTCTCTAAAGTGACAGTGTAGACACCAGCATCTTCATGCTTGCATTTGAGGAGCTCAAGGTGAACACTGTTGAGTTCACATGTCAATGTGAGCCTGTCACCAGTTTTCAGTTCTGTTTCATCCTTCTTCCAGACCATTGATGGTTTGGGAATTGCTCTGTATGGGATCTTTAGATGCATTTTCTCACCCTCAACAATAACAACATCTTGAGTCTGCAAATCGATGGTTGGCACACCTTTGAAATAATTTAAAAAAAATGCAGTTAACAAAAATATAGTAATTTCTCAATGAGTTTTACAAAAATTAATAAACCCAAGTATTAAGTCAGTATCATGTTACTGAACTAAAAGTGTGCTTACAGTCAGGGTCTTTAGCAAAGACCGGGTCGGATACTTCAGAGGGATCACTGACTCCAACAGCGTTGATGGCACGGACTCTGAGAATGTACTGTTTCTCAGGAATTACGCCATCTTCTGCCTTGAACTTGAGCTCTTTGATGGGACGTGCATTTATTCTCATCCACTTCTCTGTGCCAGCCTCAGCCAGCTCAACATGATATCCAGTAACAGGACTTCCCCCATTCTTCTCTGGTGCCTTCCATGTGATGTTGATATGCTCTCTGGTGGCATCAACAATCTTAACCTCAAGTGGAGGAGAAGGTGGACCTGAAAAAAGTAAACAATTGAATAATTAATTGATCGTGTGATTAATCATGTGAAATCATTTTCATTTGTAATCATTAATTATTGTAATGATGCAAAAAATGGCAACATACTAATAGGGTCTTCAATGGTAATGATTTCTGTGGGTTCACTTGGGTTGCCAACTCCAGCCTCGTTTTCAGCACGGACCTGAAATTGCACCTCAGAACCTTCATCAACATCAGTCACCCTGTATTTGCACTCAGGGCCAGCTGTCTTTCCAGACTTTAACCAGCGGGTGCCCACTTTCTCCTTCTTCTCAATAACATATCTGCAGCAGAGATCACATGTCAAGCCCATCAAAATGCTATACAATGTAAAACATGTTGTGTTTTACGAACTAGAAAGCCATAATGATTACATACTTTGTGATTGGTCTTCCACCATCACTTTTGGGAGGCTCCCACTTCAGGTCAACATGTCTCTTGGACACTTCAACTACTGTCAAAGCATAAGGAGGTCCAGGAGTAGCTAAGGAAAGAGTATTCTGTTATTTAAACTGCTTTTGTCTTCCTTAAAGTAAAAATATTAAATAAAACATAAAACCACTTTTATGAGTGCCTGCACTTACTGAAAGTGTCCTTCGCCAGCACAGAGTCCTCCATCTCATAGAAATCGCTCATACCCACCGCATTTTGAGCTGCCACACGGAAAACATAGAGAGTTCCCTCATTAAGTGGAGTGACAGTGTACTTTGTGTCTTTTACTGTGGTGTCCACTGTCTGCCAGCTCCAGCGTCTGACATCTCTTTTTTCAACTACATAGTTGGTAATCGGAGAGCCACCATCACTTTCCGGTTCAGTCCATTTCAGTTCACAGTCGATCTTTGAAATGTTGACTACCTCAAGCCAGCGTGGTGGAGATGGAGGATCTGTTTAAATGTAAAGTTTTCATTAGTTAATTTTACTTATTACTGTCTACTGTAAATGAAAGGGATGCAACTAGATATCCCTTACAAAGACCTATAAACTCACAGAGTCTTTCCTTGCACACAACAGGATCACTTGGATCACTGGGTTCACTTTCCCCAGCGACATTCACAGCTTTGACACGGAAGGAGTACTCCTGCTTCTCCATCAGTCCCTTGAGCAAGTGCTCTGTCGTGAGGACATCCTCGGCCACACGGACCCATTCTTCAGTTCCACTCTTGAGGAGCTCAATAATGTAGGACTGAATTTTAGCACCACCGTCATGCTCTGGTCTAGTCCATTGCAGGAATGCAGATGTCTTAGCAATGTCTCTGATGAACGGTTTGCCAGGAGCCCATGGAGGATCTATAAAGAAAAATTTGTATCGTATCAAAAACCTTCAATGTGACAATTGGTCATAACTGCAGGTGCAGTCCATTTAATGCCATTTGCTATGAAAATAGTTGTGTATCAGTGATGTTTTTCATTATGTAGTTGTATTTCAAATGAGTTTTAGTAAAGATCAGAATAAGCTACTACAATTTATTCAACAGTACAAAAAACTAACTATAATAATTAGCAATAATAATAATAACAACAATAAGATTAGCACAATGATTTTTTTTCTATTCATTCATTAAAATTAAACTTATTTTCTTATTTCTTACAATTTCTTATAATACTTTTCTTATTGTTATAGAATATTCTAATATTCACTAAAATATTTGAAAATAAAAACAGTTAACAATTGCAGCCTTACTTCAACGTATTCTTTATGACAATGTTTTACTTTTAAACTGCATTATTTACATACCAATTGGGTCCTTAATCAGGACAGGGTCAGTCTCAGCACTTGGCTTTCCAGGTCCTGCAAGGTTCTCAGCCAGAACACGGAATCTGCACTTCTTCTTGGTTGGCAATCCCTTCACTCTGCAAAAAATATAAAGGGTGCGCCAAGTTCAGCATTTGAAATGCTTTCTGCAAATTCGATTTATTATAGTTTTCTTAAAATGTGTCAAAGGCCTACCTGAGTGTAGTGTCCCTGACTGGCAGCTTGTTGCATTTGATCCATTTGTCACTTTCTGGATCAAACCTTTCAACCCAGTAGCCAGTGATGGGACTTCCACCATCTTCATCAGGCTCATACCAGGTCAAAGTGACTGCATCCCTTGAGATATCAGAGGGCTGTACCCTAGTTGGAGCACCAGGGGGGTCTGAACAATAGAAAAGAAAAATAAGTAATTACACCTCATTTTTGATTAAGATCATGAAGATGAAAACGGTAGTGGGGCAAATACATACCAAAGGAATACTTGGCAACAATTGGAACGTGCTCTGCAGGTGCACCAATGCCATACTGGTTCTCAGCAGACACCCTAAAAACGTACTCTTTCATAGAAACCAGTTTGCAGGCTTTAAATGTGGTTTGTTTGACTGTTGTAGAAAGTTTCTGCCACTCCTCTTTTTCCAAGGGTCTCATTTCCACAATGTAGTTGGTCACAGGAGAACCACCGTCATCTCTGGGGGCATTCCAAGCCAAGCAGCAAGACTCATTTGTGATGTCAGTAATATCAAAAGCAGCTGGGGGACCAGGCTTGTCTGTTTTACAAAACAAAGATTCTCTACTGAGTTATCGTTTCAAAGGAAATGCTTTCATCCACAAAGCCATTTGTAGTGACCTTAAATATAAAAATGTAATTTATAGCAGTACTCTACCAAGAATGTTGACATCAACTGTTGCAGTGGCACGACCGCAAGTATTAACTGCCTCGATGATGTAGGTGGCTGTGTCAGACCTGGTCGTCTTAGAAACAGAAAGTGTAGAGTGTCCAGGCTTTGTTTCAATAGTGATTCTCTCATCTGGTTTAAGGACGAGGTCAGCCTTGGTCCATTTGACTCTGGGATCTGGCTTTCCAAACACATCTGCTGGAAGGTCAATCTTAGTGCCAGCCTTGGCAGTCAAGCCAGCCAGCAGTTTTACATCCAGCTGAATCACTGGTGCCTCTGTGGTAATAAGATAAGTACATTTTGTGAGATTATGAGAATTAAACCAAAAAATGTACTATAAATGTACAAAAATGTACTGTAAAGCCATGGGCTTGGAGAAGAATGTATGAAAAGCTTACCTTTAGGATCAACAGCAAGAATCTCATCTGTGGCTTTACATGGTCTGCTAGCTCCAAGTCTGTTCACTGCTCTTACGCGATAGGCATACCACTGTCCCTCAAGGAGGCCTGTCACCTGGAACCTGCAGTGAGAATTTGAGATACATATACTCATTGGAGATTTGAGATACTTATATACATTCATAAACACTCCTAAAATAAATGAAGTCTAGCATCACTGACTATAGTACATAAGATTGGCAAAAAGGGACTTTTTGCATGCACAAAGGGACTTTCACTCTTTGTCTTCACCTTGTTACATGTTCTCCACTTGCAATTTACAAAATGCTGTCTAGTCAATAGTGATGCCATCACACTTTAAATTCTCAACTTACTTCAGCTCAGGCATTGGCTCTCCACAGGCTTCCCATTTGTCAGTGCCACGCTGACACTTATCAACAATATATCCCTTAATAGGTGCCCCGCCATCATATCTGGGGGGTTCCCAGAGCAAGAAGATACCCTTTGCAGATTTGTCTCTCCATTTCAGGTTTTCTGGTGGGTCTGGCACAGCTGTAAACCAAAAAATAACTCACACTCTCATCCATCGTATTTGTTATTCGTTTAACTACAATTGCTTCTTATGGCACAATGACTTACTGGCTGGAGAAGACACGTTCACTGGCTCATCGATATATGCAGGTTCTCCTGGACCGCATTTGTTAGAGGCTGTTACACTAAACAAGTACTCCTTGCCCTCGATTACGTCTGTGACTGTGTACTCAAGGTCCTGCACGCCTGACATCACCTAAAAAAGACAATACGATTTTTCACTCAGTGGCTGTCCCTCAGCAAGCTATTTCTGCTGATTCATTGTAAATTGTAGATATCTGATTATAAGCACATAATGTTTATCAAAGCTCTCAAAACCGGTAATAATTTACTAACCTTGACCCAGGTCTTGCGAGACACCTCTCTCTTCTCAATATTATAACCAATTACGGGGCTGCCTCCATCATGCTCTGGTGCCTCCCACATGAGGTGAACATGATGTCTAGTCACCTCTGCGACCTTGAAGTCTTTGGGTGCACTTGGAGATGCTGTTTAATTAAAAGATGAGAGCTCACTCATTATGTAGGGTCTAAGGTGTCCAAAACAGTCATATACCATTTAACTAGTTTTAAAGATAGACAATGAAAAGATCACATACCAATAACATTCACTTCAATTTCTCCAGAGACCGAAGTCACGTCATTCTCCAGGTGCAGTGTATATGTGCCTTTGTCTGGACGAACACTTGGAACAATGACTAATTCAGTGTATGTAGGCTTTGTCACCATAGACACACGATCTCCTGCAGTGAGCTCCTTATCACCAAATGTCCACTTGGCTTTGGGAGTGGGATATCCAGTAATAGGTACACGGATAGTAAGAGCATTGGGGACAATGACTTCCAGACCATCTTTGAATCCACTCAGATCCATTGTGGGACCAACTAATTAGGACAACAAATATGATTTCAATAATCAAGTACCAAAAGCTTTGAAAAATTATTGATTTTTATTTTTCAATCTTAAGGTAAGCATTTTAGAATTAATTACCATGTGGATCATCAGCCAAGAGTGGTCCAATCTGTTCAGATGGATCGGAAACTCCAGCTGCATTTTCTGCAGATACTCTGTAGTGATACTTCTGACCGAACTTCAAGCCAGACACCTAAAAGAGAGAAAAACACGTCAGTTAACAATCTATTCAACATGAGTTAAGAACATCAAAATGGATGCAGCATCTCAGGTTGTCAGGTAATGTTTGCAAGTTCAAATGTTAAGTCTCTAAATCATTCAGTTAAATGTAGTGAAGTGCTTTCACATCTGAAGCAACTTAAGGTGGGAATCGCCTTCCTTCAGGAAACTCACTTGCGTACAATTGATCATTTTAGATTGAGAGGAGGCTGGATAGGCCAATCACTTCACTCCAACTTTTACTCTAAATCTAGAGGAACTGCAATTCTTATTAACAAGAACATTCCTTTTGTTATGTCACAGGTTGATGCAGACTCTGCAGGTTGGTATGTCATAGTTACAGGTAGATTACACAATATGCCAGTCATTCTAGCCAATGTGTATGTGCCAAATTGGGATGACTGTATGTTTTTTACTAACCTCTCCCGTCTACCAAACATAGACTCATACCATCTTATCTGGGGAGGAGATATAAACTGTGTACTATCACCATCTCTAGATCGTAGTTCATCTAACACCATGACTCAAACTAAATCAGCTCATACAATTAAATTATTTCTTGACTCACATGGAATATCAGATGTTTGGCGATTTCAGAACCCTTTATCTAGAAGCTACTCTTTTTTTCACAGGTTCACAGGATGTACTCACGTATAGACTATTTTTTCTTAGACCAGAAACTTCTTCCTTTAGTAAGTGACTGTGAATAACACGCAATAGTAATTTCTGATCATGCCCCATTACTCATGACCTTATGTTTACCAACTAAACGTGATAACTACCGCCCCTGGCGTCTGAATACACTACTGCTCTCGGATGAGACCTTTGTTAACTTTGTATCAAATGAAATAGCCACCTTTCTACGATATAATAAGATGTCTGGAATGTCCGCCTCACTCATATGGGAATCAATGAAGGCATATTTGAGAGGGCAAATTATATCGTATAGTGCTCAGATGAGGAAAGCTCAGATGCAGCATCTTTGGAATCTAACAAATGACATCTTAAAAGTAGATAAAGAGTTAGCTGGTTCACTATCGCCTTAACTATACAAACAGAGATTAACACTTCAAACAGAAGTATAAACATATCGAAACTCTCATGAATAAGACACAGCACAGGACCTATGAGCATGGTGATAAGACTGGTAAGATTTTGGCATATCAGTTACGGCACAAGACTGCTGATCGATGTATATCTCAAATAAATGATGATTTAGGTGTTAAACATACGGATTATTTACAGATTTATCAATATTTACATAAATTCTACTCTAAACTATATAATTCAGAATCATGTAAGAACGAATCTTTGTTTGAGGATTTTTTCAATAAGTTAAATATCTCACTAATAGATGTGATGGCTGCAGCGGAACTTGATAACCCATTTACTACTGAAGAGTTTATCTTCGCAGTGAAATCTATGCAAAACGGAAAGGCCCCAGGACCTGATGGGTTTCCGAGTGAATTTTTTAAGAAATTCACTAAGGATCTAGCCCCTGTCTTGATTTCTGTGTTCAAAGAAAGACTTGTTTGTTGAGAATCCTATATATCTTTTGAACAACTTAGAACACATTTTAATATTCCTCAATCACATTTTTAGATACCTACAGCTTCGTAGTTTTATATCATCAAGCTATTCGCAATTTCCATCATTATTACCTCACTCCTTTTTAGATACTATATTGAAAACCAGCCCACAGTCTAAGAAAGGCATTGGTGTGCTGTACTCTCTGCTTAATTCATATAATTTGAAGCCTCTAACTTTATTGAAACAACAGTGGGAGGAGGAACTTGACACACAGATATCAAGAGAGATGTGGCAAGACATTTTGGATGGAATACACTCCTCTTCAATTTGTTTAAGACACACTATCATTCAGTTTAAAATAGTCCATCATCTACATTGGTCCAAGGATAGGCTGGCTAAATTTACTCCGAATGTTGATCCTATGTGTGACAGGCATAAAAAAGAACCAGCCACGCTTTCTCATGTGTTTTGGTCCTGTCCAAAATTAATTATATTTTGGCAGTCAACATTTGCTTTTCTCTCAAGTGTCTTTAAGAGATCACTGATGTCATCTCCTATTACAGCAATATTCGGAGTGACTTTACAGGAGTCTCACATAGATAACTCTACCAAAAGGGCAATTGCTTTTGCCACTTTTTTAGCCAGGTGGCTTATTCTACTGAAATGGAAGGATGAATTCCCACCCTTTAAATACTGGATTAGGGATTAAATGCACTATGTAAATCTAGAAAAAATTCATTACTCTGTGACTGGTTGTGATCACAAGTTCTATAAGACCTGGCAACCTGTCTTGACATATCTAGAAAACGTGGACTCTATCAATATTTCACATTTTTGAAATTTCCCTTTGAAAAAAATTATTTGTTTTTGTTTATTTCCTTTTTAATCAGTGTCACTTTTTTCACTGTATTATATAATTCCTTGTTTTTATATGTGTGTATGTGTATGTATGTTTATATGTGAATATATATGAGTGTATACTGGTTGAATGACCCTTTATGGTGCAGTGGTGCAGCGTTGTTGGGAGGGTTTTTGTTTGTTCTCTCATTTATATATATATATTATTGTCTAAAAAACAATAAAAAGACCTTGGTTCAAAAAAAAAAAAATTGATGCAGCATTCAACATACCCTGTAATAAAGGTCTGGGCATAGTCTGGCATTGCACCTCAGCCAGTTATATATTCCATCTTCACATTTCTCAATAATGTAGCCTGTGATCATGCTTCCTCCATTGCTGAGTGGAGTCTCCCATGTCAGCTGAACAGAGTCTCTGTTTGCATTTGTGAAGCTGAAGTTCAATGGTGGGCTTGGCCTCTCTGAAACCAGAGTAAGCATGGTTTTAAGTCATTTTCAAGACAGTTTTAAAGCAGCTATAGTAAAAAGCAGCCTATACATAAACACTGTTATCATAGAAAATAAAATCACAGCAACTAACCAATGGGATCCATGATCTTCACAGGATCAGTGGCAGCGCTTGGTCGGCCAACTCCAGCTTTGTTCTCAGCTCGAACACGGAAGATGTACTCCTTATTCTCAATAACATCATTGAGTGTTGCTGTGCGATCTTCTGCCCGGACCACCAACGCAGCCTCCCACTTCACAGATGTCCTGTCACGGAGCTCAATTACATAGGACGTAATCTCAGATCCACCATCAAATAGAGGTGGTTCCCAGGTTACAGTGGCACCAAACCTGTTGACAATTCCAACCATGACATTCTGAGGTGCGTCAGGAACATCTGTAATGAAGAGAAAAATATTACATTAAATTTTGCTTCCCTGCAGAATTTTCAACTATATATATATATATATATATATATATATATATATATATTTATATATATATATATATATATATATAAACTATACTATATACAAGTGAAAGTAATGTTTACCAAATTTATTCTTGGCCTGGACAGCTTCATCAGTTGAGACAGGCTCTCCATTGCCGACTCTGTTACGAGCACACACACGGAAGAAGTACATGTTGTCCTTCTGCAATCCACCAACACAGTACTCTGGAATATCAGCACGGTCAGTAGCCAATGTCCAGGATTTGCGCTTGACATCGCGTCTTTCTACTACGTAGGCCAAGATCTTGCTGCCGCCATCACTCTCAGGTTCATCCCAGGCCAGGCTGACCTCACCGTCAGCAGTGTCAACAACTCTAAGGTTTTTCACAGGCCCAGGAACATCTAGAAATCATAGTCACATCAGAATATATTATTCTGAATATAAATATATAAATATAAATATATTAGAATATAACACAAAGATTATAGGATCCTCTGTGTTTAATGTGCAGTATATAAAATCAGTCTCATTGACACAAAATACAAGAATGTATCTAATGTACATTACATACCAAGTCATTCACATTACATTTTCAGCATTATTAGCTATCCATGAAGTTCTCCTTTCCATCTTTTTTGCTGACTGCTAACTTACCAATAACATCCAGATTGATGAAAGCCTCTCCCTGACCATGCTTATTCTTGATGACGATTTTGTAACGGCCTTGGTCAGACTTTTTAGGGTCTTTCAGTCTGTACTCTGTCCTGTCAGTGGATGTGTCAATGTTTTGCACTGGAAGACTGATGTCATTGAAGAACCATTCAGCCTCTGCACGAGGGTAAGCGTCGTAAGGAACGGTCATCACAAATGGCTTTCCAGCATCTGTTACTAGGTTCTGGTCTGTGGTCTTGATTTTCGGCACAGCTGAAAAAAAAGGGAAATCAAGGGAAATCTGTAATGTCATGTACATTTGTAACTGTACATCTTTACTTAAGGGAAAAATAGGAACCTATAAACCTAAATTTTTGTTAAATGTAGATGGCGAAATATGTACCTGCAAGTTCAAGCTTGGCTCGTGCATCCTTATCCTTGGCAACGACTCTATACTCGCCCTGATCACGAGGCCTGACCTCACAAACTTGGAGACGGTGAATCTTGCCCTCACTGAGCATCTGGTATTTGTCACCCTGAATAATGATCATGTTATTCCTCATCCATTTAACCTCAACTCTGTCTTTGTTCAGTTCAACCTCAAACACAATATCTGAGCCTGGGGGCTCGAATACATCTGTGGGGGGTCTGACAATCTCCACAGGGGTCTCTGAAAAAAAAGAGAAAACTAACTGAGTATGCCAACTTATTGTAGAATTGCTCTATAGAACTGTCAGGACAAAAATTATATGCAGTGAATGTTTATGGCAAAATGACCTTCAACAAAAAGACGAGCCCTGGATCTTCTGTCATCCACACCACAGGCATATTCACACTCATCATCAGGTCGGCACTCCTTAATATACAGTGTGCATGTCTTTCCATCCTTTTCCATGTGATATCTGGCAGAAGGAATTAAGAAAAACATTAATATTAAACATGTAGTTTCACAATTCAAGATATTGTTTACAGCTGTTCATGACAATCATCTGCCATGCTTCAAGGGATGGAAAAGAGATAAAAAAAATATAAGAGAACTCAGATGGAATGTAACACCTAGCATAGCAAGCTTGTCAAAACAACAGTAAAACATTTATTTATAAAAATCAGGATACCTGGGTCCTTCTCTGATTTCACGGCCATTTTTGTACCATTTAACAGTGGCCCTCTCCTTAGACACCTTGCATGTGAACTGTGCATCCTCAAATTCAGTAACAGTCTGGTCTCTGAGTTGGGCAGTGAAGTCAGTGGGTGCCTCACTGATTATTAGCTCAGCTGAAGACTTGCTAACTCCAGCAACAGCAGTGTATTCACCCTCATCATCCATGGTGCAGTCTTTGATGATCAAAGTGTGTTTGTTCTTGTCCACACGGTACACAACACGTTTGCTGAAGGTGATCTCCTGACCTGCCTTCAACCACTGAACTGTCACATTTGGTCTGTTTACTTTGCAAGTGAAGCTAATTGTCTTCTTCTCCTCTGTTTCACAGTCTTCCAGAGGCTCTATGATCCTTAGCTCCTCCTCTGTAGAGAAGCCAAATAGAAAATTGAGCAAACACTCAGATGCGCTTAAAAAGATGACAATCTACACAAATAGGGGCTTACCTAGTACACTGACGCTTGCGGAGCATTTGGCCTGTTCACCACGCTGGTTGGTTAGCATGATGGTGTAAGTGCCCTCATCTGATTTCTCAGCAGCTTTGATCCTCAGAGAGAAAACAGTGTCTCTCTGGACCATGATAAACTTACTAGTCTCAAACATTGTTTCATCGTTCTTCAGCCACTTGGCCCTAGCCCCCTCTGAATTAACCTCACAGTTCAGAACAATTTCTTGTCCTTCCTTCATTTGTGTGTCCTTGATGGGAGTGATTATCCTCAATTTTTCTAGAATGAAGGAAGAAAGATGTTAGTTTCTAGTTTCACATTTAGTAAACTTTGGAAAGGCAGTGAAATATTTAGCAATACCCACCAATCACAGTTAAGTCTGCAGAGGCCTTAACAGAGCCGATACAGGCAGTGAAGGCACCTTCGTCCTTCAGCTCACAGTTCTTGACAATGAGGGCTCTCCTCTTGCCTTCACTAACAATCTCATACTTGTCCCCAGTTTGAAGCTCCTCACTTCCACGGAACCATTTAACTTCATAAGAGTCTTTGGACACTGAGCATACAAATTCAGCCTTGTCACCCTCAACCGCCTCCTGGCTCTGGGGCCTGGCAATAAACTCAGCTGCCAATTCTAATGAAACATAAAGAAACCATTTGCATGACTAAATAAAAGCGTGAGATTAAACAGAATTATTTCAAGTGTCACAAGCAATTGCAGAGCAGAGAGATCAAGTGTAAATCTAAGTAGTTTACCATTGATCTTTAGTGTTGCTGATGTCTTTGAACTGGCCAATCTGCAGTTGTATTCTCCAGCATCATCCATATGAAGATCCTGGATGATGAGGATTCTTTTCCTGCCATCTGCAACTTGTTCATATCTTCCACCCTCAGCCAGTTCCTTGTCTCCCTTATACCATGTGACGTCTGCACTGGGTTTGGACACCTCACAGATCAACTTAATGCTGTCAGTTTCAGTGCCCTCAAGATTGGATAGGTTCTTCGTGAATCTAGCCTCCTCCTCTGCAAGTGAAACGATTAACGGTCAGTTCTGACAGTTGAGTATCATTTTGGTGTATATATTCAATTAATCAAAACTCACCAACAACAGTAAGCATTCCAGAGGATTTGGAGGTCCTTGCGTCACATTCATATTCAGCTTCATCATCAAACACTGCTTTGCTGATGATGAGAATACGCTGTACTCCCTTGGCAATAATCTCATATTTTTTCCCCTTTCTAATCTCGATGCCATCCTTGTACCATCTGACCTATTGAAACAAATGAACATCGGTCTTTTCACTTTCATGTTCGTAAATGGCAGAATTTTGGCTTGAATTTTACTTAATTTAAATGTATGTATATTACCTATTATAATAAATGTAATACATATAAAAACATTTTAAATACAAAATTATTAACTGAATTCATGAATGAAGTACCTTGGCACTTTCACGGGAAACTTCACATTCAAACTTAGCGGACTCTTTCTCCCTGACCTCAACATCATGAAGAGGCTTGGTGAACTCAACATGTGGAGCTGATTGGAAAAAAAACAGAATAATAATGAAAAAAAAAACTCAGGAAATGAAGATTCTGTTATCCAGATAAAGGGACACTATGAACATTGTTTAGACATCAATTGCTTAAGCATCTTATTTAAACATTATATTTATTTCCTTTTTACTTACGCTCAACATTCAGGAAAGCAGAGGTCTTGAAGTGTTTGGCATCACAAGTGTATGTTTTGGAATCATCAAGAGTACAGTCTTTGATGATCAGTTTCCTCTTGCAGCCCTCAGCCACCATTTCATACTTCTTTGTTTTACGGATTTCCTGTCCATCTCTGAACCACTTGACATCAGCTTTTTCTCTGGAAAGTTCACACTCCAGAACAGCTGTGGCTTCCTCCTCAACAGTCTGGTCCTCCAAGGGCTTGCTAAATTCAACTGGTGGCTCTGAGTAAATTAAATTATAGTAATATAAAGTTTCACACTTTTCAGCAACAGCAGAATGTTTAGTCATTTATAAATTACTATTATTATTTGCAAGGCACTTACCATTAACAGTAAGTTTAGCCTGAGTCTGGAAGTCCTTTGCAGTAAGTTTCACATTCCCGGCCTCTGTCATCTTGACGTCTCTCAGAGTCAAGCTGTGCAGTCTGCCATCTGCTCTGGTCACCACCTATACAATATCAGAAACAAAGACTTAATACCACATCTTTTAAACTACATTAGGAACCAGTCAGGGCTATTTCTCATGACAATATATACTAATTATACAGTAAGTATCTAAGAACATGGTGTTACTATATAACTAACACATTATAAAGGTAAACTTCCAACAGCAGTCCAACAGAAGAACATTAAGGCTGACACTTCAACAGACACTCTTGATGTAGGTAAAAATAGCCAGAGGAACACTTGCATGGCTGTACAGCTTACTGTGTTATCTCAAAAACGTCTGTGGTAGGTCCTTAAAAGTTCTGCTGCTGGTCCTTATGAGAAGAAAATACTTTTGTGGCAATTCATTGGGAAATTAACAGAACCTGACTTGTAATCCGATCATAGAGAAAAACATTTAGACAATGTTTATATGTACAAGCATCCAGTACGGTTTAAAATCTTAGGCAGTCATGACAATTGTTCAAATTATTTATTTCAGCAGTAAGTCTGTTTTGGCCTGCAAAACACTATACAACATTAGATACCAATAAATATAAATACAGTTAGAAGAACACAGTTAAAGAACACAGGCTTGATTCCTTATATCTCCTTCCGCCAAACTAGCTATAAGATGGTAACTGTGAATACTGGGCTTCATTGGGGAGCGGTTTGGAAATGATAAAGTTAACACACTGACAGACAGAAATTAAAATGTACTGCAAACAAATATATTTGTTTATTTGTATTTATTCTAATGTTAAATTTGCTGCTCAGATAAATAACTTGTACTGTATTTTTCTGTAAGATTTTAGAAGATGAGTGCAATATTCATAATATATTACTAAATAAAACTGAATCAGCTATCATGAAACATTTCCTACCCCCACCACATGAACAGTAGTAAAAAATAAATAAATAAAATAAAACCTTACTCTGTCACTTGGCTCCATCTTTGTAGTTCCAACGAACCATTCAACAACGATACCCTCGTATGAAAGCTCGCAGTCAAAGGTTGCAGTGTCTCCAGCAGTGACAGTAACATCCCGAAGAGGTCTTAACAGGCCAACTGTGCGTGCTTCAGAATAAGAAGACGCCATTATTAGTAATTCCAAGAAACAACTCCTTTATCTTAAAAACTTGACTCTCCATTCAAATCCTCCATTTTGCTCAAACTCTCATAAGAGCAAGCTATGATTCAATGGTCTGTAGGCTTCCAGGACATCTTATCACTTAGGGAGGGGTGGGAGGTGTCTGGCATTAGCATATTGAAATCTCAGTAGGACAGGAGGCATGCTAAGCGTCTGCCAGTCACCCATCACCCACTCCAGATAAGGTTGAAGCTTTAAAATAACAACAGTTTCTGATTGGCTACTAGGTAATCACTGCCAAGATATCTGGTGCTGTAAATCACTATTCAAGAATTGTCAGTTAAAGTCACATTTTATAGTAACTGCTGAACGCGTAGTATAGTTTAAGGTGATTTTGTAAAACTCTATTATCCATACATGTACAAAAATATATATTCATGAATGATGAAAACAATATATGAGATCAGAATTCTCACCTTTAACTCTGAGTTGAGCGCTAGATTTAGCATTGGCGGCACTGAAGTCCACAGCACCAGCCATGTCCATGCGCACATTGTAGAGGATCAGTATGTGTTTGGTGCCCTCTTCCTTAATCTCACAGTCCTGTTGAGAAGAAAATTAGCTGCTTTGTCCAAAAAGTAGAACAATTACATAAAAAGTGCAATTTAAAAAACAATATGAGGATTTTTATGCTGTGATAAAACGCTTACAGCAGACTGGTGCAGAGGTTCTCCCTTCAGTTTCCAGTTACCATGCACATCCTCCTCAGAAATCTCTGTCTCAAAGCGAGCAGTCTCAGTCTCTGTGACCTCCACGCTGTACAGTGGACGAACAATCTTAATGTCACGCTCTGTGAAGATAAAGAGGTAGACGATACTTTGAGAAATTGTTTGGGGTAATGAAAATTAATGAATACATTTATATTTTTTAATAACAGAGTACATTCAACAGTTAGTACCTTCGATGTTCAGCTTAGCAGCAGTTTTGTCAGAGCCACAGTCACAGACGTATTCACCAATGTTGGCCTTCTCCGCCTTCTTCACAGTAAGAATGCGCTTCTTTCCATCTGCCTTGATGAGGACATTCTTGGACGGGGTAATTTCCTTGCCATCTTTGAACCATTTGACCTGAGCAGAGGGTTTGCTCAGCTCACACATCAGCACTACTTCATCCTTCTCAACAGCTGTGTAGTCCTGCAGCTTGGTGGTGAAGTAAGCTTCTCCCTCTGAAAAGACGAAGAAGAACGATTTTAGAATTTCTGAAAAATTAAATATTTTCTTTGCAATTACACATTAAAGTTGTCTGAACATATTTACCGAGCACAGTGAACATGGCCTCACAGGTCTTCCCAAGAGCCTCTACTTTAATGAGTGAAGTGTCATCAATGGAGACCTCCTTGAAGGACAGAGTGTGGATCTTGCCCTGTTCTGAAATGTGCACCACTTTGCTTGGATGCAGGCGCACATCATTTTTGTACCAGGTTACTTGGATTTTCTCATGAGAAAGCTCAATGCTGAACTCTGCTGTCTCACGTTCCTTCACAGTTACATCCTTGATGGGTCTGACAAACTCAAGACGAATACCTAAAGAAGTAGTAAATTATGGCTGAGATAAAGTCACTCATTCTAAGAAACGAATAACTAAATGAACATCTTGGCCAACATAAAGCGATTTATTGTATTCCTTTACCTTGGATGACGAGTTTGCCAGCGGTTCTCTTGTCCTCAGCCTCAAACATGTACTTCGCCTCATCGTCATAGGCTGCAGATTTGACAACCAAAGTGTGTCGTTTTCCCTCTGAGAGGATTTCAAATTTATCATCGGCCTTTAACTCTTGAGATCCCTTCAGCCAGCGGAAGGTCTTGGCTTCCCTTGACAGTTCACATTCAAATCTTGCCTCATCTTTCTCGTACACTTGCAAATCACTCAAAGGTGTAAGGAAAGTAATTGGCAGTTCTGTAACACAAAAACATTTTGAAATTCATATGTGTCACAAAGCAGGTGATACTGTAATAAAATGAGTAAAGAAACTTAGGGGGAACAAAGAAGATTACCTTTTACTTTCAAGTTTGCAGCACATTTAGCATTTGCTCCCTGGAAAACCACCTCTCCAGTCTGAGCAACTCTGCAGTTGTACAGTGTCAAAATGTGTTTTGCACCATCCTCAATGATCTCAACATCCTGATTCAGAAAAAAATGTCATGTGAAGAAACAGAAATATAAAATTTACATTTACATAAAAATACTTCTTAAAGTGGCTGACATAGCAGAAACAGCCTAGACATGTGCTTTGCATGCTTACAGGTGAAGGAGTGAGGACTTCGCCCTTCAGTTTCCACTGGCCATGGACATCATCTTCTGAGATTTCCACTTCAAAACGAGCAGTCTCACCATCAAACAGTTCAACACCATACATCGGTCTGACCACCTTGATGTCGCGAGCTGAAATTGATAAGAAGTCATGCTTAGCGGCAGAGAAATAAACATATTGAAAGTAACCTGTTGCAAAAAAAAATCTGAATGATCACCTTCAATGTTAACGTTGGCTGATGTCTTGTCTGTTCCACAGTCGCACACATACACTCCCTTATCTTTCTGCTCCACTTTCTTAAGGTGGAGGATTCTTCGTTTACCCTCTGATCTCATGGAAATCATCTTGGAGGCTTTAATTTCAATCTCATTATGGAACCACTTCACAGGGACATCCTTGCTCAGCTCGCAGTCAAGACTGACCTCATCTTTTTCAACTGCAGTGTAGTCTTGCAACTTGACAGTGAAGCGTGCATCACCCTCTGGAAAGATAATTTATGTTAGCAAAAATGTACACACTGAAATCTGCCTATTTATGAAGTGTTTCTTAGTGGTACTGCCCAAGAGAGAATTAGTAACAATTTATAGTTCAACAAGTTCAGTACAAGTGTGCTTTTACATTCATAGTAGTGGCCACCACATAAGCCGATCCCACAGGGCTTACCAGTGGCTACTAGCTTTCGTTCATTATTAGTGTTTTAGCATTTTTGTTCAAACTCCAAGTTACATCATAAAATATAATCAAGAAAGGAATATGAAGGAAAAAATTACCTATGACCAGCAGCTTAGCCTTGGTTGTGATTCCTTTTGCCTCTGCCTTTATTTCGCAAGTATCATCTAGTGTGACTTCCTTCATTTCTAATACATGTCTTACTCCTTCAAAATGGGTTATCACTGTTCTGCTTGGATGCAGTTTGATTTCATTTTTGTACCATACCACCGACACATTTTCATGAGAGAGCTCAAGCTCAAACCGGGCAATTTTACCTTCCTTCACAATTAGGTCCTTTAATTCTGAGATGAACTTCAGCCTCATACCTATAATGTTAGTTCATTTTATAATAGATTCATTTACAGAGTGTAATTCAAAGATTTCACCACCATTCTAAAAGACCACAGGCTACTCACTTTAGAAAATGATGAAAATACATTTATCAACCAGCACGTCTGTAATCATTACCACAATGAATAATGATAATAACAACTTACCCTCTACTATTAGTTTAGCTGTTGATGTTTTGCCCAAGACCTCAATAGTGTATTCTCCCTCATCGTCAAATTCACAGTTATTTATTATCAAAATGTGTTTCTTTCCATCATCAATGATTTCATATTTATTTCCAGAAGTTATAATGTCAGAACCTTTAAACCACATCACTTTAGGCACATCCTTAGTGATGGAACACTCAAATTTTGCCTGTTTCTTTTCAGGAACCGAAACATCCTTTAGTGGGTCTGTGAAGTTCATTTCTATCTCTAGGAGGTATGACATGACATTGTATCATACTTTAATCATTTGTAATTAAATATGTATTTGCCATCACCCTTTCTTCACAAAAAAAAACCTTCAGCATTTGCTTACCTTTGACTGTGAGCATAGCGCTCGTCACAGCATTCAGAGCTTGGTATGTAACTTCACCAGCTTGATCAAGCTGGACATTTTTCAAAGTAAGGTATCGCTTTGTGCCCTCAGCTCTGATGTCACATGTCTTAAAAGAAAACAAAGAAATCAGATCTACTATTTCAAGGCATTAGCGTGGACTTCTTAAATACTTTTTTCTTATTTTAATACTTTTTTGTAAGTATTATATATATATATATATATATATATATATATATATATATATATATATATATATCACTGCTGTTGGAAGAAAATCCAAAGAAAAGAAAACAGCCCAAAATGACGTGTAAAAACGCCTGGTTCCATTTACTTACATTAAAGGTAAAGTAGGCTTTTTCCTTCTCCTGTAAAGGTATCATTTTGGAGATACAAGGTTTTCTTCTGACAACAGCATATATATATATATATATATATATATATATATATATATATATATATATATATATGAAATTTTAAGCCACACTTACTGGTGATCTTGTTAGAACCTGCCCTTTAAGCTTCCATTCACCAGGAACATCATCCTCAGAGATTTCAGTGTCAAAGTTAGCCTCCTCCTTCTCCTTCACCTCCACACTAGCAAGTGGTTTCAGGACCTCAGCTTCACGCTCTATATGGGTATCAAACATAAGACGTGAGTCATTTTCTTTCCTCTATGGCTTAAAAGAACAACAACAGAACGTCAAAACACCATGCCGCATACCTCCAAGTGTTAGTTTTGCAGCATAACGCTTGCCCTCAACTTCCACAGCATACTCTCCAACATCACTTGGCTGTGCATTTTTAATGGTCAGACTGAGCTCCTTTCCTTCCTTCTTGACTTCTGTCTTATCTGTTGGTTCTGTAGGAATTTCTTCATTTCCTTTTAACCACTTCCAGTTGGGAGTGTCCTTGATGAGCTCACACTTGAAGCCAGCAGTGGCCTTTGGTTTCACATGCTGGTCCCTTAGAGGTTTCACCAACCAGTCTCTTATGACTTCTGTGAAATATACAGGTACAAATCAGTCTATCAAGTCTATGTAGGCATTTTAAAAACATTTAACATCTTTGATGAGTTGCAAAAGGATATATCTTACCAATAACTTTCACAGTCGTTTGGGTTTTGAGATGTTCACACTCGCATGTATAAACACCAGCATCATCATCTTTTATATCCTGGATAGTCACAGCATGCTGCAGACCAATAATATTGATCTGAACCTTGCCAGGGAGTGGCTCCAGCTCCTTGTCATCTTTCTTCCACACCACATCTCGTTCTTTGCTCAACTCGCAGGTCAAGTACATGGGCTGTCCTTTGAGGACAGTTACCTCCTCCTCCAGAGTCTTAGTGAATTTAACAGGCAGCTCTGTTTCAGGTAAAAGAATATATTTTTTTAGGATTCATACACTGATAGAGATTATCCATTTAAAAATGTGTCAGAAGTCAAAGTGCCCACCTTCTACAATAAGTTTGGCAGTAGAAGTCGTCTCTCTATTCCCAACCTTGGCAATACACGTGTACTCCCCTGTGTCGGACAGCTGGACATCAATGATGGCCAGTTTGCGGTCTTTGCCATCAGAGGTAAACTTGTGTTTTGGACTCTCCCTCAGGTTGCTTCCATCTTTCATCCATGAGGTAACAGCAGTAGAAGGAGTAATCTGGCACTCAAATACAGCAGAAGAACCTATTGACTCAGCTTCCTGCAACACAATATTTTGAAGCCCCTTCACAAACTTCAGAGGCACAGCCTTGAGCTGGAAAGCAAATGGTGACTCTGCTGGAGGTTTGTCACCACCACCTCCAGGTCTGAGTCCTCTTCCACGTCCAGCATCACCAGGAGAAGGAGTTTGTCTTGCTGAAAGGTGTGTGGGGAAGGGATGGGTGTTATTTTGCTAGTTAAAACTAGAAAATGTTGTATTATATGTGATAAGAAAACACTGCTTAAAATAGATTTCCATGTAATCTTAATGCATTCCGATGGAATTATGTTAGCATTCTCACGTTTAAGTCCTCTGCCTCTGCCTCCAGCTGGCTCTTCCTTTGGTTTTCCATCTGTTTAAAATATTGTAATAAACTTGTAAACAATGGTTCAAAATCACAGCTGTCAATTAAACCATGTTTATACAGTATTTGTACACTCTGAAATAGAAAGATGCAAACTGATTACTGAAATGATTGATGCAGATGAAGTACATTTATATAAAGAGGCGAAGATTAAGACAATCCACTAAAGATATATGAATGACAGAAACAAAGAAAACATATCATGACTGATGATTTGTGAAAGACAACAGAAATCAAGACAATGCAACACAGAAGGACAAAAGGGTGTACAGTTTATGGAATGACAGACAGACTATTGACAACAGAGAAACATGTAATACATAAAAGATGGAGACAAATTTGTTAAAAAGAACTTGAATGGATGCGTATTATTTGTGATGATTTTTTGGGGGGGTGAGGGTTGGCACAAAATACCAGTGGTGAGATCTTGGCTTCCCTCTCACCTCTCTTGTCACCCACACCTCCTGGAGTTTCGACAGCCCCGTCCTCCAACTCCTCTGACCCGTAACTTTCATAAGGAGCAAGCTCCCATCCCCATGCTTCTTCGTCTTCCTCTTTCTCAAGTTCTTCCTCAAATACTTCCTCTTCTTGCTGAGTTGGAATCCTTCCCAGCTCCACAGCTCCCGGAGATAACTCCTTCATTAATGGTAGCTCAGTTTTGTCAGGTTTTAAAGAATGCTCCTGATCTATCTTATCCTTCTGGGGAGAGATTTTCTTTGGGATCTTTTTCAGAGTAACAGACTCGACTGAATCTTTAGGTGACAACTTTTTAGGTTCTTTTGCACTGGGCTTCCTCTCCATTCGAATGGATTCAGTCTTTGGTGAGGGTGACTTTTTCAGCTCTGCTCCTTTTTTGGCAAGTTCAACAGGTTTTAGTTTTATCTCCTGTTTTTCCTCCTTTACCTCAGGCTTTTTGGAAATGTCTGGCTTATCTTCTACCTTGGGGCTCTCTTCTGGTTTCTTCTGGCATACTGGGCTGGTCGTAGGGGCACAAGGCTTCTCTTCTGTAGGTTTCTCATCCTTGGGCGAGGGAGTCTTTTTGGGCTCTGCAGCTTTTTTCACTAGTTCTACAGGTTTCAGTACTACATCTTCTTTATCTTCAAATTGTTTTGGACGATGTCCACCTTCTTTAATTAATAATGGTTCCGTTTCTTCTTTTGGACTTTTCTCTGCTTTCTGGACTGTACTGGGTTTTTGCTCTTTGTGTGGCAAGTCAGGCATCTTGATCTTGTCATGCTCTTTGTCTGCGGTTTTGTCTTTCTCCGATTCCTTCCTCTGAGGCATATCAGCTTTAACTTCCTTTGAAAATGGCTTTAGTTGTACTTTTTCCACTTCTTCGTCCAGGGTTGGAACTCTCTTTGCTTTTGTGACTGGCTTAGTGGGCTCTTCTGAGGTTTTGTCTTGCACTGCCAGAACTGCAGGTTTTGGCACCGTGGCTTCTTCAACTTTTTCAATCAAGGGGATAATTTCTTTTATCTGCGTAGCTGCAACATGTTCATCCTGCTGAAGTCTTTCACGTGTCTGAAAAGCAATGCTACCCCTCATTCCACCATCTTTCTCTTCTGTTTTTGGAACAGCAACCTCTGATTTATCAGGTTTTACAACAGGCTTCAGCTTCACAGTGTCTTGCTCCTTCTCTGATAATGGTTTTTTAGATCCTTTTTTGAAAGTTAGGCCTGGTGTCTTAGGTTCCTCTTCCTTTGGCATCTTGCTCTTCTTGAAATTCCCCTTTCTGTCCACCCCTTGAACTTTAGTATCAGGTGCTGCATCTTTCTGTTTCTTTACCTTCATATATTCTTCAGTTTTAATTTCCTGCTCATTCAGCGTTTTCTCTGTCTTATATGCATCCTCTGTTGCCTCATAACTGCTAAAAGTAACCTCAGCAACAGTCTTTGAATATATTTTCTCTTCAAAAGTTTCATCTTTTTCAGGTTTCCAAAGAGTTAGCCCTGGCTCTGTTGATTGTGCTACAGGCCGAATCTTGGTGACTTCTGTCAATGACACAACCTCATGCTCTTCTTTTTCATCTTTAGGTCTTCTGGTTCTGGTCTTTAAGACTGGCATTACCAGTTTCTCTTGCTCCTCATTGTGAATCTTAGCCTTCTGTTTAAGATAAGCTTTTGTGGCGCTAGGTGTTTCTAAAGCGAAAATGCCACATTGTCACATGACAGACAGCACAAAAAGCATTCACAAGACAGCCAAACACACTACATACATCACAGTGCGTCGATTTCATTTCCAGTGGTCATTAAGTTAATTTGACGGATTCATATCAATAAAATCTAATTCCAAGTTATATATCAATGCTAAGAACACATTCACTGGATTTGGTTAATTGATTAAATGGGTGGTAGTGAAAGATAGATTTGGCAACCATGATAAAGGAAACAATTACTAGTTTCATCCAGTGAACAATAACAATTTCTTTGGAATTCAGTGGTAAAATATCATAGACTCACAAAGCAGACAATTGGCAGACACACAATAATGGAAACTTTACCAAAAAATAAAATTATTTATAATTGATTTGTAGTATTCACATTATGAAATAGCAATCTTACCTTTCTGGACAGGTCCAGGAGCTGCAACAGGGCCTTTGTCTGCAGAGATTAAAATACATTAAACAGAGAAAAAGACACAAGCACATGTGATCTGGTAAATGGGAAACCAAATATAATGCGATGTATTAAAATTTTCAGGAGTGTTTATGTTATTTTCAATGGGATGATGACTTTTTTTCTGTAAAGCTGCTTTGTGACAACACCTGCTGTAAAAAGCGCTATATAAATAAACTTTGCTTGTTTGCTTGCTTAAATAAAAAGATTCCTAAAATGAATCCAGGATAGAAAAGTAGACATTCAAACAAACACATTTGCCCAAGTAGGATATAAGATATAAAATGCAATGTATGAGTAAAATCCACAAAGAGACAAGATGAATAGATAAACAAAAAGTAATAAATAAAACAAAAGGTGAAGATGTGCAACACATAAAGACACAGAACAAAAACAAACAAGAACAGTGGGCACTGAAAGGAAAAGACAATAAAGTTACAGAGACGCTACCTTGAGGGGGAGAGGCTTTTTGTTCAAGTGGTATTGCTGCTGGCTTTGGTGCCTCAGGTGTTGGCTTCTTCTCCACAGTTGGCTCTTTAAATAAAAGTATGCCATTGTCACAAACAAAAAAATTGTAATGTGCATGGAAAGACATACTGTGTACCAAACAGACACAACATATATAAAGGGGACCACAAAAACACAAAAAAAGAGACTGAGGAAGCAAATAATCTCACACTGTACCAAAAACAAAGACAACAGTAATGACAGAAATGCACAGAAGACATGGCAACGGAGATCATACCTTGAGGAGGAGACACCTTTGGTTCAACTGGTGCCACTGTTGGCTTTGGTGCTTCAGGTGTTGGCTTCTTCTCCACAGTTGGCTCTTTAAATAAAAGTATGCCATTGTCACAAACATGAAAATGATAATGTGAATGGAAAGACATACTTTCTAACAGAATAGACAAAATACATATGAACAGGAACACACAAAAAAAAACAGACGAAGCAAATGATCTCACATTGTACCAAAGACTAAGAAGACACCAGCAGTGACAAATGCACTGAAGACATGGCCACAAAGATCGTACCTCGCGGAGGAGAGACTTTTGGTTCAACTGGTGCCACAGTCGGCTTTGGTGCCTCAGGTGTTGGCTTCTTCTCCACAGTTGGCTCTTTAAATAAAAGCATGCTATTGTCACAATCAAGAAGGAATAATGCGCACTGAAAGAGGTACTGCGTAAAAGAATAGACAAAATACACATGAAAAAGAAACATAACAAGATACAACTTGCAAAGCTAACAATCTGACAAAGAGAAAGAAGAGATTAGTTGTGACAGAAAGACACAGAAGACACATAAGAAGAGACTCTACCTTGGGGAATAGAGACTTTTTGTTCAAGAGGAGTAACTGTTGGCTTTGGTGCCTCAGGTGGGCGCTTCTCTACAGTTGGCTCTTTAAAAAAAAGAATGCCATTGACACAACAAAAAAACGATACTGTGCAAGGAAAGACACACTGTGATACAGAACAGAGAAAATACATATGAAAAAGAGCAAAATAAGATACAACAGACAAAGCCAACAATATTATTGTATTAATGACAGAAAAGAGATCAGTGGTGACAGAAAAACACAGAAGCAGAGCCTCTACCTCGAGGAGGAGACACTTTTTGGTCAAGTGGTGACACTGGTGGCTTTGGTGCCTCAAGTGTTGGCTTCTTCTCCACAGTCGGCTCTTTAAGTAAAAGCATGCCATTGACACAATATTGAGACAATCAAGAAATGATACTGTGCATGGAAAGATGCTCTATTACACATTGGACAACATACATATGAACTTAAAGTTACATGCAACAATATAACTGTACTGACATCAGTAATGACAGAAAGACAGAAAACATGACAGCAGACACTCTACCTCGAGGAGGAGAGACTTTTGGCTCAGTTTGCCCCACTGTCGGCTTTGGCGCTTCAGGTGTTGGCTTCATCTCAATAGTTGGCTCTTTGAATAAAAGCATGCTATTGTTACAACCAAGTGATAATAATGTACATGGAAAGAGGTACTGTTTCACAAAACAGAGAAAATAAATGTGATAAGATATCAAAAAATATCAATACCACATTGTATTAAAGACAGTGAACAGATCCATAATGACAGAATGACAAAGAAGACATGGCAGAGAAGACTCTACCTTGAGGAGAAGAGACTTTTTGTTCAAGCGGAGCCACTTTCGGCTTTGGTGCCTCAGGTGTTGGCTTTTTCTCCACAGCTGGCTCTTTAAATAAAAGTATGCCAGTCAAGAAATGATATTATGACAAAGCAAACAATCTCACATTGTACTAAAGACTCAAGAAAAAGACCAGCAATGCGTTATCAGTTCCTTCAGTTTAGCACTGCGTACCTTTTGAAGGAAGAACTGCATTCGGTTTGACAACATTGTTGTCTGATTGTGAGATATTATACAAGCAAGAGTAGACAATGAAACATTTGTACAAATGAATTGACACATTCAAAGATGAATGGAAGACAAGACAGGACAAACAACACAGCAAAGTAAAGAGCAAAGAATGAAGACATTCCATGTTAAGCCACATGTTTAAGTCTTTTGCCTAAATACCTCTTTCATGCATTTTAAGCTCTTTCTTCACTTCTTCTTTTGTCTTTTTCACATCAGGAGACATGGGCTTAGCCTCAACGTCTTTTCTCAAAATTTCTTTTTTCTTCTTAGACACAACCTCTTTCTTAAAGCTGGATTTTGTTTCTTGTGGCAGTTCATCTTTTGGTCCCACAATTTTATCAGCAGGACCTTCAGCTTTCTTCTTGTTTTCTGAATCCATCACCAGTGTACTTGATTTAATATTGACTTCAGGGATATTTTGGTCAGTCTCCTCCCTTAAAATGGTCTCTTTAAATGGAAGACTGTCTTGACTTAGTGAAACCTCTGGTTCACAAATTCTTTCATCATGAACCACCTTCTTTTCCACATAATGTTCCTCAGCTTGGTAAGACAAAGTCTGGTAGTGTTCATCGCTTTCATATGAGACTTCTCCTCGCGAAAGTACTTTCTCCATCTCTTCCTCCATCTTCTTAGTTTTCTTAGAAATATCCACTCTACGGGCATTTGGTTCAATTCTCTTTGGAACTAGCAAGAGCAGAAGAAGATTTACCTGCACATGCATAAACTATCATACGTGTTCTCTTATTACATGTAATTTAGTCCCTTAAAACGTATAATGCTGTAGTAATGAAGAATAAAAGAATGCATAATAACAGAGCAACAGAATGGTTACATTTTTTGTCTGCTGGAGTACCTTTTGCTTTGAAGATTGCTAGAGTTACTTTGACCTTATGGCTAGTTGTTTGTGCCTCTAATTGAATTTCGAATGCTTACGGGCAGTCTACTGGACAAATCTGGATGTGACAGTTGCCAGGAGAAAGCTACCTGCCTGAATACATAATGCAAACTGTAAAGTTTGGCTGAGGAGGAATAATTGTTAGGGGATGTTTTTCATGTTTTTCCACGTTTTTCCACTTAGTCCCAGTGAAGGGAAACTGTAATACAACAATATACAAATACATTCAAAGTAACTGCAGAATTCAAGCTTTGTGGAAGCAGTTTGGGAAGGCCCTTTTCTGTTTCAGCATGTCCATAAAGGAATTGCCAAAACTTGGCTGGTCCTGATACATCAAACACATTTGGGATGAATTCGAACACCAACTGGCTTTATTACCCAAGATCAGTGCCCAACCTCACTAACGCTTTTAAAACTAAATGGCAGCAAATCCCCACAACCATGTTCCAAAATCTAGTGGAAAGTCTTTCTAGTGGAGGCTGTTATAGCAGTAAAGGGGGGGCTAAGGCCATTCTGACAACCCATTGTTTATGAATGAGATGTTCAACAAGCACCTGATGTTTTGGTGCTTTGCTAACCTGTCTAGCATAATTAAAATAAATATGGAGGAAATGTGACATATTTTCTTTGTATTCTGTCAAATATATACTAATGACACAAAAGAAAAAAAAAACAGCAGACTGTATGAATATTAAGCATGTGTACCAAGGTGAAAACCTCCCAACCATACCTCTGGCAGAAACCATGTCTAACTGGTTTTGAGATTTGGCGACAGACTTTTTCTCAGACGGCACTTCTGCATGTTTAACTTCAGCCACTTCCAAGAAAGTCTCCTCAGGCTGATGTGAGATATCTTCTTCTCTTGAAATCACTTTTTCCATCACTGAAATCTCCTTAGTTTTCTTAGAGAATTCCACTGTATGCAGAATCTGTTCATCTCTCTTGGAAGATGCAAGGTCTTTAAACATGAAAGATTTTGTTTTTAAATTGCACCATGTGCACACATTGAAAGATGAAAGCAAGACATGAGATCACTACATCAAATAATTAATACCCATTTATACATCTGAAAGTTGATGTCTCTTGAAATGTATAAAGAATAAGGTCAATCAAGAGGTAAAATTCATGCAGATAGTACAAATAATCGACACCTTTTACTGTAGTGTAGACTATTTGTATAAAAAGAGCCCCAAACTCTGACACTTTGACCGAATATGTATTAAATGTGTAAATATCAGAGAAGCAACCTCTAAGACCAACAAAGCATACCTCTTGCGGGAGCCATTTGTGCTTCCTTTCGAGGTTTAACTACAGGTTTTTTCTCAGGTGCTACTTCTGTAGTTTTAACTTCATCCACTTTCAATGAAGTCTCTTCAGGCTGATATGGAATGTCCTTGTCCTTAGGCAAGATTTCTTCTCTTGAAATCATTTCCTTCATCATTAAAATCTCCTCTACTTTACTGGATAATTCCTCTGTATTTGGAGCTACAAAGATTTTAAAGATTAAAGAAACTTAAGATTCTACCATGTGGCTATAAAGAAGAATGTTCAGCAACACAGACAACACAGGCTGTGTCTCTTCAAATGTATAAAGTGCATTATTAAAGAAAGGCACAGTTTCCTTGGCTTTTGCTTCATTCTAGGCTTTTTAACAAAAATTTGCATTCAGCTCAACAGTTACAAAACAGAGGCTAGTTCCAACATGAAACCTGTGTATCTGCCATCTATACTATTCCTTTAAAACAGCAGCAGATAAAAGATATTCTTGTCTTTACTTTAAAATTAACAAAATATTCTGTGTCATATGTATGTAAGTGGAATATACTTATTTTCCAACACTGTTGGGTCATTCTATCGAAACGTCCATTTTTGTGTCCCTCGCGTTTACAGATATATTACACTTGAAAAAACATGTTAGGGTTACAATTTATTTATATTTTAAAATAAAACAATGTTATTTTAACAATTACACCTTCTTGAGCCTCAATTTAGCAATATTGGGTTTTTAAATCAATTGTATAGAATTCCAAGCACCACAGAAGTGCTCGTCCTCATAGTCATGTGTGAAGGGTAAGGCCATATTTTGAGGTCAAAAACATGTTTTTCTGCAATTTTAACTGCAATAATCGATACATGACTATGAAATACATGAATATATAATTATTATATAATAATTGAATTATATGACATAAAGAAAACAAATGCCAAATAAACATTATAAAATAATGAAAGTTGTGGTCCCCAGGAGTCGTGTCACTGGTGTTAACAACTGCATAACAACAAATCTCTTATTTTGAAATAAAAATCACACTGATGACATCACTTGACTTCCTTTTACCTATTTTCTGAGAATCTATGAAGAAAAGCACATGGTGAGTCCACTGTGTCTTTTCAGTATCGGAAATTTTCTTATTTAGCTCATGATTTCATATGAAGCTTTTATTGAGGTCACTGGTGTGACCGACTTTATTCTTAGGTAACTGTTAAAAAAATAGAATGCGAATGGATTCAATTACATATTTTAGTTGATATTCCATTACTGACAGCATGTGGTTTGATGCTCTGTAGCAGCCATTATGTAAAATGCATTTTTCATTAAAAATGTCACTGGTGTTACTGTCTGTGGTATTACCTTATGTGTAACACCAATGAGGATTGGTAACACCAGTGACACCTATGGATAGACAGAAAAGTGGACGTTTCTGTTGAATGAGCCTGTTATAGATTCTATCAGGAACATTGACTGCTATGAACAGAAACCAAATACAGAATACAAAAATACAGCCTTAACCCATGAGGAGAAACCAAGGTGAAAATCCAACCAAGCATACCTCTGGCAGGAGAAATCTCCATCTTCTTTTGAGGTTTTATCAGCATTTTTTTCTCAGATGGCGCTTGTGTAGGTTTAACTTCAACAACTTTTAATGACGTCTCCACAGGTTTAAATACAGTATTGTCATATTCATATATTTCTTCTCTTGAACTCACTTCCATTGTCACTGAAATCTCTTCAGTTTTCTTAGATATTTCCATTGTATGCTGATTTTGTTCAACTCTCTTTGAAGCTGCAAAGACTTTAAAGATGAAATTTTGAGACTGCACCATGTGCCGTATCAGAAGCATGTTCAACAAGGCAAGCATTTAAACAAGGAGACTAGATATTCAGTAGAACACTAGACTCCTGCAGTAGTTTATACTGAGAATTTTTAAACAGCATATTAAATGTATGACTTTAGCTACACAGAGCTTACACTATTATAAGGTTTTCTATGTACTTATAAAGCCTACTAAACTTAACTGTTGATGGATCATACTCATTTAAAACCATTTTATTGTAGTGGTAGTAGTCTTATTTTGCTCTGGAATACTGGTCCCAGGTGTGACATGAAAATGAATTGTATGTTCATTGGAACTCATATATATATTTGTAAACACAAACAAAACAAAGAATCCAAGTGCAAAAGAATACCATAAAGAAAGCTCTCAAGATCAACCAAGCATACCTCTTGTAGGAGCCATTTCCATCTCCTTTCGAGGTTTAGCCACAGGCAGTTTCTCAGATGGCAGGTCTGCAGGTTTAACTTCAACCACTTTGTAAAAGTAGAAATCATACCAGAAAAAAAGGAAACAACATGAATGACCACATACACAAGGACAGACACAAACTGTAAGAATATCAAGAATATCCAGATACGGATGCAATTTTCAGTCACAGGTTTGACACATGTTCTGTATCCAAAAATAAAAACCAAAGTTCATGATTAGTGAAGTTAATTTAAGAACACAAAAGCAATTTGTTAATTATTTAGGTAATAATACCTTTCTCTATCAGTTCTCTGTGCTGAACTGGTTCAGGCTTTGCCATAGTTGGCTCTGGAGGGCTGATTGTTAACTCTGCTTTTCTAGCTGGTTCAACTTTGGGAGCCAGAGGAACAACTTTTGGTTCTGGTTGTCTACTTGGCTCTGCTGTAGGCAGTTCTTTAGAGACTGGTGTTAGCTCAGGCATTCTACTTGGTTCTACTTTTGGAACTTGTGGGGGTGCAGGTATTTTAGCCAGTTCTACTTTTACCAGCTCTGTAGAGGCTGGTGTAAGCTCTGGCCTTTTAACCAGCTTTGCCGTTGGCATTTCTGTGGAAACAAGTATAGCCTCTTCTTTTCTTCCTGGTGCAGGGAGGATAAGTGCAGACTCTTGTTTTGATGGTTCAGGCTTCACTGATACAGTTGCTTCTTGTTTAGATGGTGTCACGCTTGGTGGCTCAGCTGCAAATAACGGCAGGCCTGATTTTTTGCCTGGCTCTATTTTTGGTGCTTCTGTAGCCCTTGCCTCTTCAGGAGCTTTAAAAAAGATAAATGTGGTTATACCCTAAGATCACTGCATACGGTGATCAGTACGACACTCAACTGAGTGCAATAAGCTAAAGATCAAAGAGACTGATATCAAGAAATCAAGAATGTGGACACAACAAACACATATTTTAAGAGCACCTGTTACTGGGATACAGGCTTTATGGGAAACAACACCAAGAAAGACAAGTCTGAAGACAAGTTACTATCAAAATATCCACAACAATCATTGTGTTTTAGTAGTTACCTTTTGAAGGAGCCATAGTTGGTTTTGGGGTTAAAACCTCTTCCTTTTTAGCAGCTAAAGTTGGTTGTGGTGCCACTTCTGGCTTCTTGGGAACATCTGATACTTTTAAGGAACAATGAAATTCAGAAAAAGAACAAATTGTAGTTTCAAGGGACAAACATTTTACATAAAGACACAAAACCGAAGTTCGAGTGCAACAAGAAATAGTTTTTTTTACATGAAGCTGTCACCTTGCACAAACAAAGACTGGCAATAAAGATTGTGCATATACAGACAGACATACAGGACATCACACCAACAAAGAAATCAACAGAAGGGCAGAGAGACAATACCATAGCACACAGACAGCTGTTCAGTACAATACCTTTGACTGGGGGAGACTCAGGCTTCTTTGTAACTGCAGGCTTAGGTTCAGGCTTCAGCTCTGGCTCTGGTTCAGGCTTCAGCTTTGGCTCTGGCTCAGGCTTCAGCTTTGGCTCTGGCTCAGGCTTCAGCTTTGGCTCTGGTTCAGGCTTTAGCTTTGGCTCTGGCTCAGGCTTCAGCTCTGGCTCTGGTTCAGGCTTCAGCTTTGGCTCTGGTTCAGCCTTCAGCTTTGGCTCTGGCTCAGGTGCAACTTTTGGCTCAGGTTTTGGTTCTGGTTTAGGCTCGGGTTTTGGTTCTGGTTTAGGCTCAGCTTTTGGCTCTGGCTTAGGTGCAGCCACTGGTACCTCTTTAGGCTCAGGTGGCACCTGTGGTTTAGGCTCAGGCACCACAGGAACTGCAGGTTTTGAGACATCTTTAGGTAAGACAGACAACTATAAGTATCTAAGAGATGGGGCTAAGTGACAGCATAAACACAGTAACAAGAATTAAGAACAATATAAAAATACAAACAATAAAACCTTAAAACAGAGGGACACTTCTAAGACTGTAAATCACATATAATTTTAAGATCTGTTGAAACTAACACATTGAGGACAGTACGTTTTACATAATGACACACAGAAGATGTTTTCAGACTTTTACAAATCAACATTCATATCAACACATCTCAGAGTGTACAACGATGCATAAAGAGTCTGTATGTCAGCATATGTGGATCATGCTAACAACATGTCCAACACTTATGACAATACCTTTAGGTGCAGGCTGTCCTTTTCTCTCGGCCACCTTTACTGATGGGACTTTTTCCTCTACAGGCTTCCTGACTTCGGGTTCTTGAGAATCATTAGCACAATACGAATAAAATTCAGTTATAGACAGTATGCTCTGTTTAAGTACTGTACCAAACAAAGAAACACATAAAACATGTGAACACACCAACATATAAAGAAAAGTAACACACATATTTACTTTGTTATCTCTGTGGAAAATGAGACACACAGGGAGGAATAAGGGAGACAGTAAAAGACATTCAGACACAAATACCTTTAGACAGAGCTGGTGCAAATGCTTCGGGTTTCTCTTCGGGTTTCTTGGAAACCTCAGGCACTTAAAACACATATTCTCTATTAAACTACTGCTACCAAACATATATTTGTAGTTTTGGTAGACAAGCCATTAGAAGAAATACAAAAATACTAAAAACATTCAGGAGAAACTAAGACAAATGGCAGCATGATATTAATAAAAGCAGACATAAACATACAGACAGACAGATAGATATACAGACAGGAGGCACACACATTTAAAAGCATACCATCATAAGAAATCAGAATGTTTTCAAGAGAACATTTAAGAGGCTTGGCAGATGGCTTTAAGTTTTGGCATTTGTAAATGTTAATTAGCATAGCCCATGACAGCCATAAGCTTGATCAGGCACAAGCATGTTGTTCTCTTAATACCTTGTTGCGGCTTTTCTTCAGTTTTTTCCGCCACAATTTTGGTAACAATTTCTTCCACTGGCTTCTTCGGTTCTAAAGGAAAACAAACACACACACTTAGCAACACAACATAAGACTAAACTTCTAACTAATGTAACTGGGCACAGAACACAGCATATCACAGCTGGATTGAACATATGGGGGAAGAAAGTAAAATTACGGATTATTGGTCAGTGGAGGAGAACGAACGTTCAAGCACTGCAAGAAATGGATGGTGAGGACAAGAGCAAAAATTACCAAGAGGATGAAAGACAGCGTTCACACACAAAGTGAGCCAAACATTAAGCTCTCAATTAATGAAAACAAGACTATTAGCCACAGTATACCTTGAATTGATGAAAATTCATGGATTACTTTTTCTTCTTGGACTGTCCGACTCTCATACTCTACTGTACCAAAATAAATTGTGCCAAAATAAATGGTCAGCGCCAAAGCAAAAGGAAAGAAAGAAGCAAAGCACAAGAAAACAATCAAACAAGTTTAACTAAGTTTCTAAAATTGGACATAGTGTAATAAACGTGTTTAGCTCAGTGATGCAAGATTGGCATTATTGTATTAAGACATAAGTTTCACTAAAAGTCAAGATGCATCCAAGTGTAATCATTTTGGTTAATTAGTTAGGACAAAAATATGATGTTCCAGCTTTTTAGACATGGATGTAGGTGACAGATAGACATTAGAATAAATTAGGACTAACATGTGGAAGTGACATGGATGCTTGTTGTCTTCATGGTTATAAGCTATTTAGCTTTAGTTAATACACCACGAAACACGATTTGCTGGTGGACTGAAAGCTTATTAGAGAGGAGTTGGTAGAAAACTGTGAAGAGTAAGTTGGTTACATTTGGAATAACATAAGAAATAGTACCTGATACTTCATGCTTTTCTTCATAATAATATTCAGATGATTCTTCTTTTGAACGTGAAAGGTTTGAAAAAAGGCGTTATTATTACAGCTGCTTGGTTTAGTAAATGTATTATATAATACTGCATGATGTCAGGTTTCTAAGTATCTAATCTTACCTTTGAAACTAATAATAGATGACATCTCAGGTACTTGTATTGTTGTATCAGGGACATCTACACAGAGCAGATTTTATTGTGTTAATTATTTACGTTGCTCAGAATATTTATAATGACTAATACAGGAGCAACTAAGCTATTCAGTCTAGTAGGTTTTTGGTGATCTTGATATAAAAGTACTCACCATAAGACATTGTTCCAAGATCAATTTCTGTGGATAGAGGTAAACTGTCATTGCTGGGATTCAGTACCCATACCCAGAAAATGGGAATGGTAACTCATTTTAATGTCACTCTATTATTTAACAACTGGTACCTTTGCCTGACAGATAAAGCTCAGCTGTACTTGTAGCTTCACCCATAGGCTCCAATCGTGCGATCACCGAGTACACGCCTAAAAATGTTTGCAGATAATGGAGTGTCTTTAATTAAAAAGCAAATTCAAAGAGTATTCAAAGTACTGCTGAGATATTTAAATGTACACACCTTCATCCTCAGATGTTACATTACGAATAATCATAAAGTGACGTCTTCCCTCACACCTGAAGTTATATTTTGGACTCTCTTTAAGCTCCCAAGAGTCTTTGTACCATGTGACCACGGCATTGTCAAAGGACAGCTCGCACTCAAAAGTGGCAGCCTGGCGTTCCTTCACCATAATGTTGTGGATGCGTTTGGTGAATTGAATTTGATCAGCTACAAATAAGATATGATTTGAATGATTAACTTATGTCTTAAAATGCATATTTAATATCTTTCTAGATTCCTAGATTAAGCCGAGTGAAAAGACACCATTCAAGAACATGCACTATTCACCTACCATTTTGTTCTGAACAAGAATAAGGCCACTAAGACCAAGCAGTTCAAGAGCATAAAGAAAATAAAAGCAAGGTAGGTGTTTAATATTGAGATGACGAAAACAGAGCGAAGAGGTTAGTGGACAGCCTGGGCACATGACAAACATGGGGATTTAAAAAGACATTTTTAAACGTGGTTCGCTCCTCTACCTACTTACTGATGAAATTAACCTTTAAAAGTGATAAAAGGGAGGTGCATATTAATAAGATAAACCCATGCATTTGTGTATCAAGTGAGAAACCGCTGCACTACAGGCAGCTTTGCCTTCTTACCAGGTGAAGGCTTCTGCTCATACTCATCACTCTCTGCAGGAGAGGTGATACATTTGCCTCAGCACACTTCAAAAACTAAACAGAATTCAAAACATGTACTGGAGAGAGGACTTACCCAACACCGACAGTGTGGCACTGGAGATATGTGGGCCACAAATGACGCGGTAATTTCCCTGGTCACTCGTCTGACAGTTCTTGATCTTCAACGAATGGCGGTCGCCCACTGCTTTAATCTCGTATTTACTACTGGTTTCAAGCTTCTGTGTGTCTTTGTACCAAGATAGCGTGATTTCTGGGTAGTTGATCTTAATTTCACACTCAAACACGGCCTCCTTATTAACTTGGGTTGTCTGATCTTTGATGTCATTAAGCAGGGTAATGGGCTGTAAACAGAAAATAAGTGCACATGTTCAAGATATCAATAAGCATCTCATCAAAATAAGAGCTGAATTTGTTACAAGAGGGTTTTTTTTTAAATGTTGTTCTTGCTGCTTTCCAAAAAAGAATCATACTTCAGTTTGTTCCATTCTCCTCTGCAAATCAGACACAAGCTTAGCCATATCTTCATCAGATTCTCTGCCACGCATGTGTTCCTGATTCAAAAAAGAGTATTAAATATTACATGTATTACAAATGAATGATTCAAATAAATAAATTTTAGCAATTATGCTGTAAGAAAACAAGGTAAGATATGAAACAAAAAAAATAAATAAACCTACTGGTCTTCCACTTTCTTCACCCCTCTCTTTTTTCAGCTGCTCAATGGCCTGAAGAAGGCCGCGGTAGTCTGTGATGCCGTACATGCGAGCATATTTTTCATACTCTTTTGGATCTACATTTCTTAATAACTCAACTATGTCAATGTCTTTGTCTTCCTTTGGACTTTTCTGCTTTGATGGTGTCCTGAACATGACAAAAGAGAGCCAAATGTCAATATTTAAAGTGTTTCCTTTTCTAAATAAAACAAAGATTACCATTATATTATATTATAATATTTTTAAATTGTTATTAAAATTGTTATTATATAAAAGATTATTATTTATTTCTGAAATAAAGAACACGTTAAAACTCACTTCTTCAGTTTCACCATTTCAGCTGCAGTTTCCTGCTTCTCATCAACATTCAAGTCAGTGCTGCACTCAATTTCTCCATGTTTATTAGATGCTACACATCTATACTGGCCAGAGTCAGATTTAGTCGCTTCTCTGATCTCAAGCTTGGCCTCTTGGCCCTTCTGTTCAATACTGATGCGACCACCGTGAGTCATCTGTCTCCACTTGCCTTTCATCCATTTCACGTTAGGAATAGGATCACCACCAACCTTTGCGATGAAGGTTGCAGTGCCCTCTGTAAGTCAGAATATGGTACATGATTCCAATTATCTATTTTAAATATCAACTGCATAACAGTACAAGTACTCAGCTTCTAAGGGAACAACCACTTACTCTCAGTGATGCGAACACTCTTTGGTTCATCAATGAAGAACAAGTTGTCCAATTTCTTAGCTGCCACAGGTGCTGGGGCAGCGGCCTGAGCTGGCGCAGGAGTTACTCCTGCTTTTTCTAAATGAAACCAGCAGTTGAAGAGCAAAGAGAATAAATGAACAAAGACATGATTGGTTTGATTTGTTGTCCCAACCATCATGAGATTTAAAGAACAAATCATCAACTAGAAGAATATGAAACTTTACAATAAATAAATCATTGAGCAATGTAATGTTTTACAGAAATGCTTCCCAAAATCTGCACCGTCGATGCGGCACATGTAAGATTATGTCATCACAGCATCAAAAACCAAAAAAAAAGGTTCATGAAACTGAAAGTCTGTAGTATTAAACAAACTGGAAAAGTGATGGCTTTCATTATGAATGATAAAGGAAAAAAGATGATTTTGTAAAAAGGAAATAATAAATCTTGTATGACACAAGTGATGTTTTGCATTACAATTTTTTGGCCTGAAAAGTAATTTTGGACATTTTTTCCTTTTTTGCAGCACACCCTTAAACACTAAAACTAAAACATATAAGAAAGAAAAAAGAACATGTTAAAAGATTAAAATATGAACATCAAGCAAATTCATTATCCACATTCTAAGATTCATATAGTACCTTTGATGGTGGCCTTGGCCTTGGAGAAATCGCTACCAGCATTGTTGGTTGCCTTGCACAGGTAGTCTCCTGCATCGGCTTTGGATGCCCTGTCGATAGTCAGCGTGGCAATACCATCTATAAATGTGATCTTGGTGGTGGCAGAAGACGTCACCTCCCTTCTGTCCTTCATCCACTGAATTTTCAGTGGCGGAGAGCCAAAGACTTTGCAGCTAAAGCTGAGCCTCTCACCCTCATCCACCGTTATAGGCTTAAGAGTCATTTCAAAGGTAGGTGGCCTTTGTTCTTCTGGATTTGAAAAATACCAAAAAAAGTAAGGAGCACTGTGATTTTGAACATTTTTTAGAAGTTTAAGAAGAAAGGCTTGTCAGGCTAAACTCAACCCAGGCCTCAGAGACTTACATCACATGCACAGTTTTCTTCTATTCCAGTTTCAAGCAAACAAAGCTTGGGGCTGGAATAGAATCCAGCTCTGGCAATAGCTTTTGGGAATAGGAACTAAACAGAATGGAAATTTGGACTGACAGAGAATCCTAAGACTAGAATATTTGGCTTAAAGTGCCGAGTACTAGTTAAATATGATTAAGAACAATACAACATGCAAATAAAAGGGTAAAAAAAATCAAAATGTTGTTGAAGAAACTGATAAAAGTAAATCAAACATTGTGTACCTGTGATGCTGATCACCACCTGGGAGGAAGCAGTACCAGCTTCATTAGCAGCGCTGCAAGTGTAAGTGCCACTGTCTGAGGTTTGGGCTTTCTTAATACATAGCACAGCCACATTGCTCTTGAAGATCATTTCGCAGTTGTCCGAGCTAAAGATTTCCCTGTCATCTTTGTACCAGCTGACGGACAATGGCTGCGATCCAGATACACGACCCTCAAGCTTCACCAGTTTGCCCACAGTGTCCTTCACGTGCTCAGGGAGTTTTTTAGTGAAGGTTGGAGGAATTTTCCGATCTGAAAACAAAACATACATTATGAGATTAGTTGTCGTATATCCCCAGACGAACTGTCACTCGCAAGGGAGTCTAGCGAGAAAATACCTTTCACAAACAGCAGAGAGAAACGTAAGTCTTTTTCAATCTCATTACTAGCATAGCACAAGTACAGGCCTGAGTCTAATTTTCTGCCTGATAGTCAGACATGGGCTATTATACACATAAGAAAAATTGTCATTTGCCCTGTATAGATATTTTTCACCATCACTTGACCAGGTAACTTATCAATGTTACAGTCATGTGGCACTCTAGCCCAACATAGCCCAACATTACATTTATAGGGAAGTGATTTTTATCAAACACAGGTGCACTCTTTATATCCTAAAAAGCTAATTTACATACCAAATCTGGTACAAAAGAGTTTATTTGTAAAACAAACCTTGAAATATAAGTTGTGCAATACAAGAAGCAGTTCCAACTCTATTTGATGCAATGCAAGTATATTCCCCATAGTGTTTCTTTACACAGTTGGAAATTCTTATATTATTCCAATATTATTGCTGAAAGTAACTGAGTACTTTAAATTTGTTTTCAAAGTCCTGCAATGTTTAAGCCAGGAAATATCCACAGGATCCTTCAATGCAAAAGTCAAATTCTATCGAATGTCTTTTACTGGTTTGAGTACAATTGTTTTCTCTTGGTGACTCTTGGTGTTCTATTTTGAATGCTAATATTTTTCCAATGGAAGACTGAAGGCATTTTGTCATCTGTAAATGATCAAACTGAAGCGCAAGACAAGAAACTCAAGTATGGTCTATAAAAACAGTCAACTTAAAGATTTCACTACACTTTACTGACCTGCCCCTACGGTGACCTGTGCATGACAGATATCACTTCCATCATCATTTGTAACTTCGCAAGAGTATCTTCCAGCAGTGTCTTTGTCACACTCTTGAAGACATTCCAAGACGCAAGTGTTTCCAATGACTTTGGTGTTGTATCTGTAAGAAGCGTAGATCTGCTTGCCGTCCTTGTACCATGTGACAAACAATTTTTCCATCCCAGTGAAAGAGCATTCAAGTCTCAATTTTTGGCCCTCTTGGAGGGACTGGTTGGACAGCTTCTTCACAAATCGAGCAGGTCCTGAGAGGAACAACATTAAACCAGTCACAGAACTGTCATAATGACAGATTAACTATTACTAATATGTATATACACCAGGGGCTATCTTGGGTACTTTCAATTATTCAATCAAAGAAGCCTATTAATGAAGGATAAGATCATCCAGAAGCCCAGGATGTCATACTAACCAGAAACTACAGTCACTTGAGCATGGCAGATATCAGTTCCATAGGAATTGGACACTTCACAAGAGTATTTTCCTGTAGTCTCTTTAGTGCACTCATGTAGGCATTCCAAAGAACAGGAGTTTCCAACAACTGCTGTGTTGTATCTATAAGAGGCGTAAATCTGTTTGCCATCCTTGTACCATGTCGCAAATATTTTTGGAGCACCAGTGAATGTACACTCAAGCTTGAGTTTCTTGCTCATGGCAATTTTCATATCCTTAAGCTTCTGTTCAAACCGGGCAGGTTCTGAGAGGAACAACAGATCAGTAAACGTATTTTCATCATTTTTGGGGGAAAAAAAAAATCAGTTGTTGCCATCCTCAAAATAGTTCTGTCCAAACTAAACATGACACTATCAACTGGTTGGTAAAAATATAGATCTATAGAGAAGTGATACAAACCTGTAACTGTTGTCACATTGGCATGACAGATATCAGTTCCGAAGGAATTTGAGACTTCACAAGAGTATTTTCCTGGAGTCTCTCTATTACATTCATGTAGGCATTCCAAGATGCAGGAATTCTCTGTCACTCTTGTGTTATATCTGTATGAGGCATAGAGTTGCTTTCCATCTTTGTACCATGTTACAAACAACTTTGGAGCTCCGGTGAAAGTACACTCAAACCTCAGTCTGCTGCTCATTGGGAAAACTGTGTCCTTCAACCTCTTCACAAAGCGAGCAGGTTCTAAGAGGGACAGCAGAATCATTAAATTACTTTTGTCAAAACGGCAAGCACCAGACCAACACGCTGTAGCACACCCTGAACAACATGCTAGAACAAACCATTCCACTTCTCAATTTTTCCAATGTAGGAAATCCAGATGTGGAATAGAAAAACATCTTTCAAGTTCTTCAAAAAGCGTGCAGACATGAAGACAAATGGAGCCAAGTCAATCCAATCACGTCCACAAAACAAGCAACAGAAAACCAGACTCTTAAGTCACATGCCTCTATCACTGTAGAACTGAAACGCTGGTGGAAAAAAAAGAGTGATTTCAATTAAGATAAATCAATGTCTTCCAAGCTCGTGCAACAACTGCCAATCATAGCATCACACCAAAATACCGTAGACCAACAGCAATACCATCTCAGGCACCATGCTGTCCAACCCTGCAATATCAACTTGCTCACTTGTAAGGTACACAGATCTAAGACTTTACAAGAGCATGACGATAAAGGTGACATTTTCCGAAATGCAGGCAAGCATCTTCTGGAGTCCTGTGCAATTTACAAACCTGTAACTGCAGTCACTTGACAATGGCAGATATCGGTTCCATACGTATTTGAAACTTCACAAGAGTATTTTCCAGTGGTTTCTTTGTTGGACTCATGAAGACACTCCAAGACACATGAGTTCGATGTGACTTTGGTATTATATCTATATGATGCGTAGAGTTGCTTGCCATCCTTGTACCAAGTAACAAACATTTTTGGAGCTCCAGTGAATGTGCATTCAAGTTTTAACTTTTTACTCATCGGTACAGAGAGATCTGTCAACTTCGTCACAAAGCGGGCAGGTTCTGAGAGAAAGAGGATCAAAACACTTTAGCCCTCTCCTGATGATTTGTCAGAGATATACCTTTCAACAACATGCCAGCTAACACTTCTGTATCAGTTTTGTAAAAAAAAACAAGCTCCAAAGCAAGAGTTTCCATCTAAATATTTGAAAAATGAGAAATGGACAAGCATTAGTGCCATGCTTTACAAACCTGTGACTGCAGTAATTTTAGCGTGACAGATATCTTTTCCGTAAGCATTTGAGATTTCACAAGAGTATTTTCCTGTGGTGTCCTGGCTACATTCATGTAGACATTCCAAGATGCATAAGTTGTCTATGACTTTAGTGTTGTATCTGTAAGAAGCGTAGAGCTGTTTGCCGTCTTTGTACCAGGTGACAAACATTTTCTGGGCTCCATTGAACGTGCACTCAAGTCTCAGTTTTTGGCTCATTGGGATGGAAATGTCTTTCAGCTTTCTCACAAAGCAGGGAGCATCTGAGAAGATTGGTATCATGTCAGTTTAATATGCCGTGCGTGCAAAAGGTCCACATTACTCAACAACTTTTAATATTAACAAGATGAATATTCTATAATACTACTGGGATACCATCATGTCAGTCAAAAACAATTGCGTTAATGCAATTGTAGCTAAATTCCAAACTGAAATAGGAATCACAAAGCTTTCAAACTAACCCATCACTGTGGTCACTTGGGCATGGCAGGTATCGGATCCAAAGGAATTTGAAACCTCACAAGAATATCTTCCTGGAGTATCTTTATTGCATTCATGGAGGCATTCCAAGATGCAGGAGTTCTTAGATACTTTTGTGTTGTATCTGTATGATGCATAGAGCTGCTTTCCATCTTTGTACCATGTAACAAATATTTGTGGGTCCCCTGTAAACGTGCACTCAAGTCGCAATTTGCTGCTCTTAGGGATAGAGATGTCCATGAGCCTCTTCACGAAGCGAGCGGGTTCTGAGTGAAATCACATTTTTTATCAGTATTATTTTCCTTAAGAACAGGCATCTTAATAGACTTGAGGCAAAAAGACAGAGTGGAAGGATAAATATATATAAATAGGGTAGAATGACTATGTCCACAATTTAATGGCTTACAAACCTGTAATTGTGGTCACTTGAGTGTCACAGATAACACTTCCATATGAATTCGAAATTTCACAGGAGTATCTTCCAGTGGTTTCTCTGGTACTTCCATGCAAGCATTCCAAAATACAGGAATTTTCAATGACTATGGTGTTGTATCTATAAGAAGCGTAGATCTGTTTGCCATCCTTGTACCAAGTGACAAACATTTTTGGCGCTCCAGTGAACGTGCACTCCAGTCTAAGCTTCTGCCCATAAGGGATGATGACACCCTTAAGCTTCTTCACAAAACATGGAGAATCTGAGAGAAAGACCACCATTATAATAAAATGTAAGTGGAAGCATATAGACAACAGTTTATCCACAGTCCTTTTGAGAGTCTATTAACACTACAACAAAAAATACATCACCAAGAGCCCATCCTTATATACGAACCTGTCGTTGTAGTCACTGTAGCATGACAGATATCAGATCCATAAGCATTCGAAACTTCACAAGAGTATCTTCCAGGGGTGTCCTCATTACATTCATGGAGGCACTCAAGGATGCAAGAATTTTTAGTCACTTTTGTGTTGTATCTGTATGAAGCATAGAGTTGTTTGCCATTCTTGTACCAGGTAACAAATATTTTTGGGGCTCCTTTGAATGTGCACTCAAGTCTCAGCTTGCTGCTCTTGGGGACCGCAAGATCCTTTAGTTTCTTCTCAAACCGGGCAGGCTCTGTGAGGAACATTGTCATACTAATTACATGAATGTTAACACAGCTATCCTAGATGATTCTTATTTCAAAGAACATGCTTAGAGGAACACAATTGTGGAAACCCATTTCCAAGATCCAGTAGATTACAAACCTGTCACTGCTATCACATCAGCATGACAGATGTCGGATCCATGACCATTCGATACTTCACAGGAATATCTTCCGGATGTTTCTGAGGTAGACTCATGTAAACATTCCAGAACACAGGAGTCCTGTGTGACTTTCGTGTTATATCTATAAGAAGCATAAACCTGCTTCCCATCCTTGTACCAGGTCACAAATATTTTCGGGGCTCCTTTAAATGTGCACTCAAGTCTCAGTTTCTGGCTCATTGGAACAATCGTGTCCTTCAATTTTCTCACAAAACAAGCAGGTTCTGAAGAAACAGCATTGGATAAGTTATTAAACCAATGTTATTGTCGGGCGAATCCATGATATTCAGGCTCATTTCTTTCGTGCTTCTTAGGTCATTCTTCCTAAATAATTCCAAACACCGCAACAGCAAATTCTTTATACGATTTAATGGCAAGCACCATAGAAATACTCTTCTGAGCATGCTGGGCATGCAGAACACTTTATGGCTAAATATATGTTGGTATATTTATGTATGGTATATATTTCAGAGGAGTTTAAACTGTTGTAGAATTTGAGAAAGACGTGCTTCAGCAGGACGAGATGCAAGATACGAACCTGTGACTGCGACCACTTCAGCGTGACAAATATCAGTTCCATAAGCATTTGAAATTTCACATGAGTATCTTCCGGTAGTTTCCTTGGAACACTCATGCAGACATTCCAAAATGCAAGAGTTCTTTGTTACTTTGGTGTTGTATCTGTAAGAGGCATAAAGCTGTTTTCCATCCTTGTACCATGTGACAAACATTTTTTGGGATCCAGTGAATGTGCACTCAAGTCGTAGCTTATGGCTCATTGGGACAGAAATGTTGCTCAGCTTCTTCGTAAAGCAGGGAGGTGCTGGCGCTGTGAGGAACAGTAAGGCGACAAGTTACACCAGCATCATGTAAGATCCTTCGAAAAATATTAATTTAAAAAAGCACATCAGTAGTTGCTGTATTATCAAATATTGGTGGGAAATTTTGTAACATTGTTCCTCGAAAGAGTAAAACTTGATCATTGCTGTGATCACTGCTGACCATCTTTACAGTATGAGAAGATCTATTAATACACTGAACATACACATTCCAAGGTGGGTCTTAATTTCCATCCACAAGAGATTTGACATCTTCTTCCTTTAAGAACTCTGCCAAGTATTTCTTGAACTTTTGGGCTCTTCTTATTCTTCAGGCATTTTGAGTAACAGATGTGCCTTAATGGCTGTTATGTGCAGTCTGTGGCTGGCAGCTTAAGAAAGACAATTGTCCATGTCCTCATCATGACGGAAGAACAGCAATGTTGAGGCACTGAGAGTCCAAAGATTTTTGGTAAACCAACAACAAGAAGTGGACAAATGTGCTCCACATCAGTACAGGGTCCACACAACTAGAAACCGAATACAAAGCGAGTAACAATCTACATCTGTATTATTGTCAGACACCGACAGGAAACACAAACAATTTCAAACCAAGTGCCACTTACTACCTCTAATCCAGCATATGCCTCTATCACAAAGCCTGAAGCTATCAGCTAATCAGCTAATGAAGAGACATTTAAAATTTCACACGAATATCTTCCAGGAGTTTCCTCAGTACATTCATGTAGACATTCCAAAATGCAGGAGTTCCTCATTATTTTGATGTTGTATATAAGAGAGATAAAGCTGTTTTCCATGCTTATAGCAAGTGAAAAACATTTTTTGGGATCCAGTAAATGTGCACTCCATGTGCGCTCTTCAGGATAGAAGGTCAATAAGTTTTTGTACAGCGAAATCCTTATTTCCCATGGTCCATGAACAGTCCAAACAGCATCCCATTTGAAGAGTTCCCAATGTACAAGTGAAAGAAGAGCGAGCACAAAACCAAATGGCTCAACTGTGATCTCCCCAAGAAGAAAGAGCAAAAGTCTAAAAGTATCTAAAGATATGTCGATACATAGCGCAAAGTACAAGTATACAAAAAACATATATTCTTATGACTATATCCCACTGCATCATGTCACCAGAACGACTCATAAAATCACATTACGTAAAATCGCCAGTAGACACGATATCAAAAACACTGGAAGTTCATTAATTTCTATAGTTTCTTGTTTTTGTTGATGAACTTATCGGTTTTCTCAATAGAATTAACACTGAGAAAAAAACTCTAGTTTCACAGATTTAGAGTTACATCCGATATGAAATTTTTTAACTGAAATTTGAACACTGCACTAGTACCTTCCTGGATTGTGTTAAAGTCCATTTTTGAAACATTTTGATATTGCAGATCGAGCATACCATTAAAGTTGCACTGATCATTTTTGGCCATGCCAACATCAGAAATACACAAGTCGCCCAATGCTTTGTTAGCTGTTTAAAGCTTAAATTTACAGCCCACGCTGCATGTTAGTTGCAACACACTTGTTAGTGGTGGGGAAACCATCAAAGGCTGCTCTTTCTCTGACATACTAACCTCTCGACTCAGCAACTGATTCTGAAGAGATCTTTCCAGCATCATTTGATAAACAATATTGGTATTCCCCAATATCTGATTTTTCAAATGAAAGTATCTCCAAATGTGCAACTGAATCTTGAAAACGAAGACTGTGCTTTTTATCCAAAATGACTGGTCTTTTGTTAGTTAACCAGTTAACTCCAAATGGGCCAGCACCAATAATCTCACACTGAAACACAGCACTGGGTCCCTTCTCTACATCCAGCATTTGCAATTCTTTTGTGACGGAAGAAGGTTCTGAGAATAAAAATGAAAGTTTTTGATCATAATCATGATCTCATGTCCTATGGACATCAACAGTAATGCTCTGGTCACTATTATGACCTTCATTAACCTTTTACAAGCAATGTAATAATGCAACCTGCACAATCGGCCTAATTTAGCACTTCACTAAATAAATGTGCAAATAAATTTCACTGCCCGAAAGAACAATGATCATAATCTCCAAGGTCACAAGACCTCTCTCAGAAGTTTTGCACTATTCTCATATCATTCACAACAACATTAGAACTTATGAAAGAGGGGACAGAACACCCAACTTTCCATTTTCACGTGATTCAAATCTCACGACAGACCACAATGACACAAAGACTTTATATGCCACAGTACACATATGTACTTGACAAAGATGCTGTAAACATGGAACATGACGGGTACTTACCTTGCTCGGTCATAACTGAGAAAAAATATGTGCTTCTAGGATCATTAGTGAAAATACAGGTTTAGTATCTTTTGTCTTTTGCTTCTGGGCTTGCAAAACTTGCAATCTTATTTTAATATTTATTTCTGACAGTTTATAATCCACTGTATTGTTAGGTTGTTTGCCATCTCCAAACAATATTCACAGTTATCCACTACACACTCAAGATGCCCACAGCTACACTTAATATGTCAAAAACTTTTACAAATTTAGGTTCTTCTACAACAGTGATATCTGAATTGCACAAGGCTGTACCACATATTCGACGCATGCCTTGCAAAGGCCTTGAAGTTCCATTATTTTCAAGAGTGTACAAGTTTTTATCAGAAAGACACTCCATAGTTAAGTCCTGAAGAGATGCAAATTTGTGCCATTGAAGATCCTGTCACAAAATCAATACTTCCATGATTTCCATCAAAGAAAGTTTTTTACTCTGACTTGGTTATAAAGACAAATAGGAAGAGTGTTATAAAATGTTTAACACAGAAGAGAATAACTTCTGATTTGACAAAAAAAAGAGATTCTGTGATTCTGAAGATCACTGCATATTCCTGCAGCACAAAAAGACTATTTGTCAACATCAAGGCAAAATGTTGCCATGTGAAGTTGTTTGATATCACTCAAAGCCCTGAAGACAGCACACACCACCTTTTACATTCTGGCACTATTAATGGAACAGCGGTGGCACGAAGACAAGACAAATAATTTGGAGACAGCAGAAACATGACCGACATACATTACCGAAAACATTATAGAAACATTACCGACAGTTCTTCAACTGACCCACCTTTCATCAAAATCATAAAAGAGCTATCAAATCAGAATAATCAGCCAGATTATGGTTCTAACAGTATCTATGCACTACAAGCTTTGACATCTCTACAACTTGAATAAAAACACCTTGAATGAAAACTGTTCAGCAGCTAAGAATTTCAGTTATATTCATTCTATTCTACAAGCAAAGCTTTAAATAATAAAAACCCATTTAACTTACCAGTGACGTTCAGGTTAGCGCTGCAGCTATCACTGCCATGCCTGTTGGAAGCACGGCAGGTGTATTCTCCACTGTCAGCTTTGGTTGAATTCAGGAGCTCCAGAGATGATGTGGTATAGCGGCTGATGATCCTGTACTTGTCGCTCTGTCTGATCTCAGAGTCAGATTTGAACCACTTGAAGGTCACGTCAGGTGCATCTTCGGTCTCGCATTCAAACTTCGCGGGGCTGCCAACGTTGGCTTCGAGGTCTTGGATTTTTTGCTTGAAAACTGGTGGCACTGAATTGCATGAGACAAAATACACCAATTAATAAATTTATCAATGATTTTATAAAGAGCTAGACTGTGGTCAGCAGGATGTAGTATGGATAAGGTGAAAACAGTAGTAGTCCTCAAGTGACTGTGAAAAAGAAATGACGTGAATGTTAGAGAAAACTGTTTTTCATGAGGAGTAGATGAAGAGCCACACCGTGATATGATGTACCAACACATGCTTCATGAATGGAGCAAAGAACATGGAAATATTGGGAACATTTTATATGTTGAAGTGATAGAAGAAGGTGAGAGTTTCCACACGTGATCAAATTTCCACCAAAAAAAAAAAAATTCACAAAAAAGGTGAAGTGAGAATATGCTGGTGACACAGGCACCTAGTGGTTAATTAGTGATTATCTGAATCTTCTACTCCTAAATTGAAAACTGTTAATGATTAGATGTCTCATTTATAGTGACAAAAACATCCCCATAATACAACCTCTTGAGACCACTGTGAGCCGTGACGACGTTGAGGCCTTGCCGGCGTCATTCACAGCCTCGCATGTGTATTCTCCTTCATGTTTTTCCTTCATAACTTTGTTGATTACTAAAGTATATGTGTCATGGTCTTTGGAACATTTGAACTCTTTGCCAGATTTGATCAATTTACCATTGAAAAACCAGCTAACGTTAATCACATGTTTTATTCTAACAGTAAATGTAACCACAGAACCCTCCACCACTGCAACATCTTCTAAGGGCATTTCAAACAAAAGTTCCTTGACCGAAGCCTGATATTTCAACGTCCTTTCTGTTGTTATGTCCTCTTTAAGAAATTCTTCAATCCTTTCTTTCTGAATAAGGACCTCTGTGTGTTCTTCAACTGGAATTGGAGTCACTGGCATACTAGCAGTAATGCCTGCAAGACCTACATCTCTTTCATAGCCTTGTACTGATACAGATTTCATTTCAGTCTGAATGGACTTCTGGATGTCCAGTTTTCTTTCAGTGGTTATCTGAGTCACCTGACGTGTTGACTCTTGTGCAAGAATTTGTTCCTGACCAGTTATATACTGTAAAGAATCTTTAGCTTCAGTCTTCAAAGCAGCTGACTGAGGTTTTGGTGGGGTAAAAGTTTCCACATTTTCTGTCAACTGGACAGTCTCTACCACAGGTGAAAGTATCTCTTTTGAGGGAGCCATACTAAGCTGTACTCTCTGGTGTCTGAGAACTGCCATGGCGTCAAGCTGTTCAGAAGTGAGGACCTGTTGTTCCTTGTAAATAAGGGAGTTTAAGGCTGCTTGAAGTTCAGTTTTGAGATCAGCTGTCTGAGGATATTCTCCCTCAAAAGCAAGGGTTATTTCTACCGGGGCAGATGTTGTTGTAATAAGATATGAGAACATTGTGTACTTAGGTTCTTTTCGTGCCTTGACCTCCTTCACTTCCACAACTTCTAAGCTGCGGACCACATCTGCCAGGATTAATGGTTGATCAAGGGCCGTGGCACACTGTAGTGCATTTTTCAGCTGTTGTTTGATATCCAAAGAGTGTGATTTTGGTACAGAAATCACAAATGTAAATTCCTTTGGAAGGGTTTGGTTTTCTTGAGACTCTGTCACTAGAAGAGGTCCTGTAGGCTGAGTGATAATATTTATTATCGATGTGTCTGGTTTGATAATTTCCTGAGATACTTCACTTGTATAAGTTTGCTTCTCTTCCATTAATACTGACTGCCTCAGGGACTGGCCTTCTTGAATTTGAACCGCGAAATCCTGCTCTGCGGCCTCAAGGGTGACACAGCTTTCTGTGGATATGGCCTTCTCCTCGATATGCAGAGGCTGTACGCGTAGTCTGGGCTCTACATTTACCTTGCAAGAAAACTTGTCCAGTACCTTCAAACTGTCAGTATGACCCTCCTCTAAAGTATGTGTGTCCAACACTGACATAGCATACATAACATTGCAGCCTTCCTCCTTTTGCACAAGTGCGCGCTGCTCCCTTACAGCTGCTGTAAAAGGACTTTCCTTCGGGAGCTTCATAGGCTCTGAGATCACGTTAAGCACGCTCAAAGGTTTAGGCTCTTTTCTGTGTTCCGGTTTGACCCCTGTCACAGAAACATCAAGATATTTGGAATAATCTGCAGTCAGTTCTTTTTTCTCTTCTGTGGTAGCTGCATGTAAACGAGCTTTTTCCTTTCTCTGCACTACCATCTGCTGGTCAGGCTCTTGTACTGAAAGAAGTCCTTCTTTGGATAAAGTAGTCCCTGACTGGACTGACGGAAGATGTAATTTGGCAGGAGCCTCTTCCCATGGTTTTAAGGATACCGTGGACTCTTTGGAAGAAATCTGTGCTAGGTGCTCACAACTAACAGCTGTCTGCTCATGCGCAGATGTTGTGTATAAAAGAATGGGACTTTTTCTGGATTCAGCTTGCTCTGTTTCTGGTTTCTCACTGGTAAATCTACCCTCAGATGAAAGAATACCTTGGTCACTTATTACCTGCAAATGAAGCACCTGATCCTCTTCTCTTTGAGAATGCACTGAAACAGCACTGTCTAAACCTGCTATTGCTGCTGTTTTGTCTGCCTGAAGTTTATGCGTTTCTTCGGCAATGGGGGCGAATTTTAACATTTGGTCTTTGGAGAACTGTGCAACTTCCTCAGCTGGTTTATCTATGTCAAAACCACTTTCTTTTGAAAAAGTATGTTTTATTTCACTGACAGATGTATGCATTGGTTTGGATTGTTCCTTTCCTACAAGACATTCTGTGCACTCCAGTGACGGTAGCGTTGAAGAATGAGCCTCAGTAAGCTGGAGGTTCTCTGAAGTTATTGTAGATTGTAATACTTTAACTCCTTCTTTTATCCTGAAACATTTCTCCTCCTCAGGGAATGTGATTTTCTTACATTCTTCCTTTAGGATGACCAACTTTGTCTCAACTTGATGACTACTGACGGCATGTTTTGGTTCTGGAATGGAACACGTCTTTTCACCGTCTATGCTAGTTAAAGATTCAGCTTTCACGATAGTAAGAGGTGTCATACTCTCCGAAACGGCAGACAGCACTTTTGAGGGCTGTTCCTCAGTGAGCTCAAGCTCTAAGACCTCTGGACTTTTGATACGATCAAAGTGTTGCTCTGTGAAGCCTTGGCGTTCTTGAACAGCAGAGGTCACCGCAGCCACATGGAGCTGTTTCAAAGGTGTTGCCACAGTGGGCAGTGGCTGGATCGGAGTAACACTTTCTCTCTCTTGCGTCTCGTGAGACTGCAGAAGTGCAGCTTGACGAATTAACTGCTCCATGTGCATAGTTGCAGATGAAATATTTAACTCACTCAGAGTACCTACATATTCGTTTGCTACAGTTTGCCTATCTTCTGTGGTGTGAATTATCTGCTGTCCCTCCTGCCGACTAGCTCTGGCCTGTCCAGAAAGACTTACACTGTACAAGTGGGACTCGGTGGCTTGTTCATAAACAGATGTCTTATAAGTTTTCTGTGTAATGACCTGCTCTTGCTTTTGAATTGCAGAGACCGTATCAAGGAGGACAACTAGTTCAGCACTGCAAGAGGCTTCTCCAAGCAGGTTGGATGCCCTGCATGAGTAGAGACCACTGTCGCTTTGCTGAATGTCTGTTATCTTTATGAAGCCAGACCCATCCACATTACTGACAATGCTACAATATTTACTAGGCTGAATATGATAGCTTCCTCTGAACCACTGAACACTAGGGAGTGGAGCCCCTGTAACTTCATATTCAAAGACTGCGCTGCCTCCAACTGTGCACTGTACAGACTCAATTGCTCTGGTGAAATATGGTGGTTGTGTAATGGGTTGTTCCACTTTCTTTGTGTCCTTCACTTTAACATGAAGATAAGAGGTACAGGTTGATTTGCCAAGTCTGTTGCTTGCAGTACAGGAGTACTCTCCCTCTAATTCCTTTTTAATGTCGCTTATCACCAGAGTATATTCTTCATTCTCTTGGACAAATGTATAAACAGATGAAGAGGTTATTACCTGACCATTGTGATACCACTGAACAAAAGGTTTTGGAAATCCAGATATGATTACAGTAAATTTAGCAGTGTTTCCAACAGTTGCAATTGCTGGGGAGAGTTTGGTTACAAAAACTGGCTTTTCTATACGTCTCTCTATTGACTCGGAATACAATTTAGATTCTGGCTCAAGTTCAAAGGTTTTGCCTTTTTCTTTTATGAGAAGGCTTGTTGTGTAAGAGTCCTCTTCAGTAGACACAGCCAAGCTAGAAAAAGCTGAGCACAAAAAGTAAATTTTTATGTATTACATATGTATTTATACTGGGGGAAAAAGAAATGTCACGCCTAAATTTATGACCAGTTTTTTGCAGTTAAAAATATTTCTTGCAAGATACATATGTCACTGTAATGTGTCTGATCTAATTACCAGTCAGCAAAAATCATATATTATTAATATTAACAGACCCATACTTTGTAGAAGTAGTTTACCTCTGGTTTCCTCCACATGTGAGGATTCCTCTTCCACCTTTGGCACTGTGGAAAAAAATAAAAAATAAATAAGAGTCTGGAAAGCATATTTCTGTGCTTTGAGTGTAAATATGATGGTTCTCACATTACATACTGATTTAGATCCATTTTCTGCTTAAAACATATGAAAATGGACCACATCTCCCCTAAAGAACATCCTTGAAGGATGTCCAACATAGTCACAACTCCCTACAGAGAGATCATTTTCCTTCTGTTGATTTTTTTGAGAGATGTCACATTTTGTTTTATACATGTGGCATGAGAGAATACTGGAAATGAATTTATGTCTGAAGCCAGAACTACAAGATAAGAAAAACTATGATAAGGACGAAAGCATGCAATTGCAAACCTGTCTTCTCTCTGAGTTGGGTGCTGCACGCATTATCTCCTGCAGCACTGATAATTTTGCATGTGTAAATGCCTCCTTGCCTGGGACCAACATTCATTACATTTAAGCAGCACAAGGGCCCATCATGTTTCAGAGAGTATGACCTTGACTCTTCAGCAATCAAGTGGTTATGTAGCCAAACCACATAGGGTGAGGGGATTCCTTTGACTGCACAGTAAAGAGACCCATTGTGTTTTTGCTTGGCAAGGATTTTTGGGGGCAAAACAAGGGGTTCCACAAGGAACTCTGGCTCAACTGCTTCATACATATCATACTCCACCAATGGTACAACATCAGGTAAGTGATGTGGGCATATTAGCCACTTTGCTTTCAGGGAGGAGGGATGAAGCGGTCCGACATTCTGTATGGACTCCTGTTTTTCTTGATCAAAGGCCTTTGTACTGGACCCAGTTTCACTTTTAGAAGATTTACTGACAGAATCAGAAGGGATGGGGGTTTCTGCTTGGGGGGTTGCTTCCTTGGCTGAGTGAGAATAAAGTTAGGGAGATTTATTAGGGATTATTCGTAAGTAAGAGGGTATTTTAGCATTGTTCAAAGAGTTAGTGTGATGGGAGGATGGTGTTATGCCAGGCTTGTGAAAGCTTAACCTATTTACAGGATTAAAATTAATTACATTAAATATTACATTGTAAATTACAATTTGTTACAGCAACATGGAAAATATTCACTGTTTAAATTAAATACCAGCCTTAAGCAAGATGGGATGGAATGGACATCAAAGAGAAAAAAGAAACCTGTAACCACCTTCTACTGTGAGCCGTGCAGATGTTCGATTTTCACCAATTCTATTTTTAACGGTACAGCAGTAATTCCCCTGGTCCGCAAGTTGCACATTCAGTATGACGAGAGACAAGACCTCTCCATGGTGCATACACTGCACTCTCTCTGTATCTGTAAGCATCCTTCCGTTATGGTCCCATACAATTTCTGTAAGAGGCTGCCCATCAAAGGAGCAGTTAAACTGAGCAATGTCACCCAGACTGACAATCAAATCATTCATTTTCAGGATCAAAGCAGGACTCTTGAGACATTCTTCCACAGAGGTCATTTGCAGCTGGACATCAAAGCTTTTTACAGATGTTGTAGATGTTTGCATAGCAGATACCATTTCAAAAGTTTGAACAGAGGAAGAAGAATGAGTCTCAATCAGGGTGTGTGAAGTAACCCTCTCCGAAAGAGATACTCCAGTGCTTGACACACTATTTACGGTTTTCACACCAAGATCTGAGCGATAAAAAAATAAAATAAGACAATTATGTCAATCTCAAGGTTTTATAGTGTTCATTTGATTCTGTAGAGGCAGTTAGAGTAGTGTGGGGTTGGTGGAGTTGGAAAGGTGAGGTGTCGCAGTCCGTGAACAAAGATTGATAAGCAAAGTCAAATCTCCTTTCAAGTTTTTCAGTTTTTTTCCTAATCACTATAAGAGAGAAAGCTCTTCATTCGTTCGAAAATGGGGCTTGGTATAAATATATTTTGAATGTTCGAAAATGCTTGAAACGAGTAATTCATTACAACGTGTAAATGTTATCTAGTAGTTTGTCATCTATGATCGCACCGTGGGAAATTAATCATCTATAAGTTGTGGGAAAAAATAGGTTTAGCAAAGGGGCAAGGAAAAAAGATTAGGGTCTTATCTTCATAGTCATACAGAGAGATATGCATGATCTAAAGTTAACCCCTTAACTTTGGGTTCATATGTGGGCCCATTCTTCAGTTCCTCACACTCATAACTACATGACTTGCATATTCGTTTCATAGTGGTTACCGAATATGAAGTCTTGAGTTAATTTAAGCCACTAAATAACACACTGAGAGGTTAAACCAATGTTGTTAAAACTATCTTACTGGTGAATAAGTAAGTGCCTCATTCAACACAAACACATTAATAGAAAACGTGATACCGTAATACACATCCAATTATGGCACGACCGAAGAATAGACAGTAGTTGAATCATTAAGCAACCAGTATGTATGAGTAAGACAAAAATTTAAATTTATAACCACACAGATTAAGTTGTGGAAAAAAAAACAAAAACTGACCATTTACTCTCAGAACTGCAGAACAAGAGACCATCCCTGAGGAATTGCGGGCAACACAAGAGTATTCCCCTTCATTCTCAGCATATGCTCTAGCAATATCCAGCTGTAGGCAATCATCATACTGAGACATTTTGAAAATGTCAGACTGCTTAATCTCCTTATCTTTGCAGTACCAAGTAACCGTCAGATCTACAAAAAGAAGAGAAGGGAGATTATTTATTTTTATATAGTTTATATTTAACTGATCACTAATCAATGTGCATTAAAAATGTCTCAAATTAAAGTTTTTACAGTACTGAGACTTACCCTCTCCAGACACACGGCACTGGAATCTTGCAGAATCTCCCTCCTCAACAAAGGCATCATGTATAGAAGATATTATCACAGGCGGGGACAGTGGAACTGCAGCATCTGGAGAAACCACTTCCGGAACTGATTAAAAGGAAAAAATGTTAGAAATCTATACTGAACTACTGAACTTATTACTTTATTCTGTTTTTTCAAAACTTACCTTCCACATTGAGTACAGCGGAGCTGGTGGCTTGACCATAGTCATTGCTAGCCTCACAAGTGTACTGAGCTGCATCTTCTGGGAAAACCTCAATGAGCAGCAGAGTGTATTCGTTTCCCTCTCTGTGGAACTTGCACTTGAATCCAGAGGACAGTGCCTGAGAGTTCTTATACCAGGTGACCTGGGGCTGTGGGATGCCAGTCACCTCCACAGAGAAGCGTGCAGGTTTGCCAGCTTCAACAGACAAAGGCTCCATGTGTCTGACGATCTGAGGAGGCTCGGGGACTTAATAATAAAAAAATGAATTTATATTTATGTCAAGTTTAAAGCAAAGAATAGCATATTTCACCACAGATTCAAAATGACACATGCAAAAGAAAATGATTTGCTTTACTAAATGCTTCACGCACTTTACTAAACAAAGCTCGACCACTGAATAAAAGCACTCACTGTTGACATGTAGATTCACTGTGCTCCTGTTCTTTCCGGCAATAAATGTGTATTCCCCAGAATCATTCCTGTAAGTTTCAGTGATTGTCAAGCGATGCAGCTTTCTAATAGTGACATAGTTGAAGCGTTTCTCAACAGAGAATTGAATCTCAGCTCCATTTCTTAGCCAGCGGCCTTCGATTTCATCCTCACTGACTTCAAACTCAAATGTGGCTCTCTGCTTCTCAACCACCTGGTTTGAGAGGAAACAGTTGTGAGTAAAACGATCATACAAGTTTCACGTAATGTAACACTGTGGAAGTGAAGAGAGTAAGAAAATTACAGTGATGTCCTTTTCTGCAGGCTCAGAGATGTGAACATCCTTGCCCTCAACCGTGAGGTGAGCCTTAGACATGCTTGAGCCGGCAACCACAGAGTACTCGCCAGCATCGGACATACGTGTGGTCTGGATCATCAAGCGCTGTATGTATTTGTCTGTGGTAGCTTTGAACCTGAAATATTGGGAAATTATATCTTGTGAGCATCATTTTTAAAAGAAATGTATGATCCTTCACCTAATGTGGTTTGGTGGAAAAATCAGACCTGTCAGATAACTCCAGTTCCTGCCCATCTTTCATCCATGTGACTTGAACATTAGGCTCAGAGAGCTCACATTCAAAAATGGCCTTCTTCTTCTCAGTGACCTTGATGTCTTTGATGTGCTTTGTGAACTCAATGACGCGAGCTGAAGAACAGAACAGGAGATACATCAACACAATGAAATGAGAAGTCAGTTACACAAACTTGACTGTAGAGAATAAATAGAAACTTACCCTCAACAAACAGCTTGGCTGACGTCTCAGCAGATCCAGCCACAAACTTATACTCTGCGCTATCACCGAAGTGCACGTTACGGATGCTGAGAGTGTGAGTGAGCTGTTTAGAACGGATCTGGCATCTGTCAGTGGATCGGATCTCCACGCCATTCTTCAGCCATTTGTAGGTGATGCCCTCATAGTTGACAGTCACCTCAAATGTAATGGTGTCCTTCTCTTGGGCATTGAGGTCTTTGAGCATGGAGGTGATCAGAATGGCTGAAAAATTGGAAGAGATGCATGTATATGTTATTTTCTCATTTCGGTAAAGAGGCAACAGCCACAAAGGAAACTCAGAAGTGACTTACGGCTAACGGTCAGAGTGGCAGAGACTCTGTCATTTCCACACACAAAGGAGTACTCTGCGGCATCATCTCTGCTGGTGTTCATGATCTTGAGTTGGTGGACCTTGCCCTGCACCACGATGCTGAACTTCTCACTCATCTCAATCTCAACTCCATCTTTCAACCAGGTGGATGGGACGTTGAAATGTGAGACTTCACACTCAAATGTGGCCACCTGGGTCTCTGGAACCTCTATGTTCTTCATGGGCTTAGTAACCTTCAAAGCTAGATTGAATGTAATATGAACATTAGAATTCAACACATGCCTTAATTCCTGAGAATGTCTACTACTACTACAGTACAATGTGGAAAAAAGCATGTCTCTGTACTTACATTCAACATGGAGGTGTGTGCCGCATTGCAAATGTCCAACCATGGCAATGTATTCTCCTGCCATGTTATCTTCCACACTCTGAATGACCAGCTTATGGGCTTTCCTCTCTGAGAGAATCTTTATATTAGCACTTGGCTTCAGCTCTTGGTTCTTGAACATCCATTTAACTGGAATGCCATCATGGGAGAGGCTCAGCTCAAAGGAGGCAGTGGCGCCCAACAGTGATGTAACATCCTTAGGCTTCTTCACTATTTTGATTGCTACAAGAGAAATCAAAAAGTTAAAGTTTAAATTTGAGATACATTTATGCTAAAAATATTGTATATTTCATATATCAAACACTTACTCTCAACATTAAGTCTGGCATTAGCGGAGAGCTTTCCAAGTTTGAATCCGTAAACTGATTCATCTTGGGTGTTGCAATTCTTGATTTTCAGGGTGTGAATCATGCCATCTACTGTGATCTCATATTTGTCACTTGGGACAATCTCCACTCCGTTCTTGATCCACTGGGACCCCTTTACATCCAAATGGGTAAGTTCAAGACTGAACACTGCCTCCTGTGTTTCTGTGACAGTTTGGTTCTTGATGGTCTTCTTGATCTTAACAGCTATGAAAGAATGATGTTTGATTATCACAACCAGAAGATGGAAACAAATATAATTAACATAAAGTAAAGTAATAAAGTATGCAGAATGTACCTTCAACCCTCAGGTTGGCTGATGTCTTGGAGTTTGCCACCTGGTAGGTGTACTCTCCAATATCCTGTGGCCTTGTGATGGCAATGACAAGGCGTCTTACGGTGCCTATCTCTTCACACCTGACATTGTCACCGATGTCAACATGCTGTCCATCCTTAAACCACTTTCCCTGAGCAGTGGGGTTGGCCACTTCACATTCCAGCTCAGCAGTCTGGGACTCCGCTACTGTCAAATCTTGCAGGGGTCTGCTTATGGCACCACCTAGTGGAGAGAAACAACAATGATCTCAAATAAACCCCAACCCTAAAACATAATAAACCATACCATACTCAGTACTATAAGAATATATTACCAGAAGAACTTACAGGGGCCTATAACATCTTGTAAAATATACTGTGAATGTTCATATACCTGAAACAACAAGATTTGCACTGGACGTCTTCTCTCCAGCAGCAAATGTGTACATGCCCTCCTCGTCCTTCATGGCATTGATGACAGTGAGGCTATAACGGGTGCCCTTAGCCTCAATTTTGTACTTGGAACTAGCTTTAAGAGGTTGATTCTTAAAAGTCCAAAGAGCATCAATACCAGGGTGAGATACTTCAACCTCAAAGGTGACATTCTGGGTCTCAGTACAAACACAGTCCTCCATGTGCTTTACGATGCTGATTCCTGAAAAGCACAAATACACAATTTAATATCTCTATTTTTTATTTAATACATAAATAAATATATTTACATTTATTTTATGTGTATAATAAATAGATATAATAAATGAATTGATTAACAATAATAAATTAATATCTAAATAAAGATATTACTACAAATGCACAATATGATTCTTATTACAACCTATTGACCATATACACCTATACAGAACCTACCTTCAACTGTCAGCCTGCATGATGAGTCAACTCTACCCACAATCATCTTATACTGTCCTTCATCAGAAGCATAGGTCCTATTCAATACTAGACGTTGTTTGGATCCCTTGGCAACCATTTGCACTCTGTCGCTGGGTGTCAGAAGTTTGTCATTGTGGTACCATTTCACTGAGCTAACATCAGCCGCAGTGATCTTGGCCTCAAAGACAGACTTTGTGCCCTCGACTGAAGAGATGTCCTTTAATGGTGCCAAGAAGTCAATAGCTATAAAAGTAAAAGAATAATTAATTCAATTACTCACACATCTATTGAATGTGAACGAACATCAATCAAGGATAGCGACTAGACACTGAAAAAGCTTACTCTGAACAACAAGCTTTCCAGAGGTGGAAATGTCTTGGGTCGGAACAGTGAAGGAATACACCCCAGCGTCATCTTTATTAGCATCTTCAATGAGAAGCTTATGGGTCAGCTTGTCAATCACTATGTGAATTCGATCTGTGGCAGAAATGGCCAGGCCATTTTTAAGCCAAGTTCCTTCCACATTCTCCTGAGAGAATCGCACCTCCAGTTGGGCGATATCACCTTCACAGATTGTCAGGTCAGAGAGGCCTTGAAGCAGGGTAACTGGACGCACTACAGTGAACAGAAATTGACAAGAATCACTCAAGGTGTCTTAGATATAAATATTACCAATGAAACCATGATGGAGATTGTTATGCAAAATACAGAAACAAAAAGTCTTTGATACTAGAAATATGGTTCTTAATCCCTTATATCCTTTAGGTATACTAACATTTCATCTTCAAGGAGGCACTGGTCTTTAGATCGTCCACTTTGAAGGTGTATTTGCCTTGGTCTTCTTTCTTCACATCTTTTACAGACAGGCTGTGGCGACCACGGCGTGAGGATATGACATATTTCAAACTTGGAGTGATCTCTTTGTTCTCAAAGTACCAAGTGCCCTCAGCATCCTCACGGGATAAGACACATTCAAACTCTCCAGCGTATGTCTCAGGTACTTCTGTGTTCTCAAGGTTTTTCAAAATTTCAAGTGGGGCACCTATGCGACAAATAACAGTGAATTATCAACATTACAGAAATATACAGCAACATAAAGTCAACTACAGAGGAAATTAGCAATAAGGGAGGCTGTGCTGCTGGTAAAATTATAGCCCCTTTCAGACATGCACTTCTACCCAGGTATTTACTGGCAAGTAAGGTTAGTGTGAATGCGAGTCGGATTTAAAATCCAGGTGAAGTTGACCCAGCAATGCACAGGTGTGAAAAGAAGCCAACACACAGTCGGGAAAAACAGCAACATCTAGATATTGCCAACTCAGTACAATGGGCCTCATTTACCATTAAATTCTTCTTAAATGTGTTCTTGAGTAAAGTGTTAAGAAAAAGTCTACGTCAGATTCATGACGTGTTCTTAAACCACAGAACTGTTATAGTCTTTGCGTTCTTGAGTGTGTAGATACTGTTCTTACCTAAATACAAATCCCAAAAAAAGAAAACATTAATTAATGTCAGAATCTTCTTGAAAACTGCGTAAGTGGGTTTTAAGAAGAAATGTCTTCTTAAGAACAGTTGGTGAATGAGGCTAAATATTCCTGTGAGAATTTAGTTTAACAAATTGTTTTGTTTTTGAACACGAGCCAGGGTGGAAAGCTCAGTAAAGTTTCCCCGTCAGCGTACCTGCACGAGACCTAGTACAATTGCTGGGTAACTACCGGGACAGCTCATGTGTGAAAAGAAGCCAATATATTACCAAGAAATACAGCAACATCTAGATTACAGCTGACTAAGTAGAACTTTGCGGTGACAACTTAGTTCAACAGCTGAGTTTAAAGTTTTCACAAGAGAAAAAAGTTGAAAATTGTGGGAGTGTGTTTTGTTCATGATTCAGAAACGAAACAGCTGTTAGCCATTCATGCTGAGGATGTTATGTCCTGTTTACCGGACATTTCAGGACATGTATGAACACATGCCTCCCAGTAAGATACAGTTTAAAAGCTGAATGTATGAATGACGCAAAGTCCGAACATTACCAGTAAAAGTATTTAACCGGTACAAGTATAAAACCTGTTAATGTCCCAGGTCATAATGGTTTCAGCTTAAGCAGTAAACACTGACTCCTAAATATACAGCAAACTTTATGCAACCGCTTTCTGCTTAACACCATTACCTTCAACATGAAGTCTCGCAGATGTTCTAATGTGGTCGTCATCTGCAACAACACAGCTGTACTCTGCCTCGTCACTCATGTTAATGATCAGCACAGACAGGAAGTGCACCTTTCTGTCAGAGTGCATTCTGTACTTGTCTCCAGAGAAAATCTCTACATTGTTCTTCAGCCATCTGACCTTGACAAAAGGCTCATTAGTCTCACATTCAAAGGTCACCATGGTGTCCTTCTCTTTGGCACTTTGGTCTTCTAGTACTTGAGTAAATGAAATGACTTGTTTTGCTGAAAGGAATAATGGAGATAAAGAAAAAAAGAAAGTAAGAAAGACAGAAAGAAATTACACTGACAGTTCATTTCAGGCACATTCTTTTGTTTTATACTCAAAAGTGGTAAAAGGTTTTTACCTTGAACCAGCAAGAATGCATGGCTTGAGGTCTCTCCTGCAACATTCATGGCTTTGATCATGATGCTAGCTGAATCTTCAGCAGACACATCTTTAATGACCAGTTCACAGACATGGTCCTCAGGCCAATGCCAGTAAATATGGTTTGATTTCTCCATCAAAACTCCATTCTTGAACCACTGGCACTCTGGATCTGGTCTACCAACCACTCTGCAACGGAAGCGCACTTCATCGCCGAGAGCAACTGTCTGACTCTGGATACGTTCCAGAATTTTTGGAGCTTCCATACTTGGTGAAAGCACTACTTTCTCTGGTTTGAATTTGGGAGCGGTGACTTTTCGCTCCTCTTCTTTTTTCTTTTCAGCCTCAGTCAGTTCTTTGGTATGATGAAGGAGTTCTTCCTTCCTCTTCCTAAGCATGTCTTCATAGGACTCATCCTTTTTCCGGGACTTGAGTTCAACTGCAGTGATTGCTTCATAGTAGCCCTCCTGAGTCCTGCGTTTAAATTTGCTTCTCAGCTCTTCGGTTTCCTCTGTTAATTTCTCATGAATTACCCTCTCGGTTTTCCTCAGTTTCACCACCTCTTTGGCCTCTTTTGATGGTTCTGTGGGCTTCTCAGGTTTAACAACCTCAAAGGATACTCTGCCATGCTCTTGAACCACAGGTGCAGGAGCCTTAATTTCTGGTGCTCGACGCAGAACAGTGCGGAAGTCCTCCCTCTGCTTAATCTCAAACTTCACAACATGCTCGACTGCACCTTCAGGGTTCTCTGCCACAACCTTGACATCACCAGAGTCATAGGATTTGCTATCCATGATCTCCAAGTAGTGAATACCATCATACTGTAGCCTGAATCTTTTGCTCTTGCGAATAAGCTGTCCATTGAGGTACCAGTTGACCTTGGGTGTCGGATAGCCAGTCACTCTGCAGCGGAATTTAGCATTTTCCCCCTCCTGTACTCTTACTGGCTCCGGAAGCAAAACGATCTCAGGTTTCATTTTTTCTGTTGTGTCATCTCCTGTAACTCCTGAAGGACCACCCTCATGAGCAATGCGCTCAATTTCATCTATTCTCAGTCCCCTCCTACCCTCTGGTAACTGGCTTTCCTCAACAAGACTCTTCTCATCTTTCACGATAAGGGTAGCAGAGGTCTGGTCAACACCAAACTTGTTGGTGGCTCTGCAGGTAATAACACCACTGTCTCTGGCATAAGCGGCTTCATAGTCAAGGCTGCAGTAACCAAACTCATTGACCATGCGTAGTCTGTTAGCAGCTGCCAGGGGCTTGCCATCGTGCAACCACTCAACAATCATTGTGGGGTCACCAATAGGGGTTAGTCTACAATCAAAGTGCACAGGGCCAAACTGCTTAAGTCTGACTGAAGTCAATTTCTTTTTGAAGTGAGGCTTCTGCTGCTTCTCTTTGTCGTAAAGGTCACCCTCCTCCCATTGTTCCTGACCATAGCGGAGATGCAGGGGCTCCAACTCCGGTGCAGCAATTTCCTTAGCCTTGTAAGTTCCTTTAGGAATGATGAGTTTTCTCTCTGGCTGAGGCTCCACTGCCTCTACCTCGACGTTGACTCTGCAGCGTGTGGTATCTCGGCCAGCTTTGTTTATAGCTGTGGCTGTATACCAGGCACTATCAGAACCAGAACTCTGGGGGATCTTAAAATGACCCTCTCCCTTGCCACCCTCAATCCTAAAATACAAACATAATTTCAGTTGTAGCAGATTGATTGTCAAAACAGGTCATCATTACCTCTTCCATTTTATTATACTTTAAGGCAATATATCTGCCTTATCGTAACAGTATCTACTGCCAGAGCAAGTACTCACTTGATATTTGGGTGTTTGTGTGGTGAGATAATATCACTGTTCTTCAGCCAGACAATGTCGGGAAGGGGGTTTCCGATTGCTTTAACAGCCAACTCTACCAAACTGCCCTCCTTAACGCTGATGTTCTTCAGTTTCTCAACAAACTGAGGCCTCACCAAGTTTTCTTTTGCTAAAAATTAACATGAAAAAAAAACATTTAATTTTCAGAACATTTGGTCAGCAACTCATTACTAATACTTGGATGCTATCCAACTAATATAAACTAACATAAACTAATTTCCAGCACACCTTCTACAGTGAGAGTCATAGAAACTGAGGTTTTTCCAGCTCTGTTCTGAGCAACGACTGTCCATTCTCCAGAATCATGAGGCATGGCAGGAACCACAATCAAGGACTGTGTTCCATCTTCCTTCACCACAATCTTGTGGGTGTAGTCATTAACCACTTGTTGTCCTAATATAAAGAAAAATGTGTTAACGCAAAAAATCAGAATTAAAAACAAATGATGCTTCTAACCCACTCCAACAATTCTAGGGTATTTCCACTTACCATTATGGAACCAGAAAGTGTCAGGCATGGGTCTACCAACAACTTTTAGATCAAATCTTGCAGTTTGACCCTCAGAGCACCTAACCGATGATGGCTTTGTGACAAATACAGGCTTATAAAGCCTCTCAAGCTGGGCTTCATCAGTCTCATCCAGCCTACGAGCAGGTGAACGTCCAGGGGAACGACTTGTGGAGCGTGGTGATGTGGACCTAGAATGTATTACAAGCACAATTCATCAGTGAGAGCATCATCATCTACATAACATTTTGCATATCACATTCACTCACATGGATGTGAAATGATACTTATATCTTAAAAGTTCAGTATGCTTTTCTACAGAAGTAATATGAAGTCAATCATCAAACAAAACATACCTGATTCTCTGAACTGCTTCTGACTGAGGGGGCTGTGTCTGTGGAATAGCTTGATCTACATACAGCTTCCCAGAGCTGACAGCATTACCCTTCATGTTGCTGATCAAAGCAGTATAGACACCCTCATCTTCTGGGAGCACCACAGGAAGGCGCAGACTGGCTCTACCATCCTGAAGAACCTCAATCTGATAATGATCTCCATGCTTGATACGCTTGCCATCTTTGTACCAGGCAATCTGTAAATTGTGACATTGAAAAAAGAAGAACATGGGTGTAGAGAGTATATAAATGTAATAAAGGGTATATATTTTTATATATGTATACACCGATCAGGCATAACATTATGACCACCTCCTTGTTTCTACGCTCATTGTCCATTTTATCAGCTCCACTTACTATATAGGAGCACTTTGTAGTTCTACAGTTACAGACTGTAGTCCATTTGTTTCTCTGCATACTTTGTGAGCCCCCTTTTACCCTGTTCTTCAGTGGTCAGGACCCCCCATGGACCCTCACAGAGCAGGTACTATTTGGGTGGTGGATCATTCTCAGCACTGCAGTAACACTGACCTGGTGCTGGTGTGTTAGTGTATGTTGCGCTGGTACAAGTGGATCAGACACAGCAGTGCTGCTGGAGTTTTTAAACACCGTGTCCACTGACAGTCCACTCTATCTGACACTCCTACCTCGTCAGTCGACCTAGTAGATGTAAAGTCAGAGACAATAGCTCATCTGCTGCTTTTTTTTTTGGTTGGTGGACTATTCTCAGTCCAGCAGTGACACTGAGGTGTTTAAAACCCCAGCAGCACTGCTGTGTTTGATCCACTCAGACCAGCGCAACACACACTAACACGCCGCCACCACGTCAGTGTTACTGCAGTGCTGAGAATGATCCACCACCCAAATAGTACCTGCTCTGTGAGTGTCCATGGGGGTCCTGACCACTGAAGAACAGGGTGAAAGGGGGCTAATAAAGCATACAGAGAAACAGATGGACTACAGTCTGTAACTGTAGAACTACAAAGTGCACCTATATAGTAAGTGGAGCTGATAAAAAGGACAATGAACAAAGAAACAAGGATATATATATGCGTGTGTTTGCGTGTGTGTGTGTGTGAGTGATCTACCTTAGGAAGTGGAGTTCCTGTCATTTTGAAGTGGAAAGTGGCACTCATTCCTTCCCTGAGTCTGTAATTCTTCACAGGAATGTTGAAGACTGGGGACACAGCCTCGTGTTCAGAAATGCTCACATCCATCTGCTCCCCATCCTCAATCAACAGTTCCTGGTATGTAATCTTAAGAAGACGTAACTCAATCTCATAGACAAACCTCTGCTCTGCAGTAGATATTTGAAACTCCTGTGGAACAAAATAACACATTTAGGCATAATCCTAAAAAATAAAGAGCTTTGTTTGAAATGAGGAGACAGCCTTAGGTTTACATACTTGCTCAGAAGTGAAGGACCGCATCATTTGTGCCTGCTGTGCCATCCTCCTCTGAATGAGTATTTGCTCTTTTTCAGTTTCACTTACAACTACAGGTGGCATATCTGCCACTCTGGGCTGCTGCTCCAGTATAGTGGTCACTTCGGTCTTGTATGTCATTTCCTGTTCCTTTAGATAAGCTTCATATGTCTCTGTAATTAAAAAAAAAAAACATTGTAACATTATTTTATATTTGATTGATTTATGGAAAGACATTTTGTATTTATGAGGGTCAATGACATAACAAAATACATGATATCACAATTTTACTTTTTCAGTGCATGAAACTAAAATTAATTTCATTACAAATTCTAAAATGTCTGGTGGTGCAACCATCCAACACATATGCATTTTAAGTAAACTACTAAAAAGGGTAATTTTGTCCTTGAGTAAATGAAGGTCTTTATGGGTGTCCAATTACAAAGACTAGTTTATAAATTTGTTCAGTAGTGCTAAAAAAACTTTAAACTACAATATTTTTATTAATGTGCGGTTGTGCAATCTTTTCTTATTGATTCTGCTTAAAATTATTAATGAAAAGCTATAAAAAATATATCACTAAATGCAATAGTTTCTTGCAGATACAATCAATCAATCGATTAACCTTTATTTAAACTCGGAATACATTGAGGGTGACCTTCATATACAATGTAGCCGAGCCAGTACAGAAATCGGGGATTGAAAAAACTAGACTATAAAAACATATCTTCTTCTTCTTCTTCTTATTATTATTATTATTATTAATAATAATAATAATAATAATAGTAAAAAGATCAACTAAATTATTAGAATTGTACAAATAAAAGACAAAATCAGATTAAATTAAATAAGAAACAAAGTATCAGAAAATGTAAAACTATGACTAAAATACAAAATATATATATAATAACTGTAAAACAATAACTAGAACATAACAAAACCAAATTAAAAGTTAACTAAAATAGCAGGCTGAGTGGAGGTGGTTAGAGACTTAAAGCTTTAAATGAAAATGTACATTATATTCTTCTTAATAAGAAGCCTTATTTGTCTTTGACCCATGTATGTGATCTTACAATGTAGGTATGACCAACCTTCATCAAGCAGCATGGCTGAGGCAGATACCTCTCCAAGCTGATTCCTGGCAAAGACTGTATACTCTCCAGCATCATCAGGGAATGTCATGGAGATCTCCAGTTTGCATTGTCCTGTCTCCTTTTTGTATGCAACTCTATATCTGGTGCATCGAAAAAAAAACGGCAAAGTATTACAATTTAGGTTTCAAAGATTTTGCTACCAGTGCTACCAACATTTTATTTATTCTGCTGAAAAATACCTATATCCAGTGGTTAGTGGAACTCCACTCTTCTTCCAGTAGATGTGGGGTTTGGGGCTGCCTCCAATCTGACACTCAAAGACAACACTGCCACCTTCTACCAGTTTCTGCACAGTGGGCTTTTTCACAAAGAAAGGAGCCACAGCTGCTCCAGCTTCCACAGACTCTGACACAGCACTCACTTCTGACATAGTCTCCTCTCTGGCTTCAATGCTGAAACGATATTTTGATACCAGTGAATTTAAATTCATTACACAAAGTGAACGGTTCTGCATTACGTTCTGCACATAAAGCACAACAAAGAAAGAAGTAAGCACTGTGAGTAAAAATAACACAAAAAATTGTTCACTCACTGTCTTTCATGGGCGGATATTTCAATGTGTTCTGAGACAGCAGTCAAATCTTCCCTGCTCTCAATTTCCTCAGACACTGTAAAAAAAGAAATAATTAATTTCTGTTTGCAAAAACCTCCAGCCTATGATGTGATATATCATGTAATTCATACCTTTGACAAGAAGGTAACAAGAGGTGCTGATTGTTCCAGCCTCACTGGTGGCGGTGCAAGTGAAACGGCCACTATCCTCAGCAAAGGCCTCACGGATCACTAAGCGGGCAAAGTTATTCTCGTATGTGATCTGGAAGTCAATGGAGCTCTCAATCCTGTAGTCTTCTCTGAACCACATAATGCCAGGTGTGGGGTGGCCTGAGATCTGGCACTCCAGAGTCACAGACTCTCCCTCAGTAACGGTCAAGTTCTTCAATCCCTGAATAACAGAAAGGGGATTAAGCTGTTTTTTCAAGACAATAAACAGCAAAGTAATGCAATGTATATACAGCCTTTTAAAAATGGTTATAAGTATGAATGTATAGCCTTTTATAAATTATGTATTTCTCATTGTGTTAATAAGATCAAAGAAAAAAACAAACAAGCTATATAGCACACATTGAGCCAAGAGGTTTAAAAATGCATTTAAACTGTATACATACAGCAACAATAGTTGGTGGCATCACTTGCTCTTGTGTATGCGAAGGGATCACTGCAGCCTCTACCACCTGCAAAATATCACAGTGTTAAAACTGATGCAAGAACTTAACCCAGGATTCCCAAATCTTATGGACTCACAGTCACTCCACATTTTTTGTCCTTTTTTGCTCAATTCTCTACTGTAGAGCTGTAGATAGATTACCTCTGATTTCAAGCCAGAATAAACCAAAAATATGGACTGGCTGCTTTGCCCCCCAACCCCTCTGCCCTCCCTCAGGTTACCAATCCCTCAAGCCATGATGAAGAAGATTTTGAAGAGATGAGAAGGAAAAGAAGCAGCAAATATTTTTCAGTACAGCAATGATTGATGGGTAAGAGTAAGAAGTAAGAAAGCACGATTCCTTGGTGGAGCAGGGGAGATCTGTAAGGGAGAGGACTCAGAAGTGAAGCAAGAGCGACCACTTGAACCACTCAAATGAAGCTTTGCTGTTAGGTAAGTTAGTTATAATGACCAAGCCCACACAACGAACCTGTGCATCCCAACTGCCATATGATTGTGCCAACCCCCCTGTAAATGAAGTGCCTATATCCTTCTGTACATGGTGGTCATAAATGGACTGATAACTCTCAGTATGGTCTCTAAAGGGAGGATGGGATGGCTCTTGAGTCACTTTCATCTCCACAATCTCATAAGACGGCGGCTTGACGGACTTGATGATCTTTTGAGCTGTGGAGGTAGAGGACAGCTCTTTCTGCAGGGTGGCAATAGCAGAGCCTGCTATTGAAACCTGACCAACCCAAGGAGAGCAGCGTTAACACCATGAAGCAAAAAGACACGTTTAAGTAATAATTTAATCTAAGAAAATGGTTAAATCAGTTCACATTGAAAGTGCATTTTGCTAATGAGATCAAGAAAATAAACATACAAGTTTTCTAAAGTTCCAACTAGATGTATGAGCTATAAAGTCAGAGACCACTCTTCATTTTTATTTTTATTTTTTTAATGTCATAATGGCCATAGAGTACAAGATACAACATTTTTCAGGAGATTAGCTATAAAATAATCCACTCGCATAAGACAAGGTAAAGTCAAAGAATGGGGCTCCTAACAACCACCTGGAAGACCTGGTGGACACCAAAACTGCCCCCATCAGATAAACAGCACTTAAAGCTTTCATCTTTGAGAGAGGAGAAAATCAAGCTGCTTCAGATCTGAAAACATCCACAGGTGTTTCTGTCCATCCTTCCACTGTGAGAAGACGACTCAGTGCTATGGGTCTGAAAGGATGGGTAGCTGTCAAGAAGAACCTCACTGAGAAAAGGAAATTTGTAACAAAGGAAGCACATTTGCAAATCAACCAAAGACGCTGCTGGTATTCTTAGAACAATGGACTTTACCACCCCCAGTGAGTCCAGACCTCAACATTACTGAATGTATTCAGGATTCCTTTGATTGTGAGAAGCAGAAACTTCAACCAAGACTGAACTTTGGAGGAGAGGAAAAATATCCCTGCAGATTTCTCTGAATAACTGAAAAGAATGTGAAACTTTAAAAAAGCTGCAATAAAGGCAAAAGGTAGATACACTAAATACTGAAAAAACTGGTATTATATTTATTGGTCGACACGTTTGTATAATTTACTGTTAAGTATATGTTTTCTGCTTTTTTTCCTGATGTTGAAAAATGAACAACTTGTACTTAATTGCTTTGACTGAAAATTAAATAAATACATGAATGGTGGTCTCTGACTTCTGCACAGTATTATAATTTAGCATATTAAATGACACATGACTTTATATATCATTTTCAATTTAAAAAATAGTTCAATCAAAGGATAATTAATGCTTCAGAAGATAAAGGGTAAGCGGTGACCTATGCTTATCACCTCTCAGCATGTCGTTCTATTTTAAGACCATCACATGGCATGTTATCTCCGAATTGAGTGGCCAGCATTTGTGCCCATCCATCTCATGTTTACTTAAAATACAGCACCCTAAACTGAGCCACACTAACAATCTGAATGAGGGGACAAAATCTGGTATCACGTCATTAGACGTTTAGGATGTTCATTATATTAAATAATTGCAATCTGCTTATTATTAAAAGCTACTGTCAATACTTTGTTTAAATACTGTAAATTGTTTACGTGTACTGTAAGATATTTGAGCTGAGCTTGATACCACCCATGCTTACCTCATGGCTATGATCTGGTTTAGGAACAGTAACTTTAGAAACTGTGAAATGTGGAACTGGTGATGGGGCAAGGCCAGTATCCACCTGGGATGCAATCTCTTTAGTTCTTTGAATCTAGAGAAATCCACAGGGTAAATATACATTTGGAATTGCTACGTATTAGAGGTGGGCGATATGGCAAAAATATAATATAACGATATTTCGAGAAATTTTCACGATTCACAATGCCATGATATTTATTTTTTCAGACATCTAATCAGTTGGAAAAGAGAAAAAAGAACAGTAGTGCTACATCTTTAAAAATACTGTTAAAAACTGTGATCACAATGATTTTTATTCAAAATTTGACAAAATGCATTGCACTAAATCCAGCTAACTGGGACTAAATTTGGGACTAAGTACTGACAATATGCACAATATGTTCAGAAAAGCATACTGCATTGTATTGTAACATAATTAATCAGAATTACGATATATATTGTCATATTGCCCAGCCCTACTATATATACATATATAGAACTAAAATACAACATATTACTTCTCAAGATGCCCTCTAACCTGAGAGATATGGTCCGTGGTGGTTGCATGTGTAGCAGTGGGCATGTGCACAGCCTTCGTTCTCATTGTTTTAGAAGCGGCCTGCTGCCCCACACTTAGTTTGACTTGCTGGTTTAACTCATGTTCTAAGAATCTTTCTTCAACACGATCACCCTCAGCATGCATACGGCCGTGTGAATAGCCTTGGTCTCCAGGAATAAGCACTGCAGTCACAGCACCTGGTCTTTTTCCACCCTAAGCACAAGAAGCCCTGATTGAGGAGACTGAAGTACAAGAAGCTAAGATTGATAAGACATGACGATTTGGCACAATAACACTGTAAAAAGTGAGTTCTAAAATGATGGTGAAATGGAAAACCCTCTGATGAGTGACATATCCAGGTGAGTTATTGGGTTTTGCTGAAATGACTCAATACACCTTCAAACAACGTGATATACAATCCATGCTTAGTGTTCAAACAAAAGTGACAGTGGTGACCAGTGGTGCTTAAATAATGCAGGAGCAGCTTGTGACCACAATGCCATTTGGCAACAACTCTCCAAGGTGTGAAAAAGTGACAGAAAATTGCCCACAAAACCACATTAGCCTTGCTACCTCATCCAGAAAAGCCCACATTTCTGTGTCAGGGATGCTGTCTTCTACTGTTTGTCCTGCTAGAGCACCATCAAGATCACTCTCATCATTCTCATTAAACTCCGTTGGATTCATCATGGCTGTAGTGACCTCAACATCTGACCCCTATATTTTCCAAACATTTGAAGCATCAAGATGGCTCAGCTTACAATATATCAAATTTAAATACATTACTGTTTGCAATTAGGGGAGGGCAGCAGGGCAAAAATATAACCACTATATTTCAGGAAATTTTGTGATACATTGTATGCAACAATATTTATTTTTTCTGATGTCTGATAAAGTAGAACAGACAAAAACAATCCAGTGGAGCCAGATATAAAAATGCCTTTTTAGAACTGGAGCAGCAAGACTAACATTACAAACTTACATATCGCTGTTGTCGTAAGAAAATCTCCAAAATGATAACTTTACAGGACAAGGAAAAAACATACTTTACTTTTAATGCAAGTCAATGGAACCAGACTTTCCTCCAAGTCATTTTGGGTCATTTCTTTTGGTCCATTCTTTGTGAAATTTACACACAATGTAAAGGGCAACAGGCATTTTCAAATTATGTCAAAAACTGAAAAATGACAAAAATGGAGACACAAGGTTTTCTTCTAACAGCAGCGATATACAAAACTTTCTCAACCCGCTCAAAACAGATCCAGGCCTTCATTAAGGGCGCAAAGACTTAGTGTTGTGATTTAGGACACAGTGTGACTGCAGACTGCCACTTTAGACATCAGGGTCTGTATCACAAACCACTTTAGGAGGAGGAGTGCCTATCCAGAATCAGTATTTGTGAGAATGACCATCATAAATGCATTAGAATCTGGCTGCCCATAATGGAGACATTTTGTTCATTTTTATGGCTCACACTAAGTCATGCTGTGCTCGAAACCACACTGGCAAGTCTGCACAACCTTACTGAAGACCTGGATGTGGTTTGAGTGGGTTGAAAGAAGCTTTGGGGATGCACTGGCAGGAATGATTTGAGCTAATTGGGTGACTCCTGAGTTCTAGTGTTAGCAATGTTAGCCTTACCGCTCCAGTTCTAAACTAAAAAAGAAAAATTCCAAATCTGGCTGATTAACTACACCTGAGATAACTGGAAAATTGGGCAAATTAAATTTTTCGTCAAACCATTTTTTTAAGTACTGAAAATATCAATGATAAACTCAGAAAAGCAATGATAATAATGATAATAAAGTCATATTGCCCACTCCTATTTACAACAGCACAACAGTCATACAGCTCTATTTAATGTTTTAACTACAACACTGTTTAAAAGGCAAACACAACACATAAAGTGACTCTGCATTAGTACCTCCAAGTCATCCTCACTTATTAATGTATTACAAGTGGTCTTCTCTTTGAAAATGCTTTCAACGTTGGGCATGTGCTCAACACTGCTTTCAGTGTCATCCAACTGTTCAGTGAAGTTCTTAGTATCAATCGCACTAGCAACAGTGTGCACATGTTCTCTCTCAGTGGAGGTTTCACCACCAACAGTGTCTGAAAATTCACTGATGTTTTCAATGTTGCCATCCCTAAAGATCTTTTTTGCAGGGTCAGTCATAGCCTACATATGTACACGAGGAGAAAAATGTGTACAGAACTGAATTGACCAAGATTAGATTAGAAAATTAAGAGTAGTGACAAACTGGGAGCAATGGGAACTTATTGTTATATTAAGAAGAGACATACACAAAGAAATTTGTGCTGGAGGTGAGCGGAGTGGGGGGGAGGCGTGCACAAACCAATTCAACTACCTGCTCTTGAAAAGATAAGAACTGTTCAGTTGACCAAGTTGCCTCTGCACTGGACAGCTCAATATTATCACAGTGTGGCTGGTGACTTCGTGCCTGGTCCACTGCTGCTACCACAGTAGCAACAGCAATAGATTTGTCATCCATTCCATGCTGACCCTGTTCACATTGTTGAGATGCAATCAAGCACAAGCAACCTTGTAAACCCTCTAAATAAACACTAAATCCTGAACCGTGACAATTCATGGTAACAATCATTCATACTCAGTTTAAGTATATATTTATGACAACATATACAAAGGGTGATTCAAAAAGATTCATCCGATTTCAAAGCGCCATATTTTTGCAGCCGTGAGGCATCTAGGAACCAATCACATACCAACTGAAAGAGTGAAAGAGGGGGTCAGAGTTTCTGGCTGTCACCAGAAGACGGCTCCCTTCAGTCTGTGAGGAGATGAGCAACCGCTGAGCAGAAAGTGTTTTGCATTCTCCACTTCAATAAGAGTGAATCCGTCATAACTGTGCAGTGTGATTTTCGTCGGCAGTGAACCTCCAACAGCTCAGAGCGTTCGTCGTTGGTTCCACAGCACTGGATGATCTCCGAAATCGCACTGAAAGAGCCGTGAGCGCAGCGACACCCGACTTGCTCATTTGAGTATGGGATGAGTTTGACTATGGCGTTGATGTTGTCTGTACAGCTGGGGGAGGTTCATACTGAGCACTTGTAAAATTACATAATAAACTTTATGTTCACTTACACCATTTACTGCATTGTTCTGGAATGATACAAGTGAAATAAATCATTTTGAAATCAGATTAATCTTTTTGAATCACCCTGTATATAGTTATATAGACAACCAGCTATACTTTTGTTTGTTTCATTTGCTTCTGGCACCTCTTCCTTCATTCACACTAATGTCATCACCCAGATGCACTTCCCAGCTTTCAACACTGGAGGACGCTCAAACGTACATGGAAGTATCCTTACCTGTTTGACAGTGGCTCCGCTGACCTGACCAGCAAAAGAGGTTTCCCACTGTTCCTTCTGAACATGTGCGGTAGAAGTCTGGACATATGTGGCCCCGGTAGCCATAGTAGTGTACTCTGCGACATAGCCTTCCTGCTTCCATGGAGGCAGCACTTCAGCTCCTGTTGTGACCTGCCTGCGGGTAGTTATTGGAGACTTCACTGGTCTGATAGGGGACACAGACAGTCTTGAAGTTGGTGATGCAGGTCTAGAAAAGAGCATTTTTTTTTTATTTTATCTAGTCCCCTTATTGTATGGCTGGTAACAATTTATGATAACAGCTTCTATAATAGCAAGTTAATCAATGTCTAATAGTTTGTTAATGACAGTTACTAATTATGCAATTGTTACTTATGCGTTAATAAGTGCTACCATTTGAATTGTTAACTGTTCACTTAGTGCTATACAAGTAATTAAAGCACTGTAGATGTTTTCAGTAATGTGTTATATATTCGAGTGTAATCAGTAATGTGGTAAATCTATATAAACACATTATAAAGTCACAACTCTATATTAGTATCAGAATTAATGATTATTAACGATGCTTAAAAAACATATATACAATCTTATGTAAAAACACACATTTTGTTGATTTTCTATGTGAAAGTAAGTTAACACATCCTCTACAGAGAAGGCACTTAAATATGGCATTTGTTTGCATTTTTTAGAGCGCAATTTCTATTTATTAGTTGAGTTTAATATATTAGAAAAATATAAAATGTGCCATAATTTTGCACAGGCCAAATGTTATGTTTTGTTTTTTTCCTACATGTTAAATTCAGCAAATAAACAGTAATCGTGCATTAAAAAGTGCAGAAGTGTGTTCTCTGTGGAGGATATGTAACTTATTTTCATTTAGAAAATCAACAATACATCTGACCAGGGGTGCCCAAACCTTTGTATAAGATGGTACACTACTTAATCATTTAAAACAGGATGCAGACCATTTATTCATATTATGAAACAACTATGTAAATACGTAATACTTCAAGCTATAGTATTTTTGAGAAACAAATTAGTAAATCATTATTAACAAACTATAATCAATTATTTGATTTCTACAATTCAAAATATTTATTGATTATTCATATGTCATTAAATAAATGGTTAATAATTCAAAGAGTAGCACTTCTTAATGCCTAAGTCACAATTATATAATTAACAGCAATCATTAACAAACTATTAGATAATGATTTTGCTATTTAAGCTAATAGTTAGGTTTAAGTTGCTCAAGATGACAATTATTATTATTATACTATAAAATAAAAACCATCATATCACTTTCACCCTTTATTTTATTTAATATCACACTGGATTCTTTATTGTTCATGACTACATAAAAATGCTAAATAGCAAGTAAGGAAATACAACTAATTAAAATCACATTACCTAACAGGTGCTGGGGCGGGAGCCTTAACATGTCTCACGGGGGAGGGGGACTGGTGGCGAGCAGCTGCGATCTTTGATACCACTGATGGAGGTGTGGGGGACTTGGAGCTTGGTTTTGGAGGTATACGAGGGGGTGTCTTGTGAGCCAAATGCTGAATCTCAACACCTCCCTCCATTTCCATTTCCGTCATGGCTGTGGACTCAAAACGAGCCTCCATTTTCTGTGAATGAAACACACCACTGTATTACCGTTTGATCTTTTTATGACAGTCAGAGGTGTCGGTTTGACACCTATAGACTTGCTTGCTCATTGCGTCACATCATCATGTGCCACCCATGCAGTTTACAACACAAAACTAAAAGTAGTTAAAGAGGAAGACCACTGATTTTTCAAAATGTCTGGTTGAGAAGTAAACAAAGTCATTCAGAGTGGTTTAACATAAAATGGGTCATTAGTAGAGAAATTAACCACCTCAGATTTCTTTACAGTGGTGCTGATAGGAACTAAGGGTCACCATGACTACAACACATATATTTTATTTACTATCGTCCTTACTACACGTCCTTTAATATGTAATGTTGATGACGGTAAAATAGTCATAAATCTGAAAGAAAAAAAAAAAAAAAACATTTTCTTTGGGGACTATTTTGCCTTAAGACATCATTCTTGTATTTAAATAAATTGCTAAAAATACATTTTAGGCCAAAACATTGTCACAAAACTACCATAAAAGAACGTCTCAGACATCAAGCTGAGTATTCATAACCATTTCATGTCATAACTTTCTGTGAGGGTGGACGTCTGGTTCCTGTCACCACCACCGTGAACAATTCTGACTCAGTTTCTCTGGAACAGAGCATTTCGCACCAAACCACTCTGAATGACTTTACATTTTAACCATTTAACAATGCAAGAATTTTGAATTCCCCTTTAACAAAGTGAGTACTGCAACCACAGTTCTGTATATGATTATATAGTGCCACGTTAGTTTGTGCATTTAATCATGCTTTAAAATTATTTCCAAAAGGTTCTGCCTTGTTTTCACTTCAAACAGAACAACTGTATGGATCCTGATTACCTTTTCCACTCTAGTTTGGCGAGTCTGTGAAATCTCAGCAGTCGAAACAACTGTCTTAGTCTTCTTAGCAGGCACTACAACCTCTTCACCTGCAAGTGAATTAATATAACAACATGATAAGACTCCACCAAACATACTGACCCATGCAACTGTACCTTAAACATAAATCGAATATAAATGATTCAGCTGTTAAATGTTAATAAACTTACTTTGAACCAAAAGTTCAGCAGTAGAGGTAGCACGTCCACTGCTGTTAGACGCATTGACAGAGTACGTTCCAGAGTCTTCAGGGAAGGCCTCGGCAATCAACAAGCTGTAAAGGTCTCCTTCTTGAACAATCTGAAAGTCAGCGGAGCTCTGAATCTCAGCTCCCTCTCTGTAGAACTTTACCACAGGTGTAGGGATTCCCGTAACACGAACATCCAGTCTTACTTGGCTTCCTTGTCTCACGGTCATGCTTTGTAGTCTCTGAATGAAAGTTGGTGGTGCAGTTTCCGCTGTGAAGAGAACACAACATTAGATCTCACTTGCTAATCCACAGAGTTGGAATATGTCGTTCATCATTGTCGCAACTCCTGCATCTGCATTAATCTGTTTTGTGCAGGTGGACTACGAGTTATTATTGGGAAACACTGGAGAAATTTAGTCACCTGTAACCAGCAGTTCAGCGGTGCTAGTGGCTTGTCCAGCGCCATTGGTGGCTCTCACAGAAAATCTTCCGCTGTGTGCGGCTGTCACGGCGGGGATCCTCAGAACAGCGCGGCCTTCGCTGAACGAGATCTGAGCGCCGGGCAGAGCGGCAGCAGTAAGAACCTGGCCATCACGAAACCAGCTCACCTCAGGAACTGGATTACCTGGAAAGGAATAGACAAAACAGTTTTAACAAACTGCAAATATGTTGCATTTTTCAGTACATCTTCAAATGATTTACTTTTAAAATGTATCACTTAATTTTCTACTGAATTTTCTTTGTTTCTTTTTGTTAAACGCAGGAATCGGTGAGTAATAACAGATAGTTATGTATATAAACAAACAAACAAACAAACAAACAATGTACCACACGAACATTTAACTTTTGCTTACCACTAACTTGAGCTTCGAACGTTGCAGCACTACCCTCAAGTGCCACAACGCTCTGAAGCGGTTGTGTAAACGTCGGAGCCTGCGTTGACATGGTGGTAGGCACCCTAAAAAAACAACAAGAACCACAAAATAAATAACTTATGGACTTCCAAGCACACCTTCTCAATGAAAACCACATACGTCTATGAAAAACCACTCAAGTTTATTTACTGTTTAAAAAGTTTGGAATCACTTGTCATATTAATACCTTATACAGTGTGTACCACAGTGCAAGTTAGATACCAAAAAAGAATTTCGATATGTTTTATTAATGTTTTTTAGGGACAGCAAAAGCTTATTGAATACTATTCTGTAAATATATATTTACAGTAATTTCTTCAAGACATTCCAAATTTTGTTCTGTTTAATTTTATCATAACTTAATTCTCAATGTTAAACAGCTTTCTATGGACTACAGCTCTGTTCGTCATTATGGATGCCAAAATGCCTGTTTACTGTTTTGTACAAATATCTGTATGTAAGTTAAAAGAGAGCTGTAGCATCTTAACAGAATCATTTACCAGCAACAAACTTTGTTTTGTATTAAAGAAAACAGTGACTCCGGAATTTCGATCGATAGTTTATGTTACATGACAATGCAAATGCAGGCAGGCTATTTCCAGTCGCAGAGGAATTAACTGACTAATCACTGAGTCTCTCCCCCACCTCCCTCTGTCCACCTGGCTGCGGGCAGCCTGTCATCTGAGAGATCAGTGGCTCCAAAGGGTCTGAGTGTCACACTAAGCACCTAACTGACAGCTTACAGACATGCGAGTACAACTGCAAGCCGTTATTTCAAGCTCTAGAACAAATCACCTTTCCAGATGCAAATGCACAAGTGCTAATGAATAACAAAGGCAGGCCTGACAAAATATTCCTGAAAATTGCATCCTGCATCCTGGGAAATCAAACAGGAGCACAAAATAGAACGTTCTCCATGATTAGGCCTCATGTAAAATGGCAGCTGAATGAGTATAATCTGTTGTTAACTGTCTCTTTCACTGAAACGTAGTCAATGAAAAATATCTGAAAAATTTACATTTTGTAGCCTCTACTCTCTGTTACATTAAATGACCATCATCAATTAATACAGTTATTCACAAACAAACACAATACCAATTTTGAGATTTCTATAGATTTTTGAAGTATAAATGATTAAGAAAAAACTTTTGAAGAAGTAACTCCCCTCACCACCCTTACAACACCATTCAAATTCTCTATAATTACCACCTACACATAACTCACAGGACTGCCCTGTATTGGGGAGTATCATGTATACATATGTACACTTATTAAAAAGCAGATCAGATATACACTTAAAAGCTGTTCACCATATATACATGATATTTAACTCATGACATACTTCTTTTTCTTGTTAGCCAGTCAGCTTTGAAAATAACCAAATCAAACTATTTTCCTCATCAGATCATTAGTTAGATCCATAGACATCACAACAGTGTTCCCATTTAAAAAATACAACATTATATTTGGATGGCTCTGTGATTGTGGCATGCTTTTGAGCACAGCACAAAGTCAAAAAACAGCATTTCAGTAGCTGAGCAGTCAGTACTTCTTACAGCTCCTGTAATATGTTATTGATTAATACACATTCTTGCAACTCCGCAAGAACACCAAGAATTCCCTATTCACCCTAACGGCTTCCACTGTTCCGTATCATATTGCAATCAGACTGCTTAGGACACCAGAATCTATCTGTGCACTCTATCCATCGCTCAAAAATATCTGGAGGCCCACAGCCTGTCTTGGTCAGAGTAGATTAATTAAACCATTAAACTAAATTTAATTCAATTTAAGTAAAAAAAAATAATTTTAAATAAAAAGTGAAATAATGAATTAATTCAATATTAGTGGTCAAACTCCAATATCAGCCAAATAGTTAATCCATTAATGGATAAGACAATTGAGATTATGTGTTCCCCCACTGACACTATATTACTATCAAATAACTAATTCAGGAAAAATGATCATTATCCAGCCAACAAGAGAGGCTACTATACCAATAAATGCATTCAGTAATCTAAAATGTAGAAATTCACAGCAACAATTTGATTCTTCCATGTGAATTCATGAGAATTCAAATTCAAATTCTTTAATTAAAATTGAGACTGGTATCAGTAACCATCTGTTAAGGGTCAACAGGTGAGTATAGGCCTCCCAGCATACAACAACAATCACAATATCAAAGAGTTCTTTTCAAATCTCCACAAGACAATCACAAGTCTGACTGAAATTTCAAATTCTCGAAAAAGATATTCACAGTAAACTACAAGAGCAGGTCGCATATATTAGGACTGATATCCCGTATGACAGAAATGGCCATCTCCAAAAATAATCGGTCCCTTTACTTGATTGACAGTCACCATGTGGCACATAGCTGGAGGTGCAACTGATAGCCCTGCTGCTGATTCCCTTAAAAAGACATTGTGGCCCAGCTGGAACACCACTCATATGCTATCACAGGCTATTCTTGGCTTTTCTGAAATCATGGCAACATATAGCAACATTGAAGGTTTAAAAAGAAGTAATTTTTGCAGAAACATTTGTAAAAGCAACACAAAACCACTGCAGCATCTCATCAAGCCTCTAAAATCACAACTGAAACGCTGTATACAGAGTAAAGGTGATTCTGTTAAGCTTTATAAAGGCAAAGGTGATATCATGCATCATGAAAAAGTAAAAAGCAAATGAAATGTCTTTCCACAGAGTATATGGCACTTACTTGTATCACAATGGTGCCTCTTATTGATGGGACTGCGCCCAGAAGGCTACCGCCTCAGCAACAATCCTCTTATCCAGAATGTTTCCAGAATATCCAAGGTGAGAACGGTTGAGCCTCAATATGACCCAAAAAACAAAACTACACAGGTTCTAGTCCGTGTAGTTTTGCTTTTCCTTGCAATCCCTACACCCGAGGCAAGGCTGGGAATGCTCCAACTGCTCAGAAGTGCTAACATAGTTGTTTTAGTTTATATACCCCTAGCCTAGCCTGCATCGTCACTCCTTAGCCACTCCCCATTGGTCCCTGTGCCTGTGGAATCATGGGAGAGTGATGCATTTTATGCAACTTTACAAGTGTCACTCACTGATCCCGCTCATCTACTAGCATGATATCTCACACTTGGGATATTCACTTCATTATTGCTGTATTTTGAGTCTCATGCAAGCCAACAGTTATGCTTATGCCTCATTCAAAGATGTGCCATACCGTTTAGACTAGCCCTCATGGCAAGCATTAACCTGTCAATGACCAAAAGGAGAGAGTGGCTGTCCCTGTCACTCAAATAGAAGTCAACCCCCACAGGAAGGGTCAGCTGTAATGAGTGCAGAATAACTACCAACCATGCCTTGTTTTTATGCTTCATGTCTTTTTGTATCAACCACAATTACTTTGTTGTTTTACATATTCATAATGATTCCAATGAAGGAGAGAGCAACAATTTGGCACAATGCTTTTGGACTTTGCTGTTACCACAGGTCAGGGGTGCAAATTTTCACACCAGCTAAAATGTTGGATAACAGACTCTTATAACCTACCTCTTCTGTTTCATACAAAATAACCAAACTAAATGTTCTGATTCATAGTTTTCCTTTAGACTGAGGCATAGAATACAGTGACTGTTTACCCTGACAACAATGACAACCAAAAAAACCCATTCGTTCTTATCTGTATACCTTCCCACAGAATAGACATCATCATCCTTACAACAATAGCGTAAGAACTTAATTCATTGTTAACCTTCAACCCATCTGAATTCATGAATTATTGCATGATTTTTCTTTTTTTATGATATAATTATTATGTAAATGAATTTAAGCTAGGTATGTAATGTAAAATTGGCAACAAAAGTATTAAAATCTTGCCCAGGGCCTAAACAGCTGACCAACCCTCCAAGGTTTGAAAAGTAAAGACTAGTGCTAGTTCTCAATCTAGTATCCAGTATTTTTACTGAGGACATCCTTTGCCAATTTTGTCTTCCCTTTTCAGGTTTCCCACTGCTCTAAGGCCTCATGAGTTACACCAATTCCTTTAGACCCACTTTCCTTTGTTCTAGTTTAAAATATATGCAAATTGCAATGAATAATCAAGAGCTGTAGGCTGTGGTGGAATGTTTTTCTTTTTGGCTAAATAGCATACTGAATTTCATCCCAGTTAAAAGAACAACAGATGTTTTACATGCACAGATTTTTAGGTAACACCTTTGTTTACAATCCTGCAGGTACTTACCAGGTAAGGGTTAGGTCCAAATTATAAAGTACTAGATCAGGGGTCGGCAATATGCTGCTCCGGAGTTGCACACAGCTCTTTTACTGCCCTGTTGCAGCTCCACAGCAGAATTAGATTTTTAGGTAAAAATAAAATAATCCTCCTTTGCAGCAACACAGTTTTAACAATAAATGTTCTTAAAGGCTGGATTTAATGTGTAACTGCTGATTCACCCTTTAACCCTGAAAATTGGAGCGTAGGCTGCTGGTCACCATAGGAATGCAGACAACAGTCTCATCTAGCTAGTAGCTAACAAAAAAGCAAAGAGGAAGAAAGACAAACATCAATAATTTGGAGATGAATGGACTTATTTGCATTTATAATCACTCCAGCTGGTTTCCTGATATGGTTAACCTGCAAAGAGAAACTGTCAAACAATAAAAGTCACGAAGCTGAAGTCAGTTTCTCGTTTGCCACTTTCTTGTTCAAATTTTCCCGTTCCACCTTAAATGGTGCCGCAGTTACATTCTGGCACTTCAGGCACCATTTAAGGTGGAACGGGAAAATTTGAACAAGAAGCTGGTGAATGAGAAGCTGACTTCAGCTTATAAAAATTAATGTTGAGATATTTTAGAATAAACTATTCTACTTGTGTAGAAAAATTTCCTGCCAGAGATGCAAGAAAAGTGGTTATAGTTGAGCTAAAGCTTAAAGCAGAGCAAAGTATTATATTATATTTTTCAGCCTATACTAAGACATCAGCACATACTGAGACATATTTACAGCCAAGATGGTAAAATGGACATAAAATGTTGTGGCTCCCAAGGTGGTTTGATGTGAAATGTGCCTTTCTATATAAATTTTGGAACTGAATCAGAATATCAGAATTGTCCACTCTTCACAAAACTCTGAAGAGTTTAATGCCTTTAAAAGTTTCTTTACAGGAAGTTATTACATGGAATGGTTACAGATATGTTGACTGATACCTGAGAGTTTTACAGTAGTTTTTGGCCTAAAATGTATTTTTTTAATCCTGTCATGGTGGAGAAGTACATGAGGAGTGTATTAAAGCAAAATAGTACTCAAAGAAAACTTTCTTCCCCTAATCATTCTCAACATGATATGTACAAAAGTGAATACACATGTAGGTTCACTGGTGGTTTTGGATAGTAGATAAAACGGCTATATCTGTGTTGTAAACATTGTGACCCCTGCTTTCTATCACCACCACTGTAAAGACATTTGAGTCTCGATAATGAACCATTTCACACCAAACCACTCTGATTCTATTTACATCTCAATGACTGAATTACCCAGACATTTTGACAAGCTGCCCTTTGGAATTGGTATTAGAATTTAATTATTGAGCACTTTGGAGTTTATACCACACAGTTACCTGGTTACTACCTAGACTAAAGAGAAAACACTGCAGATTTTAAACTAACCGGTACATGTTTGACTAGTACATTTCCTTCAGTAAAATGTTTTAAAAGATTCAAGAGTTTGTATTTTTCTCAGAAGCTTGACTTTAATTACATTGTGGGTATGGGGACTTTTTCTAACATGACAGCGACTTGATTCCTTATTTTTTAAATTATACTTTATACTAATCTTCTAAAAACACATTCTTCTGATATTCTGCGTTCCTACCCTTTGCTCTTCTGCCCTGAAGGCACTGCTCTTCTCTCTCTGTCCTCTTCATCTCTTCACATCTCTCTTTCTTTTTTAAATATACCTAAAAGAACAAAAACACTTCAAATCTGCATGTTGCAAAAAACAATACTCTAGATTGTTGCATGTAAATCTAGGTCTCTATCCAGTCTAGGCATTTTCATTACAGACGCTACTAAGTAAAAGTTGTATATTTTTCAGGAGGCATGTCTGAGGAGATTAGATATACAATTTGCATAAAGATGGACAAAGCCAGTCTTTTTCATACAGATCTGAAAACATGCACAGGTGTTTCTGTCCATCTTTCCACTGTGAGAGGACAACTGAAAGGATGTGTAGCTGTCAAGAAGTGTTGAACTGCTGGTGTTCTCACAACAATGGACTGACCACCCCAGAGTCCAGACCTCAGCATCACTGCATGTGGAAGCGCAACCAATTTCTAAGACTGAACTTCGGAGGTGTGTCTGCAGATTCTTTGAGAAACTGAATACTGAAAAGGCTGGTATTACATTTAGTTGCTGAGGTTTCTAGTTATTCTCTGTTAAATATGTTTTCTCTCAACCTGTTGGCTAACTTATCTGAGTTGCTTGTTAAAACCCTGTTCATGTCACCTAGTTCTCCTCTTCCTTTCCTTTCAGTATTGCCCTTTCTGTAGCTTCAGTTGGATCCAAATGACCGAAGACAAGAATTGGCAGGTCAAGACCATAGAGCCTGTCATAGAGTCTGCAGATGTCTTCCCAGGTGTTTTATACTAGACTGTCCAGTTTTGAGCTTCGTTGCCTGGTGTCCAGTTGATATTGCTGTCCATTTGTTGAGGTAGATAAAGTGCCATTCTGTCATTGTGCATCTCTCTCACTCACACACACACTTTAAACTTTGAGCTGATGTTTTCCTTGTGGTCATGTCACCTCATGGTCACAGACGTTTTCAGTTGCAGGGTAGGTGCATTATGTGCCTGCATCTCAGCTATTAAATAACACATCAAATTAGTGCATCAACCAACTGTATGGGAGAACAGGCAATATTAGGCTACATAACAGTGGGGTTCAAGATAAAAAAAATTGAAGGAACCCATTATTTCTCAATTACAGCTACTTTAAAAAAGGTTAGCCTATACAAGACATTGTGAATAAACAATAGGTTGATTTCTTATGGTTTAATTTGTGTTACACAATGCCAGAGCAAACAGTAGCCTAGAACAAATTATTTGTACAGAATGTCACCTTACTGTTCATTGTCGAAATTATGGAAAAATAAAAACAAACTAAATAAACCAAAAACACTAATACTGAACTGTTTTAAAACACAAAAACACACCAAGAAAGTGGTAAATACATTGAATGCTTACTGGATATCCCCTCCAATACACCCATTTGCAGATGGGTGCAAATAGTATTGACCACAAAGTACACCAATTTGCAGCCTCCCCCTATCCCCCCACACCACCCACTGGGGTGCTAATCTTTGCTATGTAGCAGTAGATCTGGCAAACTGAGCTAGTTGTGTGAAACCTATGTTCGAGCTAGTGTTAGTGGACTACATTAATGCCTTGCTAGTTATATATTTGCATTAAACTGAATGGCATTTATGTCTTTTTACATGGTGTAAGGCGTCTGTGATAATGTAAGTGGATTTGTTTGACGTTTTGAAAAAAATGTGGGACAATTACCCAAACTTTGCATTGAACTGGATTATTGTCAATGTCAAAAAGAATTAAGATGTGTTCTGCCTCATTAAACCCAACTCATTCAACAAACCAGCTAATTAGGAAGGCCTTAATGAATAGAATTCGGAGCATTAGACAAGGGAAACTGCTAATCTCAGTTTTCCTTATAGGAACCTAGTTTGACATGTTCTAGAATCTAGAGTCTAGAAAGAAGATTAGATTTAATCAGTGGTGGATGAAAAATCATGTACTTGAGTTAAAGTAGAGATACCCAAGGTAAAATATTACTCAGTAAAAGTAGAAGTTCCTCCCTTTAGACCTCCACTTGAGTAAAAGTACAAAAGTATTTGCCTTCAAATGAACTTAAGTATCAAAAGTAAAAGTACTAAAAAAT